TTAGCAAATTTAAATTTATGCATAGGTAGATTGATTTCAATGGCGACGTATAACTTGCTAAACTGGTTCTTTGTCGCATATACCAATATCGTCGAGTTCTTCAATGCCGAACTATTCGCGTAGAATCTTCAATTCATTAAAATTCTGTTGATCTTATGTTATTTACGTTAAAAACCATTAAGATATATAAATAACACATACAACCTAATCCGTTAACAGTACAAATAGTAGAATATAACATAGAACAACATAGAAGTTCTGAGTTCCTCTTAAAAGGTTCCTTTACTATTCAACTGTTTTTTTTACAATTATCTCTTCTGTCTTTTTCAAATTTATAATCGAAATCTGCGGACTATTACAATTTAATAATAACTCTTTTATGTTACTTCGTGATTACGGAAAGATAGTAAACGTCATTATTTGTTTCTTTGTGATTCTTATTCTTTGCCGCTTCGTATTCTTTGTATGTAAAAAAATAGATTTTATTTATCTGCAAATAAATATACAGATACATTAGAATGTAATGTATATGTATTTATGTACATACGTTCCTAAAAGGTTAAGTGGGTAAAATGCTTTTAACATTAAGCCTGCCCTATACGCCTACATTGGATACTAAATAATTCCATACATTTTTAAGTTGCTAATTCCATTTTCCATACTCTACTTAATACTCTGGCTATATTTACAACCCAAAATATAATACTTTACTAATCGAAGACAGTATGTGAAGTATCTACATAAGGCACGCAGCCTGTTTCTATTCAAGCTTATTTTTATAGAAGTTAGTTGATTATAAACATGGTGTGTGTACTAATCCTATGCAGTGAAATTCCGAGCATGGCTGGCCTTCTTTATTGTTCCTAGTATGGTAATATAAGGAAGTTTCAAGTTCTTAATTTATGCCAGTTTCTAATCCTGAATAATGCAACAAAAGGTTCAGTATGATAATTTGGCACGTGCCGCGAAAAATATTTAGGTCTTATGAAAATATTAGACTGTTCTTATAAAGAATACACAGACTGTTCACGAGTGAAGCCGTAGTTCTACCACACAAAAACAAAATTTATCTTATAGACATGCACTGATGTCAAAAAGTATTTATGTAGCCGGTAGGCTGAACTTTTAATTGATAAGTATCATAGCTTGTTAGTCAATCATCATCAATTCTAAAATATGTATTCAAATTGAAAACAAATCTACTTAGAATATATATATATATATATATATATATATATATATATATATATATATATATATATATATATATATATATATATATAGCATTATTTTTTCTTTATACCACAAAGGTGGCAAACAATATACAGCCTATCCGATGGTAAACGGTGACTGTAGCCTGTGGACGCCTGCAATACCAGGGATGTCATGTACGCGTTGGCGGCCCTGAAGAAACCCTAATACGCCCTGTGACTTGTAATTCTCTATCGACGATGAGCGGTGCGATGATAAAAGTCCTATGGACAACATTTTGAACAATTCCTCAGAATACAAGCATAGAAAAGGAGAAAACTTACAAAGGGAGACAAACTTGCTTGAGACTTAATGGCTCAATGTCGCCTGTAAACTTTGATTATTAATATATATACCTACTGCGTAGAACCTCTCAAGTATATTTTATAACTTAATGTAATGTCTTTTAAAAAAATCAAAGTAAGTCAAAAACAAAGTAATTCTTCATTCTTCGTTGACCTCTCTTAGTTTATTGTAAACGTACTAAAACGTGTGTACCCTACACAAGGTTAGAAAATTACTCCTAGCATTCGTTAGTATGCGAACAACTACTGTCGAATTAATTTCAAATCTTGTTGGTTGGTTCTATATTCCAGCTCTCGTTCTATAGTGCTGATGTTATTAGCGTCTAATATAACGTTTACATACATTATAACGAATAATATTAGTTACATTAAAGTAATTCTTAAGTAACATAAACCACCACCGAATGAACTTGGATACACTCCAAAAGTCTACCACATCCACATACTACGAATTTCAACGCCTCCACCCGACACGAAGAGCGGGGATGTATACGTGCACAGAACGTAAATAAACATTGACACGTGTTATCTATGGTTGGCGCATGCGTAGAGTTCTAGTCGCTCATCGATCCCATAAGTGAGCCCTTCCCCTGTACTTCCATAAAAAATCTAGAACCTACGGGAAGTCTTTGTCCAAGAACTTAAAAGTTTCATTAATATAGTATTCGAATAGTCCATAAACGTGTTTATTACTGTAAGATTACTTGATATTTCTAGAAAATTACAAAAAAATTCATTAACCAGTAACGTTTTAAAAAAATCATGGTATCTAAATTACTTCTCGAATGGCACTACTAAAATTTAAAATAAATAAATAAACTTTTAGCCATATATACAAGAAATAAAGTATCTAAACCATATTTATATAAAGTATAAATACAATGCACGACTATGCATTAATGTTTCCGTAAATATTTGTTTATGGAATAAAAACAAAAAGTCTTAAGACTTACAGAGTTGCGCTACGCAATATACCTACATATCTACTTTGGTAAATCCAGAAAATCAATATCAGAACCCTACGCCCGCCTTTAGAGGCTATTTCGGAATAACTTTCTTGCTGCGCCGTCGATAAAATTCATCATTGCGTGCTTCTGTTTCAGCTAGTTGGATAAAAATGGTAATAATAAGCTAGTTCACTACACCCACCAGTTACAGTGCTAACGCGTCAATCTGGAATTTATGCAGGATTAAATAAAACGACATATTATTATTGTATATTAATAATATTTCCATTCTTATTAATAAATCTTTTGTGAACGGTCGGTCAGAATTGATTTCACAGTGTTCTTAATTTACGCAGTAGACGTCCTTGTCAAATAATAATATATTAATAGAATTTTCGTGATTTTCACAACTACTCAATATCAAATTTAAAAGTCACAATGGTTCAATAAAATATTGAATAGCTTTTGAAAATGACTTGCAAAATGAGGAGGTCCTTAATTCGTCTTTATTTATTTTTTCGTTGGCATGTTACGCGATTGTGTCGCTAATTCTCAAATAATTTAAATAATTCTTTTTACGATCTGTAAGGTTTAGTATATATGCCAATGTTGTGATCATTAAAGCTCTTTTATTTTCTTTACAGAACAAAAAACTGCTAGTTATGAATCTAAATCTCATAGATACGATTCGGCGTTCTAATTTCACTTATTTATTTTCAATCTAATGTTCTAATTTCCAATGTGTTTAGGAAACATCTCATCGTTTACCATTTTTATGACGATTAATGTCACTGTTTTATTTAGAATAAAATGTACTTATATGTAAAACTAACCCTAAGAAAAAGCTATAGGCGATAGCCTATATGGTAATTTCTTAATTAAAATTCCCATGTTTCGGGACATATATTTGTAGGATACATAAATATTTATCATGATTGCTTTAGATGAAACTATCAAAAGCCACTGAATTTTTATTATTATTACAGTAGCAATATGGAACAATTTAATGGGAACTCTAGTGCGAATTAGACTGACTCACCAGCGACACTAAATGATCTGAGAGAATGGTTACCACATTATATTGTGACAGATTTTTTCTGTTATGATTAGTTATTTACTGTCGTATATAATTTGTTATCTATTGTTATGTTTATGTTTTATGTATTATTTCATAATTACATTTATTACTATATTTTTTTTAAATTCATTATAGCAATCTTGAACTTATTGTAAGCACATTGATAATTGTAATTGGTCATCTCGGGGCCGCTTTATGAAAACGATTGTGTCTATATCATAGGAAATTATTTAATTATAATATATTATAATATACTTACGACACTACATAGACATGACAGGGAATCTTGTTGACAATATCTAATTATACTCTTCGCCTTGTAATATGTATCCAAATTTCATATAATATTCTCTGTTTCTCTCATCGTTTCGTAGTACATAAACTTCATTTATTTTCATAAGATGTTATTTATATTGATGATTGAATGACTCAAATTTATAATTAATCTCTAATTATTAATCTATGTTGGTATGATTTAAACATGATATCCAATGAGTGGTACATACATGGGCATCTGGTTTAGTGCCTAGTTTATCCGTAACATTTACACGTACTCGTAGATCGAACCGGGTCCGAAATACAAACGTAATATCATAATTTAGTTTTTTTTTTCCATAATAAAGAAATATAAGTTATATTTTCACAAACTTTACTATCGCATTATTGATGTTTATCGCTCAAAGTTATATAGCAACTGAATCAAATTACATTTCATCCGTGATGAGATAGAAGAAAATTAGATTACTTGATTGCAGAATTCGACAAAAACGAATTGGGATAAAAAGTGCTTTCGGAAATTCACTTCATTACGTGTAGAGAGACGAGAATCGTCTCATTTACCTACTACTTTGTTTACATTCTGTCCATACCTACATTAACAAATTGTAATTTTCAATGATCTTTTTTTTGGTGCCTCACCTATCTATATATTTCAAAATAGTTTTACAACCTTCCATATTAGGCATTAATTTCCGCCTGTCATTTTGTCCACGCACGTTTTGCGATAAGTGCTCTAAATGAAGCATCTTCAGGCAAATTATTAGAGCCCTGAGGGCCTACCATGAAGTGTTTTCCGAAATTCCGGAGCCAAACGAAACACAAATTTGATGTTAAAATTACATTATACATGCCGTTTGGAAATATTAAAAATATTAAAATATTGTTCCTTTGGACTTTTAGGATAGGATGTATGACGAACAAAATGTTAAACTCCATTTATTGATCCCATTTTGGTATAAACATAAACACGAAATTGAGTCCGAAATTTCGGAAATTCATTTCATGGTAGACCCGCTGCTCGGAGCCTAGTGTTAACCGTGTTTATTCGCTATTTGAGTGCTGAACGGTTATTAATGGTGGTCAATCTTTGCGAGTTGACAGTCACACACATACTAATGCCAGCAAAATTAAATAAAATAATTCTAATGAAATAATTATTCATATTTTTTATTTGTGTCACAGTTAACTGACACAGCACAAACATGACATTCGCAATGTATATTTCGGTTTCGGCATAAAACCATACTTCTATTGGTGTGTGTGCATATCACATTCTTGAATTTAACAAAATTAAATGTCTTTTTAAATGAAAAACTCAAATCAATAACTTATCAAAACTCGGCAAAATTTGACTCTGCTATTTGGAACAATTTTCTCCTAATATCTTCCATACAATATTCCATTTGGCTCTACAGCTAACCTTTCCTCATAATTATCTTCCCCTCTATCTATTTATCTATCCTGTTAAAGAGCTGCGCTCTTGTCGGTGGAGCTCTTCCCACTCACTACGATTTTCAGCGAATCCCTTCACCTCTTGATTCGACACGACACCAACTCCTTCCTTGATCTGCCTGATGTAATTATGCCTTGGTCTCCCTCTTCCTCTTCTTCCTTCTATTATAATGTTCATAAGTTCGTCGTGTCGTATCAAGTGTCCCAACATTTTTTCCCTTCTGTCCTCAATAGTTCTTATAATTTGTCTCTTTTTCTTAATCCTAAGCGACGTCATCTTACTATTCTATGAGTACTATGAAGTATAGATACTTCATAGTACTCAAGTTTTTTTCATAGATTCAATAGATTGAATCTATGAAAAAAAATGAATGTTATAATAGTCTCTCCAACGTCTTATTATTTATTCATTTTGGAATTTATTAGTGTGCGTCGCGCACAGTGTTCACTGGTTCGTCATAGTAGTTTACCTGGCCGCATAACTGTTTTTTCACCGATCCTCGCATCGCATACAAAAAGCGATGAGCCTTCATTATTATTAACACAACAGAAATGAACGGCAACACAGCAGAGTGAGCAGAAGGCAGGCAGCGTTGCCGTCCCGCACGCTCCGCTGACTCGTCACGTGACGTCACGTCTCAACATGGCCGCCATACCGGTCCCCCCGCTTCCAACCGGATCCGTTTCGTGTTGCGCGGTAATAATAATTTAGAATGCAGTCGACTGAAAGGAAACAGACCGAGAATAGATTCAAATTTAATGCATCGAACACGTCGGCAATACGTGTTAACATTAATTGTTATTCTACAACAGGAGCTCTTTACTTTCGTTGAATTGTATAGACTTGCCTAACTGAATTGAGGGCTCGACCTAATGAGCGTATTCGTGAGTCATTTTTATAAGTATACGATTTTATTTCTACATTTTCAAAGTTTATAAATTACTTACTTGAATCTTACAAAGTAACATTAAAAAAAAACTTTCGATGCATCGACAGCATACCGTTTATATTTGTGTCATTAATAGATACTCTAGTATAAATAGGTAGATACGTAGAATAAATATCTTTGTTTTCATGTGGAATTACATTAGCTTTATTTACGGTATCTCATATGTAATCCTATCTTATTGGGGGAAAGGGATTGTTAGTGATGGGATCTAATAGCCCCATTACTGGCAATATACCCTCTCAGGTTGACCTCCACGCGGTTCCCCCTAGAAATCATCATGTTTAATTCTCGTCGAATTCATCATGGTGGGCCAACTGACCTGCATTCATTCTCACCTATCATCTTCCACTGGTGCCTCGTCGGTGTATACCAATAGCGCGGGCGGGGTTACCAATCTATTTTCACCCATTAAAAAAAAAAAGAAATCCTATCTTATTAATATTAGTTTTTAGAAATGTATGTTTCTTAATTAATCACACTTAAAGGGCTGGATAAATGTTTATAAAATTAGGTAAACAGGTGAACATATGTGCTGAATTAAAAAAAAAACAGGTTACTTTTTACTTAGACTAGACACTTAGAAAGAGATCAAACCTTATAAATAGCGCATTCAAGTTGTCTGAGATTTGAATCATATCAACGAGAATATATCGTTTCTAGTAGGGCGTGCATCCAGTGTATGATTATCTATTTGCTCTGTAGCATTGCATTCATTATCGCACGATAAACATGTCGGTGTAGGGTGCGAGCGGCGTGCGGTGCGGCGTGGCGCGGTGGCGCATCCGCGCGTCGCGGCTAACGGCTCGTCCTCGGCGCGTCGCGTCGTCGTGCTGCGCGCGCTGACGTCACCGCTCGATAATGGCCGCTGCCACCCGTCCCCTCCCCGCTACCGTAGTCAGCCGCCTCGACCCGAGCTCAGTCTCTCCACAACCCGCTTCGGTAGCGAGTGCCTAACACGTTCCACATCTCTATTGAACATACTCGGAGCCGATTGTGAACTTGTTCAGTGTGCCTGTGTATACCATGGTGACGGTGATTTTCGTTAAAAGTTCAAAAAATTTGTGACAATTTTCAAGCGAAACGAAGAAAGCCGATCTCTCGCACTCCGTACTACGTCCGGTGGCGAGATGTCGGTGATGCAGAAGCGGCAACACTGCTACTTGTGCGACTTGCCCCGCATGCCGTGGGCGATGTTGCACGAGTTCTCAGAAGCGGTTTGTCGTGGTTGTGTTAATTATGAAGGTGCAGATCGTATAGAAGTCGTCCTCGACACTGCTAGGCAGTTAAAGCGTGCCCATGGCTTTCAAGAAGGCCGAGGTCCGACACATGCCAAAGCAACTCATCGAGCGCCTCTAGAAGCTCATCAAAACGGTGCAGAGACTACAACTAGAGGTCAACCAGCGCCTCCGGCCCACCACGCTCCTACAACCGGATTTGCTTTACATCACCCAAGAGGGGCTGCTACAGGTCTTCTTGCAGAATATGGAGGGCGTCGAGAAGAGCATGAAAACCGGCGTCTGACGCATCTTCCTCCTACGCATCACTTAACCGCACATGGTGGGGCACGGTTAGCCCCAGGTCTAACTCTTAAGCGACCATTGGAAGACGATGACCATCAAAATCATCATGAGCCAACAAAAAGGCTACTGGAAGAGCACACCCGGCCGCCACTAACTCGTGGCGATTCCTTACCAGCAGTATCATTGGCGGCTCCTTTCGTTCCAGATCGGGTCTTCAAACAAGAAAAACATCCTCTACGAACTCCATCTTTTGATGCTGCTTCCTTTAAATCTAACGGTAAGATATATATACTACAATTTCTAGATGATCTCTTCTGGTATCATAAAGTCGGCATCAGTTTGGAATTAAATAGAATTTTACGTCTCCGTAATTGAAGATTTTGCTCCGCAAAAAAACAGTAACTTCGATAGTAATAAAATTAATATGGATCCAACACGGAAGTAAGTTTTATTGATTGTAAAAACAATCGTTAGACTTAGCAAACATATTTAAAATAAAAAGATGCAAAGTCACCTAACTAATCTTCATCCTTTTGTAATCGCTTAAAAATAAATACAGCCTGTAATCGCTTTTAGGTAATATATAAAATAAATTTCGAGCAATTTTCGATTATTGTTTACGAGAAACGTAACCAGGGGAAGGAATTTATTCAACGAGTCGATCAAAAACCATCGTGTTAATAAACAACAAATTAATAGTTTCAGATATGTTATAAAAATTATGTGTTTTATCTAATCGATTACTATGTTTACACGATTATTTACCATAATTATTTTTATAATGAATACACTATCAAACTATTTGAAAAATTTCGTGAGAAATATGTATTCTATGTGTTTATTCCAGATATAGGTATGTTATTGTCATTGAGTTAGATTCTTCCATAAATATTTTAAATATTATTTTAAAATTAACATAAAGTAATTAATTGTAGTTATCGATGTAAAAATAACTTTTTTAAGTAAATAATGCATAAGTGTATAAATAAATGCTATGATTATTTATGCTACGTAAAACAAATATGTGAATATAATAAATGACGTGAAAATTGTAGCTACCAAATTTCTTCTAGTAAATAACAATATTTCAAACCCTGCAATAAAATCATAAAAATGACGGCTTAGGGCTTGCATTTTTGTTTAAATACACTTAAATCAAAAGTGAAGAATAATTTATTCGTTTTGAATCGCCTTATTATGGCATTTTTACAATTTTAAACAGTCATATCTATAATGATGCTATGTGATCTTGGCATAGAGTGGGCCATCCCTTCCTTTCCCTTGGGTGTCGTTAGAGGCGACTAAGGGAACTTAATGGTCTAGGGATGGGCAGCGTCGGCCCTTTGTTAAAACATTACCAAAAGCTAAACTGTGATTGCTAACCCACCTGCCAAGCGTGGTAACTACTGGCAAAATCCCATCGATGGTAAACTGTCATCAGAAACGGCCTCGTTCCTTATAATAGTCTATATATAGGGAGACCTATGTTCAGCAGTGGTCAAATAACAGCTGATATGTATACCTATAATCATTTCCGGTATACTAACTATATACAGCAGAACTAGATGTAATTTGAATGGCTTCATAACAAAATAATTATTACTTAAAGACGCATTCCGTTGTTTACTAATAACAGTATAAGGTAATATTGTACAAATACATAGTTATTTCATGTTATCACACATACTATAACTAAAGAACGTGAACGTGTTCAGGCCGATGGTCGTGGTTGTTTTGCGCAAGCGTTTCGCCACGGGATTCATATCTAGGTAGGTGCATTAACTCAGTCCATAAATACAAAACCGGTCCAACTGGTTGAGCGTTCTCGAAAGCGAGCCCGCGCCTGCGGCCTCCCGCACACAAACTCACTACGTACAAACACCCACGTAATGTTAACGCGGTTCCTCTACCACCGCACCGTGAATGCATGCACGACACAGCGGTGTGGCAACGTTGCGTGACGACATTTTCGCTCGCGTACGTATGTAGGTGCCCGACGGGCGAAAAAATATAGCGCCTGCCTACGCTTGGCAAAGCCGCCCGACCACATTCCGCTGGCGTGTGTAGGGTGCGCGGTCGCCCGCTGCGAGCTGCGGCCAAAAAGGTCACCGCGCGTGACGTCACCAACGCCATATGGGCCGAGCCTTTGCACCGCGCACCCGACCGTCACTCATGCCCTACACCATGTTACTCTAATGAATATGTTTACATTCAGTTCATGACAGGCGAATTCATTATTGAAATGCAAATGAGACATTGACATAAACAATGGTTATCAACGCATTCATTGCGTGACGAAATGTCTTTAAAAATATAATCAAAATATTTAAAAAGAACAATTCCTTTACAGTATTTAAAGAAAAAAAATCAATTATAATTTCATAAACTTTTACATGAATTATGGTTGTCGTCATAACAATTTCAGCACCATTATCAAGTATACTTAACGTAGGACCTCTCCTACATTACTTATATAGTTATATCATCATCATCATATCAGCCCTTAACTGTCCACTGCTGAACATAAGCCTACCCCTTGGGGGGTTTTGCTAATAGTTGCCACGCTTAGCATGCGAATTAGCAACTGCAGTTAGGCTCTGGTGATCTTTTCAGAGGGACGCTGCTGCCCATTCCTCGCCCTCCCTTAGTCGTTTAGTAGTATAGTAGTCCCTTAATAGTTGCGCTTACGACACCCATGCGAAAGGAAAAAGTGACCTATTCTATGCCGAGACCATACGGCAATATAGCTATATCATAGATCATCTATCAACAAATTAAAAGTGGCGAAATTATCATGGGAAAGACCAATCCAAACACCGATTTTCAGATCTAAATCAAAAGTATGCTCCGCGTTTCTCAATTACAAATCAAATGTTAGATAATTTGCTTTAGTTAGTTGAACATACGAGACCTCAATTTGTAGATGTTGGCAATTGCCCGATACGATTGCAGTGGGCTTGTATAATTTCAATTACACTTACCTACCCGTCTGGTGGACGAGTTAGCCCAAACTAGTGAGCAGCACTACGCGACTATCAGTGACACATCAGTACTCACTACGTAACACATGCTATTTATATGACATTATATGCGTGTGCGAACGTGTGTTTACTATCTATCCGTCGGTCCACCGCAAACGATGTGTCATCCAACATTCAATGCGAGGTTATTGGGACAAATTGAAGTTATATCGTTCGTTCGCTTTGCATCGTAGCAGAATTCTGCGGCGTCGTCATGTCAAAAAAATTTTCTTTATTCTAGCAATTTACAACAGTAATTGTTGTAATGTACAACAAAAAAGAAAACAATTATACAACAAAAAAGAAAACAATTATACAACAAAAAAGAAAACAATTATACAACAAAAAAGAAAACAATTATACAACAAAAAAGAAAACAATTATACAACAAAAAAATAGTTTTAAAAAATACAAAATAAGAAACGCATACGAATGGTGTAATTCGAAATTTCTTCAATTTACTAGGTAGCAAACAAACATTATTAAGTAATCAATAGCTATATTAGAAAATGCATAAACACACTTACAGATTCCTTACTGACCGCCGACTTTCCTATCGTGTCGTTTTACCAGAAATTTCTGAAAATTTTTTCGGTATCTTCAGGCTATGGTAACAGCGCGCCGCTAACGAATGGTTCGGCGGGATCGCCATTGGGAAGGACTGCTGGCTCGCCTCCTGTGACTGGAGCCTCCGCGGGCGCAGGCCCTTCACCGATGGCGGCACTTATGTCGGTGGCTGATACTCTACCACCAGGCTCGCCGCGTTCAGCTGGCGGATCACCTCCACAACCACCGCCTCAGCGATCAGCTAGTCGATCCAGTCAACACTCTCCTAATTCATCAGGTAAGCATCTCCAAGTTGACAAATACATACAAATTTAACCTAAACCTTTTATTTCTAATTAAAACTGATTTGACTTAATATCTCTTTACATGGGTATTCATTAACTAACCAGTCTATATTTTATTCTATAATATCTCTCTCAAAATAGTTTTTGCTATTGTCCGCGATTATCGTATCGTATGACAGGTCGGAGTCGACCTGCACTGATGTCGGCTCCGGCATGGCGCCCGACGACCGCTTGCGCACATGGCGTCCGCTACAGTCTGCTGACTTGTCGCCTATATATTCAAGGATTTATTACATAAGATATTATCAAATTAATAGTTCCGTAATCGTGTCTTGCTGTCTCGGCCGGTATTAAGTAGATTTTATTCGCGTGATTTCAATTAGCAGACAGTAGCTAACAATTGCTCTCCGGTCCGACAGGGTCGAACGGCGGGCGGCGGTCGTCGGGCTCCCGGCACGTGTCGTCGACGACATCGGTGTCGTCGACAGAGGCAGGCGAAGGCACGGATGCGGCGGCGCCAACGCCCGCACCGCTGCTCAAGTGCACACTTTGTCAAGAGCGTCTCGAGGACACCCACTTCGTCCAGTGCCCTAGTCAACCGCATCACAAATTCTGCTTCCCCTGTTCCCGGGATTCTATCAAGCGACAGCAAGGATCAGAGGTTAGTTTCTCGTTTATTTTGCATAAGATTTATAGCTACCTAATCTGCATGATCCTCAGCTTAGTTTGTAATTGCTGATAAATATATAGAGATACATGTGACATGTACATTTCAAGAAATGTAAAGAAAAATACGTGGTAAATAAGACAAGCCGATGATAATACCATGCTATCATTCCTTCTAGGTTTACTGTCCAAGTGGGGAGAAGTGTCCATTGGCAAATTCGACGGTGCCATGGGCATTTATGCAGGGTGAAATTGCAACAATACTCGGAGAGGAGTTCAAACCGAAGAAAGAGCGGGAGACCTAGGGCAGCGCAGCGTCGCCACGACTCTATCTCTTGTCTCTCTCGATGTGAACGCTCGTTGTGCACGGGAGGAGTACCGAGCAAGCCGCGGCACGAGGCCGCAAGCGCCAGCCGTCAGCCATCAGCGACGCCGGTGCGCGGCTCCGCGGCGGGGTGGAGATTATTCTCGCCTGCATCTACCGAACATTTGTATATAACTTTGTAAATAGTCAAGTTTAAGTTTAGATCGTTAACCAAAACTACTGACGATTCTGAACTAATTTTAGCGGCAGCGGAGGCCGCAATAATAACTATGATATGAGCCGTATTCAGCATATTGGATCTGATTTTATGCGTAATTTTAAATAATTCTAGTTCGTTTGGTTGAACCTGTTTGAGGTTCTGAGCTTTTTAATGCGCAAAATGGGTGCGATATTCTGAATAGAGTACATATCAATTTTTGAAGATTTTTCGACTAATTTTTGTCTAGATAACGCATCGTTACAGGAACGATAATGTTGATCTGAATTATTCGTAGCGTAAGATAGCGTTACTTTTCGAGAATATTACGCTGATTCATGAGCGAGATTTCTTCGGATGCCATTTTCTTAGTTACCCGTAGGTCCAGAACCATAGTGAACTTGGCATTTATTTATGTGATTCTTATATATGATACGAGTATTATACGATATACGATCATGACATTATATGTAGTCGAGTGTACTGATTGTAAACATAGTTTTGGATATGGGAAGCATACCGCTCCCTGTACAGATATTATTAAATCTATGTATATTTGTATTTATTACATTCAATACAGACAAAATAGTCTTATTTTACTATGAATTTAATTATTAGAGTGGCTCGAGTTCCGTTACCGTCTTGCATTCGATGACAACAATCGGCTTGATTATTAATTTCAACTTGGTCATGAATTGCTATACCTAGTTGTTCTGTTCTGTTTATTGAAAAATGTTCAGTACTCTATTTCGTACATGAACATACTTGGAGTGGATATTTGAGTGGATTAATTTGTAAGAATAATTTAATGCGTCAGTTTCGCTCGTGCTTCAAGCTGATTCAAAGCACATGTCGTACTCGTACACCTTCAGATTTACGTGGTGGCAGTAAAATAGGTTCAGTTTGAAACGCGACCGCTGGGTGGGCGATGGTGGCAGTATTAGCAGAATCGATTTGCATATGTTGGGGGCGTACCTAGTCATTTTATGAAATGTCAAATTGTCAGAACCGCGAATACGCGGCCGTTATAGGAACTCTTAAAACTCGCTGCTATATTTGTATAAAGTGAAGTAATTATCATTATATATGTCATTAATGTTAAACAATTAGTAGTGTACGTCAATTTCGAACGCTATCAGAGAGGCGGACGACTTGGATGTTATTTTGCATTTTTACTGGCTTCAATTAAATAATTAATTTTTGATCTTGGTCTTGCACTATGTTAATATTAACTCGTTTTGATACGTTTCGTATGTCGTAATTATGTGCATATGTTTTGTTACATATAAAATTAAGTATCTAATTAATGTTACTTTGAATAATGTAAACTGATTTATTAATAACTTCAGACGTTACGTCTATAAACAATGCATGTTAGTACATTCAATGAAATTGAGATGTCTATTATTTATTTTATATATAGTTGTGTACATACGCGTATATTGTATATATATATTTATGTACTTGTAAATATTTTATTTGGAAAAGTCACTGAAATCTACATCCAGTATTAGTCAACTATTTCAGCATTAATGTCTCTTCATTAATAACTCCTTTCCGAAATTCCTCTAATTCAATATGTATAATTATTAATCACATCGAATCTGGTGATTAACACAAATCTATTTTTATCGAGTAGTTAATATCAATAATCGCATGTATTTTATGTTTCATAGTCATAAGCGCAGTCTATCCTGTTGTTTTAGTAATTGTATTGTTTAAATGAATTTACTTTACAAATTATATTTTTACGATAATTATTTAAAGTGATAGAACGCTTTTTAGAATCTGTCATTTCTGGTAGATTCGAAATTGATTATTAGTATTATCAATGGTCAGTGGAATTCCACCCGACATCGGGTTTGTCGACTGTTAGTTAGGGCCCGCCACTGGCGGCATTGGTAAATTGTAAGCACAAACTGTGCATTTTACTTTTTTACTGCTGGCGTGTTAAATGTATAAGAAAAAAACCTTGTTTTGGTTATACTCTTTCAAAAATATTTTTGCTGTTGTAAAACTTTTTTGAGTGTTAAATATCATTTATTTTTCCACTGGAAAACTAATAATAATAAGTAATGTGTTACCCAGATTAGGTGCGTTGCTGACTATACGTCACAGATTCTATAATTCTTATGTATTTTCGATACATTTAACGCGCCAGATTGTTATAGTCCGCCTTTATCCATAGGCTTCTTTGTAGATGTCGATAGAAATTCGGCACAATAAAATATATACTTAATTTTGAGAGTCATCTCTTTCTTACTGTAAGCAGCAAGAGAAATGCTTCGATTAAGACGTTAATGTACATGTTGGTGAAAATACAATTGATGTGATTTTGTATTAATTGCACTTTTATTTAAACCCACCTTTATCGAACCCTATACACGAATATACGTATAGAAATGATGAAATCAACTTGACCTCTCTATGCGTCAATGTTCTAAGAAACGTTGTTAGTGTAAAATTTGATTAGTTTTTACATTTAGAATGAGTTAGTAGGTACACGTCAATTTTAAAATACACTAGCAAAATACGTATTCGTCGAACATTATTTACAAATAAATTTTAGAATTATTCTAACTTGAAGTGTCAAAATAGCTGCTTCGTATGAATCATCATACGATTGGACGGTTTCAATATAATTACGAATATTTACGGTCTGCTAATATTCAATAGTGGTACAAGTAAAAAATCAGTTAATTGATCGAACGTTTCCATTTGTATTTAATTTCATTTAGCAAATATGTGATAATTTCAACTTGGTTATTTTAAATACACTATCGGGACTTAACGTGATGAAAAATTTTACAGGTAATTAGTACCTACACACCTACTTCTTTATTGTCGACGTTTTGACGTGAAATGCACCACGTCGTGGTCACGATGGGACTTGGTTACCTTTTTATTAAGTAGAGTATAGTTTCTTACATCTAGCCAAGTTTAGAAAGCATCTTGTGCTATAGGAATAACGTTTTATTGTTGAATTATACAATGTGAATCATACGATGTTTGTATAAACTTTAATGGTGAATACATCACTTACCTGCAATTTATCGATGATATAGTAATCGTGGAGGATTTCCTGGAGAACTTGAATATTATGTCAATAACTTTAATAATGCTTCTCAACAGTCTTAAGATGAACATGGACAAAACTAAAATCATGTCTAACGTCCATATCACACCTATACCGGTTACGATTAAAAACACTTCGCTCGAAGTTGCCGACGTGTATATATAACTACCTTACATGAAACGTACGTTTATTTATTTCCAACTACTTGACCTATGTGATTTCGGCTACGTAAATTTTCCAGTACTAGGACTATTACTATTATAATTTCACGTATCTGTACCTTACGTAAAAATGATGTTATTAAAATCGAGGTGATATAATTATTGCGTTATAGACAGGTGAATACCTCCTTTGTTTTCTCTATAATATCATAGTAAAATTTTATAAGAAAATTTCAAATATAAAACAAAATTCTATTAAAATATAGTCTAAATAATGAAAATTTTCCCCATTTTATTAATTCTTAGGGTATTCTAACTAACTGTTAGTGTATTCGAGGAATAGAATTGTTACTATAGTAATAGTATAACAGCATTATTGCTAACATTATATCCTCTAAGGTCTACATCCATTTCTTTCATCTAGGCTTATTATTTCTCTCTGGTACTCCGCCAGCTTATACAAATAATGCAGGCGGAATTACTATTCTATTATCATCTATTAAAAAAAGTCTTATACTTATTTTATGCCTTAATTAGTTGAAAGGAAACATAAATAACACAGAGCATCATAAACACATAGTTTCGAAAATCAAAGATTAGAATAGATCATGCAGTATATTTTGTACAATCCATCAAAATATGATGGGGAAACAGGCGTGACAGATACCTATATATATATATAATACTAGCGGCCTGGTGCGTGCTTCGCTACGTATAAATATAATAAAAAAAAATTAATATCAAATTCATTTATTTAACCAAAGTATATTTTATTAATTTTTATTTGTCTATTCAAATCAGTAGTATTATGCCTATATAAAGTCATACAAATTCTAAATTCTTGGTTTCTGCTCACATGTTGGGTTAATAAAATTAATTAATTGAACGTGCAGGCTTAATAAATTTTAAACCAAGAGTTTTGCACGTCGACAGAGCGTGCACCAGTGATTTGTGTTAAAGTGTAACAAAATACTGTGTAAAAAGAAAATAAATAACTTTGGTGTGTGGTAATAACTTTTTTTTTTTTTAAATTTTAAACATGTGCCCTATACTATATATTTTTTTTTATTTTTATCAAAAATCAAAAACTATTATATTTACAACAATTCATCCCTTTTCTTATCTCCCAAAGTGAGATATAATAGTTCGAACATATATCTCCCTGACAGTCGACTTTGTAAGATAATATTGTAGTTGATGTTAAGAGTCTGTTCTAATACATTTTTATATATAATATTTCTTATGTTTTAATAGCTTAATACTTCTATCCACAGATCGGAGCACCGGAACGGCGTCAACGGAGCGGATGCCAGAACCTCTTTGTCTCACCAACAGATGAGGACCGATGTTCCTCGTTACCCAGTCGATAGATATTTGGTTAGTGTTACATAATATTATTATTTATTTAATTAATTATATTTAACTAATTAAAGCTATGCGTAGTACTTAACGGTGTACAAACTTCTTATAGTGAATGTAATGTGAATTCTATTACTGTTGCTATGCCAAATAAATAAATAATATTTCTACAATGAAAAAAAAAAACTCATTTATACGTAGTTTATTTTAGGTACAACATTTTATTTTATTATTTTTGCCGTGTGGTCTCTGCATATAATAGGCCTCCCCTTCCTCTCCCGTGGGTATCGTAAGAGACTTAATAGTCCAGAGATGTACTGCAGCGTGTCTCTTAAAGCATCACCAAAGTCTAGTTGCGATTGCCAATCCGCCTGCCAAGCGCTAAGCGTGGCAACTACTTGTATAACCCTTCTTTTGGGTAGACCTATGTTCAACAGTGGAAAGTAGACGGCTGATGTAATAATAGTTTAAAATTTATATCAGATTTTTTTCTATATTCAGAGATATAAAATTACATTTTTGAAGAAATGGAACAATCTAAATTTAATATTTTTAACTTTTTATACACTTTTTTACTTTTAAAAATAGAATTAAAATTGTTTAAGTTGGAAAAAATACATTTTAATAATTAGAAATAAAATATTTTTGCTATTTAATAGGTATAATACACAATTTTATAAACGAAATGATTACGTAATAAAAGATAAAAAAAAATCTCAATACTTTTGTGATAGCAGTCATATAAAACCATAATATTTATAAATTGTTTAAAATAAAAGGCATCTAATGATATAAAAATTAATACTACAGTATTAAAAATATACATTATAAATATAATATTATTGGTTACAGGTTGAAAGTAGCAAAAATTTTGAAATGGTTAACATCATCAATGATGATATTTGGAATCCAGAGCCAGCCTTAAAACCTGAAGACGAAATCATATTAAGAAGGTTGCACGAAATGCTACAAACTACTGCAGACGACCTAAAAATCCTTTCCAACGAATTATCTAAGCAACATGAGCCTAAAGTACAAATTAAAACGCAGCCAACTCCTTTAGATGAAGAATTTAACGAAAAAGTTCACATTGAAGAAATTGTGGATGCCAAGTTTCATGGATATAAAGTTACTGAGAAGTCTTCTTCACCTGTATATGGTTTGAAAAAGGAGATGGTTGATGGAATCAAGTTACTAGCTAATGAATTACAAAAAACTAAAGTAAATGCAGGTATACAAGTAAATCCTATGACAACTATACTTAAGAAAACCCAGTCGCGGAAGTTAGGAATGTCATCTACTAATGTAATACAAATCGATGAAAAGAATCAAGTTGATTGTAAAGAAACTAGTTTAAACAATATTAAAATAAACAACTCTCCGGCTGTTGCCTATTGCGAATACTCATATGAATATACTAAACCTAAAACTAATACTACTCCACATAAAATCTTGAAAGTTCAAGAAATGCCAGGTATTAATATAAGAAGTGAGTTGAGAGAACAAAAAGTTTTACAGTTAGATATTTTACCAGATAGTAAAGCTGAAAAAGATGTAACTGTAAATAAAAATAATGTAGTATTTATTGTTACGCAACATAAATCAGAATCTATTCCACAGCAGAAGCTTACAAGTGTTAAAAAACAGGATACTCCATTGACATACGCGACGGAAAAACAACGTATAAGAAAAGTTTCAAAGATGTCAACATGTGAAAGCAGTGGTTCTAATAACAGCGTTAGTTCTGATGCTCAATATAATATTAAAAATCAAAAAGAATTTAAAATTCGATCTTCACCCAAAACATCGTCACGTTCTGATAACAGAAAACTACCTAAATGTTTAATTAGTAGGAAACAACAAGAAAAACGGTCACAGCAAAATTTGGATGAATGGAAACGAAAACTCGAATCAGTTTATGGACACTCATCGAATTTGAAGAAAACTGTAAAATTACCGAAATCTAAAATTACGAAGGCAACATGTTCAAGAACAGGTACAACAACTAAACACTCTCAAATTTTAAATAATAACATGGAATATATACCGTATTCACAATTAACATTAGGTGGAGTCAGAGTAAGTGACATTGAGAAGGAATTATCTGATATACCTAACAAAAATGACATGCCTATAAGCCCAATATTAGATCGGATCTTAAGAAGTCGTGAAAATTCGTTTTACAAAGATAGTCCTCGAAAACACCAACAAAAAGATTATAATATATTATCTACATCTGACGAAAATCTTTTTAAAGAGGTCATAGACATTGAGAAGACTATAGGTGATACTTTGTCAAATAATGCAAGAAAGACGCAACCAAATTCACCAAATATTTCAAGTGAAAGCAATAAGCAAAAAGATGATAGTTATGCCGATGACTTTGAAGATGAAAAATCCGACCAAGAGGGAGATTTCGAGGAAGACGAAAATGCTAACAAGTCGCAACTTCTAAATGATTCCAATAAATCTAGTAGCGACCGGGATTTAGAAAATTCTAGTAAAGCGATTGATACTCCGGCTAGTGACAATGATAATCCAAATGCGACTTATACAAAAACATCAAACTTATCATTCAAAAACAAAGTAGACATTTTTGAATTTGTTCATTTAGTCGATACACAAGATATCGCTACCCAAAGCGCTACTTCACATAAAATATCTTTAAAAGAAACACAAACATCTCCTAGAAATGAAACGTCTAACATTCAACCGATACGTAATGACTTGTGGCCCACCCTCGATCCGAAAGGAGAACTTGAAAAAATGCTGATATTAGAAAAAGGTTTTATTAAACAGCTTATAATTGACGAGTATGGCGATTTGTTCGAGAAAAATATCACTAAACCTTCTACATTTAAGGATATTACAATAGAAGATACGCAAAAGAATAGTGTTGCGTTGCAGAAAAATACACAAACTTCACCTGTGCATGTGAAAAGTATAATGACTTCACCAACTAAAATGAAAACGAGGACTACATCACCGTTTTCATTATCATTACCAATAGATCGACAAACAAGTCCTATGATATTCATAACAAATGAAGAAGAATTGAAGATTGAAATTGGAAATGAAGAAGATCTTGGAATATCCATTAATTTATCCTCGCCCAGATTTAGTTTACGCTTACCACAGAATTCTCGAGATGTACTTTCAAATCTTGAAGATAGTAATCAAATAGTGTCTAAGCAATACCAAGTAGAAGATAACCTACAAAAAGAACCTAAAATGTTTAAAAAATTTGCAACCTGTACTAGTACTAGTTCTATAGATGCAGACAATTCTTCCTCGGAAATTAGCAGTTTAGGCGAAATTAAATTAAAACTAAAAAGAAAATCAAAGAAAAATAGAGTTCCGTCCACTTCTGATACAAGTTCGTCATCGATAGTTTCCAAATATAGTTCTGATTTACAGTCGACCGGTATCCTGCCTTTGAAAAGTGAAGGGGAAGTAAGTGTTGACCAAGTTACAAAAAAGAATTTATTAAAACGTAATGGGAGTATTGGTGAAACTAGTGCTGGGGGATAGTAATTTAGATTGATAATTTCAGTGCTTTAATGGATTTTTAAAGAACATTGTTTAGAATTTAGTAACATTCCTTGTGTGCCTTTAACAATGAGAGTGTATAGTTAATAATGTTTGTTTGCCAAATCAAGTGTATTTGCCTCTATTGTTGTTTTTACCTCAAGTACAAATCAGTTATCGCAATATAATTTGTGATATTTTTATCCAATGTTATATTTAAGTGTAATATAATGTACATTAATTATTTTATATTATTAATTAGTAAAAGTAAGTCTATTTTTGCACTGATATAAATTTTAGAGCATTCTTTAAGTGTTTTGATTTACAATATACCTATATAGTTAAATGTATGCACATATTTTTAATGTGTATTGTATTTTTAACCAACTACAAAAAGAAGAGCAGGTTCTCAATTCATTTTATTGTTGTTGATTTTGTGTACATATTAATATCGCAATATTTTATTTAATTAGATCTTTTTTTAAAACTTGAAATGGCAAATAATCTGATAGTCTATCTGATGGAAAGCAGTATCAGTATCCATGAACATCATAGAATATTTTGTGAACACAGGAGGGAATACATTACTGTTTTTAATTTATACGTTGTTTTACATAAATCCTTCATTTATTCTTATTTTCTGCATTCTTAAATCAAAACCACAAGTAAATTTTAAAATAAACTCTAATTCAGTAGAAGTAAAGATGTCATACACAATCTTTATTTGTAACTAGTCATTTGCAGTAAAGAAATCTGGTACAAAATCAATAACTGTTTAATGAGTAATAAACTAACTTATCTAATAAAAATTAATATGTTTGTTGGCTTTAAACGAATTGACCCCTAAAGAGGTGAAATAGCGAATGACGAGCGAGGCTACATGCAAAAATATTGTAATAATTTGTACAAATTATACTAGATTTACAGGAGCGTACGCCATCATACCTCATATGAAAGTGTAAAAAGATGTAAGTGCTCAGCTGTTTTGGTATGATAAAGATGCTAAGTGCTGATATTTCACTTTATTAGAAGTGATGGGTACCAGTCAACATAGAATAAGAATAGTAACTTCTCTTTCTGCGTTACTGAATATATTTATATACTGTATGCTCTTAATCAAACTGAACTGAAATATACAATAAGATTTAAACAAAATAGAACTATAGATTGAGAATAGACGGTACTTTTTATTACGTAATAATAGGTATAAAGAAATTAAAAACATAGATTAGTAACTCTGCTGTTGAAAAAGCGCGGGAAACGTTTAAAAAAGCGGGAGTGTTTTTTGATCTTCTTTAAATTAATTTTATTTTTATTTATATAAGGATTAGTCTTTTTTATATATTGTGTATTAGATTGTATATTTAATTGTATATTTTGTAGTAATAGTGTTTGTTGCTGTAAATATTGGTAAGTAAATTACCTATATTAACATTATGGATCCACCTATAGACCCTGGGGGGACAACCCCCCAGGTGTCTGCAAATATAACTATTATAATAGTTTTGATATATTGGGTGAATCTAGTATGGACACAGATGGTTCTAGCGTTGCAAGTTCTAAACGTAAGCGAGTACGTGGTGAACGTCGCATTTGCAAACATTGCAATAAAAAACGAAGGAGGCACACCAAGGGTCTTGAATCTAAAATTAAAGATAGTGATTGTCAATGTATTGAAGATGAGAATCAAACTCAAGTTTCAATACCAGTTGTAAACAATACCGAGTCTGTTAAACCTGCTTCTCCACCCAGTACTTTAAGCAGAACTTTGTACAATGCCGAGGATATAGCACCTTATGTCGTTCATGTACAAAAAAATGAAACACATCCTAATGATAACACTACATTACATCCTATTGCATTTGGTCGCTTTTTACACACTAATAAGATAAATAATATAGTGAATGGTAGCCTCAAAAGAATAGGAAGAAACCGTTTATCGCTTTCTTTCTCAAATTTTGAAAATGCAAATGCATTTTTAAATAATAGTAACTTAGAGACACTTAATTTTAAGGCATTTATACCTTCTTTCCATGTAACCCGTATGGGAATTGTGAGGGGTATTCCTAAAGATTGGACAGAAGAGGAAGTAATCCAAAATATATCAGTACCGATAGGTTGTGGGAAAATTCTAAAAACCAGAAGAATAAAGAAAAAGACAATTAATGAAGGACAACCAAGTTTTATTAATACTGAAACCATTGTTATTACTTTTGATGGACAAATATTGCCAAAAAGAGTATTTATGTTTTACACATCATTAACTGTAGATTTGTACATTTACCCTACTATCCAATGCTATAACTGCTGTAGGTTCGGACATGTCAAGATGCAGTGTCGTTCAAATCCTCGGTGTTATAAATGCAGGCTAAATCGTACAGGTGATAAATGTGAAGTAGATGAGGAAAATGTTTCTTGTATCTTGTGTAATGGTTCTCATTCAGCAATTAGTAAAAAATGTCCTGAATATGCACGTCAGAAAGCCATTAAAGAAACAATGGCCCATAGTTGTGTTTCTTATGCTGAAGCATCAAAATTTCATCCTCCAACTTCTAAACTATATTCAGATGTATTAACATCATCATCTCCTTCCAATAAATCTCATTTTCAATCTTCTTTCCTTAAAGAGAAATCATCATTACCACATATACAATCATCATATAAAAAAACAGTTACACTTAAACCACGCTCTCCTCAAAAAATACAACAAGGATATGATCGTTCTGCCCATGAAGCCATAGTTAAGGAATATAATATTCCTGCTCCCTCTAATGGTTGTGCATTATCATCAAATAATATTGACAATAATCAATCCATCATTGATATTATTCTCATGCTTATTAAAGTGTTATCGCAATCGAAAATGATACAAACAACTTTACCACCGTCCAACGATGCCATTTACAATGTATTTTCTCAATTATTAACTTCTCACAATGGATTACAAAGTCCTAATAATTCAGTGGAACTGTCGTAGCATAACAAACAAGAAATCAGACTTATTTTATTTGATTAATAAATATAATCCTTTTATAATAGCTCTACAAGAGACTTGGTTAAAGCCAGGATATCCTTTTAGGATTTCAGGCTTTACAAGTCTCCGTGATGATAGAGCTGACGGATATGGCGGTGTTGCCATATTGGTCAAAAACTCCCTTCCTTTTTCTTCTTTTTCGCTTCCTGTATATAGCGGCATTAATGCAGCTGCTATAATTATAAATGGTATCTGTTTTGTTACTTTATATATTCCTGATCCCACATGCCAAATATATTCACAACTAGAACAATTATTTTTAATTTTACCTAAACCTTTTCTCGTAATGGGCGATTTTAATGCTCAGCACCAATCGTGGGGCAGTTCTACTTCTAATTTTAATGATGGAAAACTCCTGACGATAATTGACACTTACAACTTATGTATTATTAACTCAGATGTACCGACACGTAGAACTGCACCGAATGAAGGGTTTAGTGCTCCTGACATTTCAATATGTTCTTCTGATTTAGCTTCTTCACTGTCGTGGTATCCTCATTCCTCTACCTTCGGAAGCGATCACTTTCCCCTCATTCTTTCTTTTCCAATTTTCATTCCCTCAAGTCGAAAGAGTGGTTCTCGACTTAAATATAATTTATCAAATGTAGACTGGAATATTTACAAACAATATTTAGATAATAAAATATCGGAGTTACCTATTGTTTACCATGGAAATGAACATCAATGTTGTAATGACTTGATGATAAATATGAAGGAGGTTGCTGATTTATTATTTCCTGTTAAAAATAGTGCTTCAGGAAAAATTCCCTCCCCACCTTGGTGGGACAAAGATTGTACGGAAGCAATTAAAAATCGTAAAGAGGCTGAAAAAATTATAATAATTACATGACATCAGAAAATTTTGAAATTTACACCGCAGTTTCACGTTCTACTCGAAAACTACTGAAAAAAAAGAAATTGGAAGGTTGGAGAAGATTTTGTTCTTCTATCTGTCCAGAAGTTAATTCATCAGTCGTTTGGAATAATATTAAAAGATTCAGATCTGCCTTTAGTGATCATACATCACGTTCTGCACTCGATTTAACTTTAGCGAATAAATTTTTAGATCGCCTTGCTCCTAGTTATGTGCCGGAATGCCTTTACAATATTTCTCTATCCGTCTCTGACGAATTATCCGAACTTGAGTCTCCTTTTACTATTGTAGAACTTAAAGGTGTTCTAGCTTGTATTAAAGACTCTGCACCGGGAGAAGACGGTATACCGTATTCCTTTTTTAAAAATGCTAGCGATGCGACATTAATTTACTTTTTAAATATAATTAATTCCATAATTATTTCGGGAAATATACCTACTTCATGGAAGTCTCAGATTATTATACCATTTCTAAAGCCTCATAAACCACCTTCTGAACCATCTTCATACCGTCCTGTTGCACTTTCCTCTGTCTTACTAAAGCTAGCTGAACATTTAGTGAAGAACCGTCTAGAATGGTTTTTAGAAAGTAATAACTTACTATCCCCGAACCAGTTTGGTTTTAGGAAAGGTAAGAGCACCTTAGATAATGTGAGCATTCTTATTTCAGATATTCATATAGCTTTCTCACAAAATTTGTCAATCCTCTCAGCCTTTTTAGATATAAATTCTGCCTATGATAATGTAATAATTTCTATTTTAAAAACTAAATTACAAGCTTTAAATGTACCGGTAATGCTTTCTAATTTCATTATTAATATTTTATCAGAAAGAACAATACATATGGATCTAGATGAAGATACCAAATTATCTAGAACAGTATGGAAAGGCCTTCCACAAGGATCTGTTCTCAGTCCAATTTTATTCAACATATACACATACGATCTAGAATCATTCCTTGATAAATCCGTCAAAATTTTACAATATGCTGATGATCTCTTATTATATTTTATTGCGAAGTCCATAGAATCTGCTTCTGCCAAATTATCTGATTCATTAGATTTGTTAAAAACGTGGTTAGATGCAAATGGTCTTAATCTTTCTGTAACCAAGAGTAGTGTAGTTTTGTTTTCAAGAATGAGATCACCGCAACAAATTAAGGTGCTTTATGATAACTCATACATTCCTATAAAGACTGAAATTAAATTTTTAGGTATCGTGCTAGATAATAAATTAACAGGTCTGTCCCACTGTAATTATATTTCCACGAAATGTGAGCGTAACCTCAACATTCTTAGGTGCCTTGCTGGAGTTTGGTGGGGAGCACATCCCGTTTCACTAAAACTTGCTTATAATGGTCTTATAAGGAGTGTCATTGATTATGGAACTTTTTTGTTAGCTCCAGGAAGTTCATTTGCTTTTAAGAAATTGGATTTAATTCAATCAAAGGCCTTGAGGATTATCTCTGGAGCAATGAAATCAAGTCCAATCAATGCTTTACAGCTCGAACTCGGTGATCCACCTTTGGTTTTAAGAAGGCAATATTTATCTGATCGCTTCTTTTTTCGTTGTTTACAATTATCTGATCATCCGCTTATTCAAAAGTTATCTCAACTATATATCTTTATTTCGTCTTCATCTTATTGGAAACATAAAAAACCTCCATGTTTAATACAAAGTTATGAAAAATATAAATCCATAGAATCTCCCACTTTTACATCGTCCTGTTTTCCCATTTATAAATGCTCATATCAATCTTTAGTTTTATCTCCTAATATTAAATATGATTTTGGGTTATCAAAAAATGATTCAGAATTGAATGCCAAATTTATGTTTATAACTGACATTGAATGGAATGAATGGCACTACATCTTTACTGATGCATCAAAACCAGACAATAGCGGTTGTGTAGGTGTGGGTGTGTTTCATTCACAATTTAATATCGTTCAAAAAATTAAACTTCCACCGGAATCTTCAGTTTTTACCGGGGAATGCTATGGTATTTTAAAAGCTGTAGAATATATACTTTTAATGAAATTACATAAGGCAATAGTTTTCACTGACTCTATGAGCTCTTTGCAAGCTCTAACCAAATATCCGTTTAAATCAAAACCAGTTTATCCCATTATTTGTGACATAAGACAAAGTCTTTATCTTTGCATGTTGAGAGGGTATTCCGTTTCTTTTGCCTGGTTACCAGGACACAGTGGTATTAGCGGCAATGACAAAGCTGACCTTATTGCAAGAGAGGCTGTAACTTGTGGTGATATGTATCCGTATCATAATTACTGTAGTGACCTAGCTTATCTCCCAAAAATATATTTAAGGTATGCCTGGAAGGAATATTGGGAAAAAACAAGTACAATAAAAGGAAGATTTTATCGCCTTATACAACCCGATATTCCTTTCAAACCATGGTTTTGTAAATTAAAGCTTGGAAAGACCGCAACAACTATTATAACTCGTATGCGTCTAGGTCACGTATGCACACCTTCTCATTTATACAAGCTTGGTATTGTACAAAGTTCGTCGTGTAATTGCGGTGCTGAAGTGGCGGACTTGAATCATATATTCTTCTCATGTTCTAAATTTGACCACACCTCCCTTTTTAATCATCTCCGATCCATCCGTGTTCCATTCCCAACTTCTATTCTTACTCTACTTTCTTCCAATGATCCTATTATCTATAAAATACTATCTTCATATATATATGATAACAATATTAAGATTTAGTTATATTACATGAATACATTTATAGTTGCATCAATTGCTTTTCCTATATATTTATAAGTATATTCTCATATGTACAAGTATATCCTTCATATCCTATAAATATCCTAGACCTAATCCTTATCCTTTCTAAATTCGTTTGTGTTAGGTATTTTTATTACTATTATCGTTTCCCCGTTTTGTTCTTGGCAAAATACCCTAATATCGGGGTGAACGCCACAAAAGAAGAAAAAAAAAAAAAAAAACTCTGCTGTCAATTCAGTGAATGTCAGTCAGATACAGCATGTTCTGACAACAGAATGACGTCTAGCAGTTTTCATAGATTAGTGATGTGCAATATGATTATTTTATAATTGATTTACTCAATACTAGAAATTAATTAATTATTGATTACATAACTCTGCTTTTTGATAATTTTAAATAAATTATTATTTTAAAAAAGTGTTTTAAAATAAGTTATTATTTAAAAAATACTGAAGTCGATTTCCAGTTGTAAATTTAAATGCTATCAATGAACACTAAGTTGTTTTATAGACATCTCGTTTATTAGTATCTTTTATTCTCTTCGCAGTTATATATTATAATGTATAAATAGGTAAATAAATTATAATGTATAAAATAATTAAAGTTTTATGGTTAATTTAGAAGTTTATAGTTAAATATTTAATTATAATAATAAATATTTAATTTTATAAATTGAGCTTTGAGAAAGCTCACTTAGAATAATGTAAAATAAAGACTCTAAGGAAATTCTTAAACATAAAAAGTGAGTTGATTATTTTTAAAATGTAGTTTTTAATCGAGGACATAAACCTTTACCATTTATGACTCTTATCGTTATTAATGATTTACTGCGCACATCACTAGAATTTAATTGAATTGTGTTGACTGTTTTGTTTTCAATATTTGCGTCCCAGTGTTATCTTTCGAATTATTATTATTATTATTACCTATTATGTGGTGGAGTTGCTAACACTATGTTCTTTTAGAATATTTACTCGTGTGATAAATAAATCGGCAAACTTTTTATCACAGCTCTAATAATTTGAAATAAATTATCGAGGTTTGCTTACAATTCACTGAAAATGAAGTTATTTATTCTAATGACAAGTTTAGGATTGTGTTGGGCGAGAATTATACATTTTGAAAATGATTACCAACCTCAACAAGTTCATATTTCCTTTGGAGGTAAGTAAATTTTGTGCAGTAGGAAAGAATTTATTTTCTTTATTAAAAGTAACAAACTATTATTAAATGTATTATGATGGTTAATAATAAAACAAAAAAATATGGTTTACAAGTACTGACCTATCTATATGGGTTCAGAAGGGTTGGCCCTTTCTTTTCCATTGGTCTCATAAGAATTGTCTAAAAGAATTTAATGGTCATGATGAGTAAGTATATACTCATTTACTGAATTTTGTACTCTTTTTTCGCAAACCATACTCTTTTCAAATCCTGTACTCTGAAAGTACTCATTTGTATAATTTTATACTCACTTTTGTAATTTCACTAGGGAATGATTATTGGAGCAGTGAAAAGTCGCAACTTTCTCTAAAAACATTATCTGTTTTAACAGTCAAATTTTATATGCAATTATTTAAATGAAAGTTGTTTAGATGTGGCTACATTATTAGATGAAAATCCTCCTTTAATAAAAAAATCCACTCTGAAGAAAAATATGTTTTTAAAAGAAAATAAAGTTTTTATCATTTTTTCTTCTTTTGTTTTTCACCTATAAAATACTTGCAAAGTGTGTCTTTTTGAACAAAAAATAGTTGGTCACCTTAATGATGAGCAACAGCATCCCTCTTAAAACATCACCAAAGGCTAACTGCAATTGCCAACCCACCTGCCAAATGTGGGAACTACTAATGAAACTCCTGAAGGAAGATACCTATGTTCAGCTTCATTGCTGTAAATGGCTGATATTAATGAATGAAAAACACATAGTGTAATGTATATTATTTTGGAAAAAAGTTATGATATATTGAAAACACAATACATTTTAAGACAATTCTTAGTTTTGCTTTGATTTTATTATAAACATATTGTTTTATATAATACACTATATGCTGGTATAAATATAAGGCATGATGTTAAAATGCTTTATTTATTCTTTATTGACCTAATTATAAAAAAATTAACAGTATAAAAGGCAGATTTATGCTATATATAGCATTCTCTCCTAGTTAACCTTTGGCAAAACAGAATTTTTTTTTATACAACTTAGAATGGCAAACAAGCTGACGGTCCACCTGATGGAAAGTGGTAACCGCCGCCTAAAGACATGGGCAGTACCATGGACATAACAAAGTATACTGTATCTCCCTTGATACCCCCCATGCGTTGCCATTCCTGAGGACTCAGGTGTTATTCCTCTGTACCCACTAAATTCATGCCATATCCCACTCTTCAAACCGAAACACAGTCATGCAAACATAGATGTTTCATACTTGAAACACGAATGGGACAGAGGTACCCAAGCAATCGACTTTTGTACAAAGTCTCCCTCTGGTAAGAAGTAATAAAAATTAAATTATGAAGTAAAAACTATATTGAAAATTGTTGGGGATAAATAGTTATATATACTTACTTATGGTACTTTTATACTTTATTAAATAATAAAATGTACTATATATGTAGGTAGACTTAATATCAACATGACATAAACTGGTTCGAGTTACATAGCACATTTTATTTTATAATATCATATATTTAGGTCATATTAGATCATATATGAGTAAATATACATACACAAATACATTAGACCAATACTAACATATGCAAATATATATATATAATAAAACATACATACATACAGGATAACTGCATTACTCAGTAATTTGTTATATTAAATAACATTGTTATTGTCCATCCTACTTAATAAGCATTTGTAGATAACATTAACATAATTATGTTCACATTGATATATACCTACTTACAATAAATATATTGATAATTATTTACTGTAAGGAGGTATGTGCTATTATAAAACTATACACATAAAGTTATAAAAGGCGGTCTTATCACTAGGGCAATCTCTTACAGACATCCTTTACTGTTTTTTATGAGTGCAAAATTTAATAAGATGTTGATAAGTCATTGTGACATCAACAATTCTCATACTCTCATGGGGCTTAAAATGGGGAACTGTTGCACTGCCGAAATAATATTTACCTGTAGGTAATATACTGGTATTTTTAGGTTTACGTTTAAGTTATAGAATAAGCTCCCTGCTGAGGTTTGCCCAAGAAACTACAGCATGGGGTTCTTCAAAAGGGGGGTAAAGAGATTTCTTCAGGATCGGCAACGCGCGCGTAATACCCCTGGTATTGCAGGTGTTCATAGGCTACGGTAACCATTTACCATCAGTTGGGCCGTATGCTTGTTTGCCACCTCAGTGGTATAAAAAAGTTTATATTCCCCAAAATTCCATTGAGGCATATTTGTTACTCTTACAGACTGTCTTGAATTATTATCATCGGAAATTTTTCATTTTATTTTTTATGCCAAATATCCATATTATATAGTAAAAGTGATCAACATGCTTAATGCTTAAAGGTTTGATTTTATTATGTAAATCTATAGTACCAGACAATAATATTATTCATCTATGGGTCACCTAATACTAAAATTTCGTTTTACAATTAGATAAAACCAATGACATAGTGGTAACATGGTCCACCTTCAATGATACGAAGTCAGAAGTGAAATATGGAAAGCATCAGATGAATAAACTTGCTAGTGGCTCCAGCAAGGTGTTTGTTGATGGTGGCAAGATGCACAGGAGACAGTGGATACATCGCGTACTGCTGCCGAATTTGGAATTCAACACACGTTATAGTAAGTTTTCAAGCTCTCCATATATTTTGCCATTAAAAAAATCATTATTTTTAATGTACCCATTGCATAATTTTTGAACAAAGCCTCTCTTTTTAATTGAAAATCTTGTTTATACTTTTTATGTCTCTCTTCTGATTTAAAGAGATTTAGAGAAATCACATCTCAGAATCAACCCCATTGTTAGTTGCAAATTTAAATTGGATTTCGGCAATGTTACAGATAAAAGATAAAAATATCCAATTTATTATATTATATTCAACAATTAACTTATATTTTTATAAACCTTTCAGTGTACCGAGCGGGTTCTGATAATGGTTGGTCACAAATGTTCTCGTTCAAAACCCCTCCTGCTGGCGAGGACTGGGTGCTCCGCATAGCCATATATGGCGACATGGGCGTCAACAATTCAATGGTTTGTTTGAAAATCTGAGTATTCACCAACTATTATTTACACCACCAGATAGGCTGTATGCTTAATAGCTACATTCGTGGAATAAAAAAAAAAGATAACTTACTAACGTCCCGCTATTACTCATGGTCTCTCCATAACAGAAAGATAATAGTAATAATGAATTGCGCAAACAATTATAAATATTTATACGAATTTTGTAGTACAATAAGGAGCGTATGGTAACAGGCTCTGATTTCAGCTATAATCAGTCAAGGGGCTGTGTCAACCAATGGCAACCTGTCTTGCCGTATACTTGCCGTCCCTGGACAAATGCCTAGGAGTCTCTTGACAGACGACAATAAAAATTTATCAGGGATTAACGTTTCACCGTAGTTAATAAAGTATCAAATTCTTTATTAGTCCTCTCACGTCTTTTACATCTTTTTGACCTCCTTTTGGACCTACTTGGGTATTTCGCGAATAATTTTTATGTTCTTTCAGTCTAAACGTACCAAATTCTATGTTTTAGTTGTTGTTTTATTAATGCTCTAACTCTACGCTCTTTATTCTACTCTAAAACTATCTCGGTATTAATATTAAACCTTTTTTTTATATTATACTTTTAGTCATTGCCATTCCTCAAGGAAGACGTGGCTGAAGATAAATATGATATGATCCTGCACGTGGGTGACTTTGCATACGACATGAACGAGGAGGAGGGCCGCGTCGGTGACCGGTTCATGAACATGATCGAGCCGATTGCCGCTCGGGTGCCCTACATGACGTGCCCGGGGAACCACGAAAGTGCCTAGTGAGTACTCATGTGTAGAATGGTTATAAACATTTAGCTTGAATGGTAATAAATTGAAATGAGAACTTTCGAGTTTTATACTTTTTTTCTTGCTAATAACTACATTCTGAATTTAAGTCACTGAATTACGAATTGTATAAAAAACAATAAAGTATGAGAGCCTGATAATTTGCAGGAGGAGACTCCTCTGAAACTATACTGTACGTGATCATTTAGGTTCTAGCGTGTGAGGATGCATTTTCTATCGACGGCAAGCGATGATAAAAGGGTATTAATTTGAATGATTCCTCAGAACACAATCCGTTATGCAAATGGTAGTACACACAAAGGGAGGCAGTCTCGCTTTAGACTTAAGGGCTCGATACCGCCGTAAGCTTGTGATGCATATATCCAGTTCTTGTTTATAAATGAAGATTATTTCTGTACCGATACTTAACACAACTTTGTTTTATTTAAATTTGGTTCTATGGATTCATTTTTTAAATTCTAATATATTTTCAAATACTAATTTACTACACTTTGTCTAGACAGACAGGTACCCACAGCTGATTTTGCTGTCATGATATTATATACAAACCAGTACAATACTATTGTATATAATTTTGATTATTGTTTTTAATGTGCGTTAGAAAAAAAGAGAAATTAGAAATATGTCTACCTGATGACTTGGTATTTATCTCATTGATGTATATTGAACAGTAACTTCACACACTACTCACATCGTTTCACGATGCCTGGCGAGGAATCGAATCTCTACTACAGCTTCGACGTAGGACCAATCCACTTTGTCTCTATCTCAACCGAGGTGTATTACTTCACACAGTACGGGCTCAAGCTGATCAGTAACCAGTATGAGTGGTTGAAAAAAGACTTGGCTAAGGCCAATTCTGATGCTAACAGGTATGTATTCTTATGTCCAATATTTTTTTTCATTTAATTTCTTCCTTTTTTTAACTTTAGTATATGTATTTAAATTATACTTTTGATGCTCACCTACATCATAAGTAAGTACTTAAAAATATTTTCTTGTTTCTGGTTCATATTTTACTTTTGTACTACACTATACGTATTGAAAATTGTTTAACAAATCATGTTATGTTGGTGCAATAAAGTGTTAAATAAATAAATACTGTGCATTGTCTGTAAGTCAGTATTCAAGTTTTATTAAAAATATTCATTGTTTTTTTTTATACCACGAAAGTGGCAACCAAGCATACAGTGCGTCTCATGACAAACTGTAGCCTATGGACGCCTAGAAGTGTCATGTGCATGTTGCCGACCCTGAAAAGACCTTAATATACACTTTTTAAAAAGCACATACTAGAGTCTCTAGGGAAAACCGCGGCAAGAAATTCATTCACAGCCTGAGCGGTCGCAAGAGAAAATTCCTTTGAAACCGCACTGTACGTGATCATTTAGCTTTGATTTAAGCGTGTGAGGATGAATCCCCTGTCGATGGCGAGCGGTGCGATGATAAAAGGATTTTGTTTTTAATATTTGCAATAATTAAATCAACGACTTAAAATAATTTCAAATTATTATTTGAGTGTTCTGTATTGTGCCTCTAGATGTTTGTTGGCTGGTTGTTTATAACACAAGGAATCCTATCTTATTAATTATTGTTATTACGATTTCAGAAAGAGTCGCCCTTGGATAATATTATTTGGACACCGTCCGATGTATTGCAGCAACTCTAATGACATTGACTGCAGCCTAGAATACACCAGGAAAGGTCTGCTTGGACTGTATGGTTAGTAAATATACGCCTTATCTATTTTCATACCATCTATGTCATGAAGATTTGTAACTTGAAGTATTGATAGGTTAATAAATTTGTTGCCTAATTTTATGTTTTATTTTATCACATGATAAAATAAAACATAAAATTACCTTCGTTCCAATAATACTCTCCAATTATCTTTCCCCTCTCACCGTACTGGTTACGCTTCAAACTCTTTTCTCCTACATTCTTCACGACTCTGGAACGCGCTTCCTGATGCCATTAAGAGACTACCGACTAAACCGTCTTTCAAAAAAAGCGTTCACGTTCACTTTTTATCTTTATCCGAGCAATAAGTGCTTTATATTATTCCCAAATTCGTGTATAATATAGTATATATCATATATGTGTAAGTATATTTGTTATTCATATATATTTATTCGTTTATATATGTAATTTTAGTATGTATGTATATCAATAATTAGTAGTACCGCATTCGAGTATTCTGACACTTCCCTATGGTTGACTGGGAGAGAATGCTTTTAGCATTAAGTCCGCCATGTACACATATTTGTACTAAAGAATAAATAAATAAATATCTTCTCCAAGAGTTTAATGATTTTTTAACATTAAAGTTTATTGATGACAGGTTTGGAACCTCTATTGAAGGAGTTTGGTGTAGATCTAGTGATTTGGGCTCATGAGCACTCGTACGAACGGACTTGGCCGCTCTACGACAACCGTGTTTACAACGGCTCCTACCTTCAGCCATACGTGAATCCAAGGTGACCATTACTAATACTATTATTTGGTGGTGGGGTATGGTAGCAATGTGATGTTCACGATGCTACTCGTGTCTACAGTTAACGGTTGCCACTTTTTATCAGGGGAATTGTCAGGTTGTTTGCCGTCCTAAAGTTAGATTCACACTATATACTAGTATTTATTCTTGATATTTTACAAAACCGAGAACGAACCGTGACCGGTATTATAATGCGAATTTAGCCTAAGTTTCATAAAAAATAACAACTGTAATCCTTCTAAATAAGTGGCAAACGAATATATATTTCGGACAGAAAGAAAGAACGAGATGTTAGACATCGCCGTTTCGTTTGCTCTAATGCACGCAGCAGCAATAGCATGTCTCTCGATAAATCCATTTGCCATTTCTCTGGACAAAACGGAGTTAACGTGATAATTTTTAATGGATGAAAATGAAATAGTGACATCGCCCGAACTATCGGTATACATTGACGAGATAGCAGTGAGAGATGATAGGTCAGAATGAAGACAGGTCAGTTGGCCCACGGTGATAAAGTCAACGATTATTGACCACGATAGTTTCTAAGGGACACCGCGTGGGGGTTGACCTGATAGCGTATATTGCTAAGGAGCAATCAAAGACAAGAATCAATAACAAAGGGGGACCCCCATCATTAACAATCTCTTTCCTCCTCCAACTTGACCTAGGATTATAGTCGTCAATCCGAGGTTCAAGTTAGAATTAAAAAAAAAAAACTGCATAATGTTAATGAACTCCTAAGAAGAAAATGAAGAAGTATCTCGTAGTTCTCTTAAAATCTGTAATATTTTATTTAATGAATATAACGTGAGATAATTGTGATAGGCCACTTCAAGGGCATTAATGTTTACAATTCATTAATACCAGGGGCGTCACAGTGTAATCTGGTGACCTCTTACTATCGTTGCATCAAGTGAGCTATCAGTTTAATTAATTTATAGTTATATAAAAAATATAAATTTTATGAATAAATACATAATTATGGTGGACAATGTTGCCATTAAAATCTGTTTGGTTTATTCTGACGACGGAAGGTAATTATGAAATTTAATTATTTTTTAATTTTCGTCTGTATTTTAGTTTAAATGTGGTCTGTGTGTGTTCTTTAAAACATTTTTATAAGCGCATACCTAGAACAATAATTTGGTATTTATTCATGATTATTTAAATCAACACGATTTTATATAGATTTTAACTTTTTACATCATGCCTGCTATTTATACTGTATACACTAGCTTCTTTTTATAATAATAATATTAAAAATATGTTAAGATTTTCATAAATTGATAAAGATATTATATTTGATAGTGTAATAATCTTCACAGACAAAAAAATACATGTTACCGATTTAAAAAGTAAAAATGTGGCATTAACGTAATTAAAATTATAATAAGTACATAATAATATATGTACACTTTTTTTTATATAAAATACAAAATAAATGTAGCCTATCATCCTAGTACGTATCCATTTTTATCACCAAGCTATTTGCGTGCACCTTTTATGTTTTGAGCCACTATTAGCTTCTACATTTAGTAATTGATTATATTCTTTACATACATACTATTATAAAACTGTGTTACGTTTCAGGGCTCCGGTACATATTATAACAGGCTCGGCAGGCTGCAGGGAGGGAACTGATCCATTTGAAAGTGAGTATAAAACTGTGGAAAAAGAGCTGACAAATAATTTCATAGTTACAGTAGCGCATTTTGAACGGTATTTGGCCACCTAGTAAAATACATTTTGTAAAAGTCTGATTGAGTGTAACTATTTCATAATTATTTTAACATGTTTATTAGCCATTTTTATACATAACAAGAATATAACTTTTAAATTTTATACTCATCTATGTGTACACCTTTATTTGATAATAATGACGACCTCACAAGGCTTCGGCAACCCAGCTACTAATTTTTCCAATGTTGTCTTGGTTATCTTCTGCCATTCTCTTTGCAGAATTTTTTCCACAAGTCTTCTTGAGATGTGGAACAAAGTTTTTGCACCTGTCTATCTATTATATCCCATAATAGTTCTATGGGGTTAAATCAGGGGACTGTGGAAGCCTTATCCATAGTATATAAGTTTCAACGCCTGTTTATCTTTTCCTTTTTAAAAAGTCCTTGCATAGTCTTGACGTATGTTTCGGATCATTTTCCTGATGAAATATAAATCGCGGATCAATTAAATGGGCTCCACAAGGCATTACACTGTTCTCCAATATCTTTTTGTAGCCTTCTTTTTTTAAGATTCCATGTATTCGCATAAGATCACCAACGGCGGAGCCACCAAACCATCACACCCTCCACCGTGTTTAATTGAAGTTACAGTACAAGCGTCATTCACACCCTTTCGTTTGACTGCCGCCTTACGAAAACTCTTCCTTTAGTTCCAAAAATTTCAAATTTTGATTTCGTCCGTCCAGAAGACCTTTTCCCAATCTGCTATTGTCCAAGTCTTGTGTTCTCTCGCCCTATTAAGTATCTTCTTTTTGTTAATAGGTTTAAGAAAAAGGTTTTAAGACCGCTATACATCCCTTGTGTACTGCGTCACAAAATCTATTTTTAACTGTGGATGCACTGACTGGTTTGTCATTAAACTGTGTTGCTATTTCCAATGCAGTTAATCGTCTATTTCGTTTGCTATTAATGTTCCTTCAGCCGCAAACTTCTTAACGATGTAGTCAAGAGTTTGTGTTGGTATCTTCTGTAGTCTTGAAATATTACGATTACTTTAACCGGATTTATTAATAAATTGGGAATATTTCTTAGTTCTTCCAATTTCCTTAAAAAAATAAAACTCCGAAATAAAATAAAAAAAATATTGGTAGACTTAAGTACTAAACTATGGTGAGCGTGTTTTCTGGTCAAATGACATCAGATAACTGACGTAATGTTTTGTAGTCATTATTCTATATTTTATTTGTGTTTATTTCACAATAACTAAATTAAAACAAAGTGGCGACTTCAAAGATTCAAAGAAATCTCGACAATAACCCTATTATGGTTTTATGACCAGAAGTCGGCGAATAACAGTAAGCTGTTTACAATTGTAGTGACCAGGTTACTTGGCCCAATATGATGAATTCACTAGGAATTAATGACGACGACTGCGTGGCGTCGAACTAGTAGGGTATAATGGATTTCACTAGTCCTCATTACTATAATCCTAATCGCTCCCCCCCCCCCCCCGTGTATAACAGCGTTAGTCGAGCTATCATTACATTTTCATCCCATAAAGAGGACTGCGCATTTGAACCTACTTAAAATCTCTTTTGTCCGCAGAGCCTGCCCTGCCATGGTCGGCGTATAGATCTAGCGAGTACGGTTACACCAAGTTCAATGCCTACAATAAGACCCATATTCATGTGGAACAGGTAATATCCTCTTATTTAATTTTGTTACCAACCGAAAAAAATGGAATTCTATTACAATTTGGATTTACTAGTGGAAGATTTTGTACAAAAGTCGCTTGCTTTATCCCTCTGGCGCCTCTTTTTTTCTACTGTTCTTGTTTGCCGTCGTTTTGTTTTGAAGGGTGGAATATGATAGTGAAATTACAAGGTACGGAGGTATAACACCGTAGTTTGCAGAAAACGTTGACCATGGTCATTTTTTTTTTTGGGTGAATATGGAATGGTAACTCCGCCTGCGCTAACGGGATACGCTGGCGGAGCACCAGTGAAGGGTGATAGATGAGAATGAAAACAGGCCAGTTAGCCCATCATGATGAATTCATCAGGAATTAACCATGATAGTTCCCAGGGGGAACCGCTAGGAGGTCGACCTGGTTGGGTATATTGCTAGCAATGGAATTCTCAGTCTCCATTACTAACAATCCCTTCCTCCCGTTGACCATGGTCATCACATTGTAGGATACACAGATTATACCCTAAGTTATAGGACACTAACTAGCTGTTTCGTCCGTATATAACTTATCCGTGTACCAAATTTCATTCAAATTCATTCAGTAGTTTTTCCTTGACTCTTACTGACGACCATTCATACAAAATGAAATATTTCATATATAAAAGTAGAATTTTATTTTCAGGTGGACGTGGAGAATCCTATAGACTCTCGCAACCCGCGTGTCATCGACCAGTTCTGGCTGATCAAACACCTGCATCAACCATATTATGATCTTTGAATATTTACATTTTCATACATTTCATAATCGATCCCTTTATATTTAGTATGTTAATAATTTGATCGTTTATTAATGTGTAAGCTCATTTTTATATGAAATTGACATTAAATGTCAACAATAGATATTGATTATCAAGAAACATGATTTTTTTTGTTAGTAGAGTTATTATGTTAATCTATGGTAATAGTTTTTTTTTTAAAACAAGGAGTACATGTTTACTTCTCTCTTTTTTTTTAATAGATGATAATTGAAGGTTTCTCCACCTGTATTATTGATTTACCAATGTAGGATGACAAAAATTGATAGTCAGGTCAGTGGGACATAGTGATTAATTCACCAGATATTAAGCATGGCGGGCATGACTTAGTGGGCCGCTAGATGTAGTCACTAACGATTCAGCCCAAATTTCATAGTACCTATGTTAAACTTGTTCATATTGGAGTAAGGTTAAGTATCTAAAGTTTTTTTTGTGAAAAAATCAAATATTTTATTAATAAGATCTGGAAATTAGTTTAATTTGTGACTGTTCATATATGATGGTACTTCAAGTTAATGATTTTTTTAATTATCTTGTAGTTATGTTTACTCTTGGAAAACCAAAGATTAGTGATTATATAAGTAAATATATTAGTCTTGAAATTTTTTTTTGTTAATGAGTAAAATGCCAATTATTACTCAAGCTAGTAAAACGAATTATTGTCTGATTGTAAAATGGAAATTATATAATATCGATTGTAATTAATATCTTTTTGATATAATAAATTATTGGTGATCAATTTGTTCATATTATTTTTATGCCTTTATTATTATTGGTATACAAAAAAATCTAGATACACAATCAGAGACAATAATGTACCAAATTTTGCATAATGTTTTGAATACCCGACCGTTTGTATTTAAACGTCATATTTCTTATGTTAACATCTGCAAATGTAGTTTATTCTTTACAATCCCATTCATATGTTGCGCTATAATAACTTTGAATTCGAAATAACCTAATCTAAGATAATCTATTATATATATGTACATGTGAATATTGATTTTATATTTACAATTTCAAAAAAGGAGAAAATTCTCAATTAAGTTGTATTTTTTGTTCCTTCATAATGCCGTTATAAACTGAATTGAAAAATTATTTTTTTATCTGAAAGGTTATACCTACTTTTTGATTGATCCCATTTTTTTTTTATTTTTTCATTTAAGAGTTTCCTCTTGTCGGTGCAACTAATTCATGCATCTTCTTCCAGCCAGCTCTATCCCAGGCCATATCCTTGATCTCCCTATACGACATGACACCTAATGTTTCTTTTAGAATATTAATTCCCATAGATTTTTTTTTTAATAACACCAAAGGCAAGTACTTAATAGTGGTTTCATATAAGTGCTTGCGGAATCTCTACATATACATGTAGAGATTCCGCAAGCATTTGAAGCAAAATTGCGAAAAATATAAATATTTCTTTTTTAACTGATGGTAACGGGATAGTAACCTCGCCTGCTTTATCGATATACACTCGCGGGGCACCAGTGGGGGCTAGATGCGGATGAAACAGGTCAGTTGCCCCATAATGAGAAATTCAACAATAATCACGATAGTTTCTAGGATGAACCGCGTAGAGTATATTGCTAGCAATGGACTTACTAATCTCAATTAATAACAATCTCTTCTCCCCCCAGCTATAGCTACTTTTACATATTACAAATATTAAATATAGCTACGTAACTGTTTTTAGTTTTCTTCATATATGTTAAAATTGCTGTTTATAGGGCTCCGGTTCATTTGGTTACGGGTTCTGCGGGTTGTCGAGAGGGTCGAGATCACTTTAAAAGTAAGTTATATTAAATAGACTATAAAGTTTATAACGATATTAGAAAATTATATTTTAAAATTAAAATATGACGGATATATATATATATATATATATATGTAATATAGGTATACCCTCCCTATAAACTAACATTGAAAGTTTTTATATAATTCATTCACACAGATAACCCAGCCAAGTGGTCAGCGTTCAGATCTCAAGATTACGGCTACACCAAGTTGAAGGCGTATAAGAGAGGACCCATTTATATAGAACAGGTAATTCTATCTATAAAAAAATTAAGTGTAGATACTCTATGTATCATATGATTTCAGTTACTAAATCACTTCTGTAGAATGAATTGGCAGCGGTCACTAACTACCAATCTACAAAAAATCTCCAATGTAAATTTTAAAAAATCAACTCATTGGATAAAACAAAACTTGCTCTAATTTCAACATATCTACTTAGAGCCGATAAACGAAAACAATTGTTTATAAAATATGCTGGTTCTTGTTATATATTTTTATTATTTATTAATAATATTATATTGTAAATGAAATTACCGTCTGTTGACTTGATGTATTATATATTTTTTTGTTCTATTTCAATTGTATATCTATTTTCTTTTTTAAAAAAAACTACAATTGTAAAATTTTATTTTTTAAAATGGGTGATAATGGAATTGTATCCCTACCAGCGCTATCGGTATACGCTGGTGGGGCACCAGTGAGAGATGACGGGTGATGAAAGTTAAGGTCAGTTAGCCCATCGTGACAAATCCCATGAGAATTAACCATGACGGTTTCCAGTGGAACCGAGTGGAGGTCGACCTGATAGGGTGTATTGCTGGCAATGAGCCAGATAGATTACTAACAATTCCTTTCCTCCCAACGAAAACAATTGATCACATCACATACACGTTTATATTTCAGGTGTCGGCAGATCTTGATGGCAAAGTTATTGATTCATTTTGGTTACTCAAGAATTTTTATTAATCTATGAGACAGCGGTAGGCTTGCCACCTGCCACGATGGATTCAAAATATGCTTTGCAATATGTTCAGCACAATGGCAAAAGTCAACAAATAAATGACTCCTCAATGTTATTAAACTCCCACCAAGCTACTATGATCACTGTGTGTACGTAAAATGGATGCTTTTTTTACCCCGTGTAACTCCGCCTACGTTATCGGTGGTACCGATGAGCGGTAATAGGTGAAACTAGGTCAGTTAGATCATTGTGATGAAAAGAAATATACATAATGGTTTCCACGTGGAGGTCTACCTGACTAGCAACATACCCTATATTGCTAGCAATGAGTTACTAACACCAACATGTTGGTCAGTGATAAATTACTACAATAAAAACGACGATAAAAAGCTGGCAGTAAAGACAAGGCGACAGAGCCCAGTTAATCTAACCAGAAGACTAAAACCTAATGAACTCACGTGCTAGCAGCGCGAGCGCCCGTTCATAGTATGAGCTCTTTAACTAGCTATAAAACATCCACTGTGTCCATATTCATAACCTGCCTGACGTTTACGTATTTATTTATCATTCGATCAACTAAGTTACCGTTTATGTCGAAATCTGGTATTGAAAACAACGCCTCTAGCAAATTAGTTTCGGAAACTTAGATTTTCCTAAAAACTTGTCTAAGTAAATTTAGTAAAAAATAAACACTAGGGACTCGGGCCTTAATATAACTCCCACTAAATATTCGGATAAATTTAACAGATAGATGGTTTATATAATAAAAGAATTCATTGCATAATTTTGTTTTATTGATTCGCCTTTAGATTTAAAGATCTGTAAAATACAGTAATCATATAACACGGGTATTCCCCCATATAACGCGGGGATTGAACATTATATTAAAAAAAAAGATGTGGATTGAACGTTATTTCAGATAGCTCTGAAAGTGAGTAAAGATGCAATAAAATTGTTAATTTATTTGAAATTAACTGTTTTTTAGTTACATATGCATAATTTTTTTATTTAAAATGTTCTTAGTTTGATTTTAATAAAACGCACATATTTCGTTCATAACATGGTTTTTTCTTAATATTCGATTTGAACCCCTCTTAACGAGAAAAGCTAAACATGAATTATTTGTACATAACGTGTTATACGGAGTCACAGAAGGACGTTATATGAGAATACTCCAACTCGGTTTCCTATAACACGGAACGAATCTACCGTGTTAAAGGGGGGATTACTGTATACTTTTGTATCTAAATATCTTCTTTTCTATCTTCTATTATTTTTCATTAACTTATTCATTTCTATATATACAGACTGGATGTTGTTGTGAACATGCTTATTCTTTTTATTTCGTTTCCTTATTTTACTAGGTCTCTTCATATTTACAGTATTCATATTGTTACCTATTGGGTGTGAAATGTTTAATTTTTTTACTAAAATTGCTTCAAGAAATTTATTTTCACTACACTCTTTGTACACTACAGCTGCATATTTTAATTGTGATAAGAAACTGTCTGCCATTCTTCGATAAACGCCTCCAGAGGTATTCCTACTATGATCAAACGGATCTTGTATGCATATTGTCGCCTTTACATTAAATGGTTTACACACTCCATTTATCACATTCTGTTTGTATAGGACAAATTGTTTTGGAACAGTTCTAATCTCTTTAAATGACTCCACGCTTAAAGGAGTTCCCAAATATGGCGACACTATGTTTTGTTTAAAATCAAAATTGTTATAATATTCAAAGAAACCTCCCAAAAGTTTATACAGAGACATATTATTAGTGGATTCAAAATTTAAGTCCCAATTGAAACTTGTGTTCCAGCCATCAACCATAATTGTCTCTTTATTTGTTTGAAGTTGTATAACAGAGGGTAAAACTTTTAATTGTTGCAAGTAAAATATGACCATCATGGTCAATGTATAATTAGGTAACTTATTAGTACCTGTAAGGTCATGCACTTTTGACCAATATTTTATTAATACAGCAAGAGGAAGTGTCTTTGTATCTGTATGTAATAGCAAACTTATCAGTTGACTATTTCTTATTCCCGAGATTGATGTAAAACTAACATCACAGTGACAATTTGTAGGTACATGATAGCATTTCACAATCGGCACTTTGGCTTCTGTTATCGCAAACAGTTCTCTGAAATTTGATGAATACTTCATCAGTGTGTACTTAGCCTGCATTACATATTTATCACCAGGTACTTGGAGGTGATTTGGTATAGAGACGTAGCAATCAGCATCACTGGTTTTTATCCCAAGACCTGTCACTATAGAGCCAAATGGCATAACAAGACAACCTGAAAATAACATTTAAACTTATTTCAACAAACCAAGGTTTACACATAAGTGTACTAAATCTTTAATTCGGTAATATAATAATTACATAAATTGTTTACATATTTTTTTAGTTTATCCTATTATTATTAGAAACAAAAATCAAATTTTTCCTCTTTATAATATTCATTTAGATATACATATGTTAGTATAGCTAATATTTTAGTTTGAAGAGACATGGCAGTAAAATTATAAGGTATGAAAATCTAACATCTTAAACTTCAGGAATGGCAATGGATGGGTGATGCTATGAGCATCACAGTACATTCTGTTTCATTCATTCACAGTCACCACTTTACATCAGGTGGCAACCATTCCATATTGCATAAATGAATTTCGAATACTCAAATATTATTTTTAGTATTGGAAAGTTAAAAAGGGTGTAAACACCTAAATAGTAACTTTACATCAGAAGTACAAAATGTAAGTAAAAAAAATATTTCGGGTTAATTTTTTTTATAACAATAATATATAAATTGTAGATTTGATAAATATTTCAATAAATGTCAAAACTAAAATTTTATGGAAATAGGTCACAATCACATTGGTAGTATTCTTTTGTCATTTAGAAATTCATTAACAGAATAATAAGTATTGAATTACTGTCTGGCATCGGATTCTGTCATCAGTAAAATAAATAAAAAATATTAGAATTATATTCACCAGGCCAAGCCCTCTGTAAGGTTTGTTCCAAGTCTGAAAAGAGCCATCTTAAATTTTCCACTTCAGCTCGTGACAATCTTACATTCCGTAATATGTAGTCCACTTGTGCATTGAAATCTCCATCGAGTTTTAATAGAGATGTATCTAAAATATCATCTGTAAAAAAAGTATAAAAAAAAGGTTATTTTATTTAATTAAACCTTTAATACACAAAAATTATCTAAAATAGAAACTAACAATCTTTTTAAAACCATTAATAAGACTTGGGTTTTTTTGATGGTTGAAAGTGGAATGATAACCCTGCTTGTGCTATCGGTTTACCCTGGTGGGGCACCAGTGAGAGATGTTGGATGATGATGAAAGTCCAGATCGATGAACCCATTGTGATGAATTCCACAAGAATCAACCACATTGGTTTCCAAGGAAGACTATGGTCAATATAATACTGTACATTGCATGCAATGGAGCTGTTAAACTCTATTATTAACAATCCTTTTCCCCCCATAAGATTTGAGCTTAATACAATATTTGTACAGTATTTTCTGTAGACATATAGAAAATAAAAATTTTATATCTAATTATTAGAATTATGCCATAGAAATTTTACTAAGATTAGGAGTAGATGAGTTGTGTAGTTTGGATATTTATTAATTAAATGTATTAAATTCAAATTTGACCATATTGGTAGGTTAAATACAAGTGTGGTCGAGTGTCAAATTCTGTTAAGTCTAGGTCGTTTTATCTCTCTCGTTTTATAGATAAAACAAATAATATTATTGTTTATTTTCAACGAAACCTGAAGTAACTAATCAGACCCAAATGTCTAAGGTCTTCTATATATATTCAAAAGTTTGGTCTACTATTTTTACGAATAAATTGGGTAGTAATTTATTTATAGAAGTCAAATACAAATAGCTTTATTTTGTTTGAAAAACAGTATAAAGGATGGTATATAATATTTAAATATTGTTCACATTTTTCACCAGAATCTGGCATACAAAATATAATACAATATTTAATTGTGCTACTATACTACACTAATACTATATTACTTATATCGTCATATTATATAAATGTCAACATATTTACATATTAATAATAAATTATACAGATTACAAATTACATTAATTGAGTCACATATTCAAGCTTTAAAATATTCAAAATATTCATTTTTCTATCAGCAACCTTTTTAGTTTCTTTTTAAATATATTCAATGGTAGTGTTTTCATTTCATCCCTTAATTTATTATAAATGCTTATTGTCATACAGTAGGCATTATTTCTGCTATACAAAGTTGTAGTTTTATAAGGTAGTACTAAGTTTTGGGGATTTCTTGTGTTAAAATTACAGAAATCACTTTTCTTTTTAAATAAATGTAAATGTGTTTTTGCAAATATGCATACTTAATATATATATTTACATGGGACAGTAAATATACTATATATATATTTTTTAATGGGTGATAATGGAATGGTAACCCCGCCCGTGCTATCGGTATACACCGGCCAGGCACCAATGAGGAAGATGATAGGTGAGGATGAAGCAGGTCAGTTAGCCCATTGTGACGAATTCAACAAGAATTGTTCACGATAGTTTCCAGGGGGATCCACATGGAGGTCGACCTGATATGATGTATTGTTAGCAATGGGTTCATTAGACCCCATTATTAACAATCCATTTCCCCCCAATAAGTATATTTAGTTCCTTGAATAATGATTGACAAGATGTACGTGAGTCAACGTTACAAATCGCCCTGATTGCACGGTTTGCATAATACGAGTTACCCCAAAGAAGTATAGCATATCTCAAAATAGAACTGACATAACCATGGTATGCCTGTAAAGCTGTTTCTTTATTGCTAATCCTTCTTAGTCGCCAGAGAGCATACGCAAATGAATTTAGTTTATTGCATAGTTTATCAATATGATCAGCCCAGGAACATTTATCATCCAATGAGACACCTAAAAAGTCGTAAACCAAATTCTTGAATCTATACTCAGCAATTACAAGATTGCAGTTATGCCTTGTATTTATTTTGGTGTTGTAACATAGTTTTACTATAAATACAGGTGAAGACAAAAGTAATAAGGGAATTACCTTCCAACTCCATGATTTCATTTGAATATTTTAGCTAAAATTTCCAGATAAATTTAAAGGTATGTAGAGAAAAAGTTGTAAAAATATGTTCGTGTTAAGTTTCAAAGTATTAATTATAGAGTAGATAAAAAATATTGTAAACAAGTTGTTTAAAAACATTTCAAACAACAGGTAAAAATAAAAAAGAAATCAATTTTTTTTTTTTTTAGTACGTTTGTTCCGTTTGGAACAGGCTAAGGTCGGAGACCATGCTGCCTAGTCTTCAAAAAGATAATTTGTCTGGAATGAGAAATCAATTAAGTTTGGACCACAGAGTATGTAATTAAATACATTATAAGAGAACAAGGAACAGGGTTGCCAACTCGAATTTTAGATAATTACTAGATTATATGCCAAATTTTGGTATAAATTGGTAGAATGTAAAATGCAAAATTGGTAGGTCTACACCTCAATTAAGAAGATTTTTTAAGATTAAAATTGCATGATCTGGTCTTAAAATGTTTATTTTTGGAAATTAAACATATTTTTATTGAAAAATTGTAAATGTTTTGCGCTAGACTGCCCGTTGTTTGTTATGAATCTTTTAGAACGCAACAATTCTTCTAGAGTCTCCGTGGAAATTCTATTTTTCTGAAAGGTTTTCGTATTATTAATTGCAGAAAACGATCTCTCAACGTTGGCGCTACTATGTGGAAGTGCGAGTAATTTTCTCATGAATTCGCATAACAGGGGAAACATTGGAGACTGGTCTTCTTTTTTAATGGATGAAACATGCTTCCAGAATTCTTCAGGTGTAGGATCCACATTTTTTTCTGTGAAATGAAATGTCATGTTTCTTAATAATCTCCACTCTCGGTCCAATTCGGTCATGTTTTCTGGGCATAGTCCTAAAAATAAAAATATAATGTAAATAAATAAAATATTCTAGAGTGGACAAGATTAATAATTAATTACGTTTAACTTGCCTGGAACAGAACACTTAGTGAAGTTTAGGTAATTTTTTTGACAGTTTTAATATTTGTAAATCGTACAACACAGCAGTGTATAAGTACGATAAAATAAAAGTACCAAAACAGGCATTAAGAAAGATTAAGTGTAGATGTTTGATTTCAACTTATTATGATTCAGTAAAAGCGAAAGAAATTGTAGCGATTTGCAGATTGCATTTGCTATTTGAGTGGAAATTAAAACTTAGATTTGTTAAACTTGTCATAACATAAAATGGATCAAAGAATTGTTTTATCAGCCATGTTAAGTCCGCCAAATGTATATAGAATTTTCCTGTGCATTAAAGTTTAAATAAATATTTTTTTTAAGATCATTAAATATTGCTTGTGTTGTCAGTAAAAGATATAACACAAACAATATTTAAGTACTATAACGACAAATGGGCTAGTTTTGGTAATGTTTCTTTTTATCAGTAGCATAATTAACTGTGCTATGAACCACAAGTACAATTTAAACTAGAGATGTAACAATGACATAAAAAAATTGTTTTATTTATTCTTAGAATTACGAAAGAAAAACCTTTGCCAATCATACTGTAAAAAAAATTTACTGTAGCCATAGTGCCAAGTAATTCAAAATTTGGCGCTACTATTCATAATTCCGAAATGGTATTATACTTCCCACATTTTATAGTAACTGAAAAAAAATTAAACAAGATAACTTTATATTAAATGTGGTTTCACAACAAAAGTAGCTTTGTTGTATTTTAATAGCCTAAATCACTAAAGTCAAAACGCATGTGTGTAAGCGAGACAAAGCATGACGCTGCTTGTGTAAGAGCGAGATGAATAGTGTCTTTCCATAAATCTTAAATGGCCGTTTCCTCTGGTGTAAGAAAAAAATGTAAATAGTTTCACAGTACTCCCTTAAAATAATCTTGTGGACTGGCATAAAAACACATTAACAAAACTCACCCATTTGTCGTTGTAGTACTTAATGATTTAGTTCAGTGTCTAATGTTTTTGTTTTCAGTAAAATATTTGTATTTTTTTAATACAATTCAGAATGGTAAACAAGCTGACGGCCCACCTGATGGAAAGTGGTAACCGTCGCCTATAGACATGAGCAGTACCATGGACATAACGGAGCATACCGTTTCGCCCATGATACCCCCCATGCGTTGCCATTCCTGAGGACTGCATGTATAAACCATTATCACTTACTTTCCGTTGGACGTTGAATTTAGGGGCACCTATATTATGCTATTGATAGTGTCTAGATGTAAAATTAAGTCTTTTATTCATAAAAATAAACCTTCTACAAATATATTTTAACTATTTCATTGTTTTGTCACTTTTAAATGGAGAATTTAACTCGAAAGAGACAAAATAGTTCAATAGCTAAAATAGGTTTAAGGTTTGTCGTTTTAATAAGAGGTAATTTACTCATGCTATAGAACATGTTAGGGTAGAAATTTTGTCCGAATGAAGCATTTTAAAAACGACAAAGTTTGTAGTAGTTTATACTAAATGTTGAAACATTATTGGGGTCTAATCAATGGCGGTCTAAACCCGCCAGAAGCTCGACGTAGCGAGTTGAATGAAATTTAGGAAGTTCATGTAATTTAACAAGCTTTTTGTCCAGTTCACATTTGTATTTGTTTATGTTTATTTAGTTATTTACTTCGATGTTACATTCTTAAGATTTAATGCAACCATATAGTCCCGTTTTTTCAGATGACAGCATCATTTTAGATTTGAAACAAAAACAGGTTAAAATATTAGTTACGTATGCGTTTTTCTCATTATCAAATTAATTTCAGGTAAGGTAAAAAAAAAAAGTAAACAGTTAAAAAATGTTAAAAGATAACCACATAAATTTTGAAAGTGAAATTTAAATTAAACAAACATACATAGGATATGAATAAGGAAAAAGGAGGCGTTTGGAGGCCACTAGGGCCAGACACCTAGAGCAGGCCGCTCTTTCCGCCAACCCGTTAGTCCGCCACTAAGTGTAACAGGCCCTAGCTACATGCCGACCTCCTTGCGATTCCCATTGGAAACCATTGAATTAGTCACGATGGGTTAATTGACTTGCTTTCTCACCTATCATGTATTATATATCAGTGTATTAAGGTAGTGTAGGCGGAATTATCATACATCAGCCTACTGACGGATGAAATTTTTATTTTTAATGAAAAGCCTATTTTTATCTTTGTACATATAATATAATATAATCTAATAATTCTGTCTTATTCAATTGTTTTTCACATTAATTTACATATTACATTATATCAACACAGTAGTTAATCTAATAACATGCGTAAGGTATGTAAATAAGAAATAATTTTGTTTTGCAGTAGTTAGATGAAATATTAAAATCTTGGATTAAAATGAATAGGTAAAAAAAAGAAAAAAAAATTCAAGTCAAAATGAAGATTCTATAAAACGGAATAATAAAAGAAGACGAAGGCTTAATAATAGATTTATCCGTTATAAACTATGATAGTATCTTTACAGGCGCCTTGGCGGGGAGAATCGTCCACGTACTGATTGTGTGGTATGTTCAAAAGTCGCCGTGTCCAGTAAAGCGTCGGGTTTGTTTCGAGAAATGACACATGTTCAGTTCACTCACTGAGCGTATCGTCATCGCGGTCCACGTTGTTACTCTCATGATTGCTGTCTAGAAACTTAATAGTCTCCGCTATCTTCGACGCTGTGTCGTTTGTCGAACTCTTTGCGTAAGGTGTTAGCAGTTGCATGAACCAACTCTGTAAAATGGAGATGAAGAACTTTCCAAATTCCTTGAAGGCCGCTATGTCCCCGTTGTTAAGTTTTATCGCAACCACAGCCCGCTTTGGATCATGGGAGTAAGTTAATATCAATTGAAACTGTATATTGATTTGTTCTTTCTCAAAGTTCATCACTTCCTCTGTTATTTTTGCCTGTTTCTGTTGCAAATCTAGATGCATCAGGCCATGCGACTTAGAAGCGGCCTTTCTTTTCCATATTGGTTTTGTCACAGTCCCCATGTATTTTTCTTTTTCTTTCTTCGAGTCTGGATTTACTTTCTCTTCTACTTTGCCAAGTTTAATTTTCAACATTGTCTCAAATATTATGAAAATGATACTGCGAACTACAGACTTCCAATCTGGATCGACAATGCTACTTATGAATTTAGGGAACAAATTGGATCTAAATTCTGGATGACCCTTTTCTTTGGCGATTTTGGGTTTATCGAGGAGAATTGATTTGAGAAACATTTCACATTTATTGGACTTTTCTCTTTGGTAGGCTTCTGCCGCAAACTTGAGGTATATTTTAATGTTGCTCGCAAGGCGACTGGACACAGGCGAGGCAATATTATGGCATTGTTCAAAAGGATCTTGAGCGCACCATGATGTCGTGAATCGCATCGCCGCTGTATTTAGATTTCTGATGTTTTCCTTGTACCTTTCAAAGCCTTCTGGTAACGTATCCAGATCTTTGAATAGATCTTTTTGTATGGGATACCCTAAATATGGGCAAACAATCATTTTCTCGAAATCAAAAACAGAGTAGTACTCAAAAAATCCCCCAATTAATTCTGATATTGTGGACCTGTTTCTAGTTGGCGGGAGCGATTCGAGACGGTTCATGAACCCTGTGTTCCAATGATCGACTATATAGTCGTCGTTGGGGTCTTGCTGGAGCCATCGAATGGGGGGGAGGATGGGATTAGGTGGCTGTTGGAGGTAGAAGATAATGAGCATTGTAAGGGCGTAGTTCGTGAGTCTCCCGCTTCCGGACATCTCGTGAACTTTAGCCCAGTACTTGATGAGGACTGCCATTGGAATCAGCCGAGGGTCGGCGCGAAGGAGGAAATGGATCAGGCTACTGTTTCTAGCACCTAGTTCTGTTTTGAATGTGACATCACAGTTGGTCGCAGTAGGTATGTGGAAAAATTTAACTATAGGAGTGTTAGCGCGTGGTATGGGAAGAATTTCGGCGAAGATACGTGGATATTGGCGAAGTAAACGAGCAGTTTTGTTCACAAAATTGGCATTTGGGCGACGGTACTGTGGTGGAACCTTCACAAAACAATCGGCGTCGCTAGTTTTGATGCCCAGCCCTGTTGGTATAGAACCAAATGGTATTGCTGTGGAGCCTGGAAATTAGAATGACACCATGTTTAGCAAATTGTGAATTAAAAATGCAAATATATAGGTAAATATTTTGTATAAAGACGGATCGTATATTGGAATAACACATAGAGTAAAAAAGTATTCTATTTATAATTCACGCGTGCAAAGTAGAGAAACAGTTTGTATTACAAAAAAAAAAAAGAAAATTTACCAAATTGTGTTGTCTGTGGAAATCATGAAGTTACGCAACATCCATTGATGGAATGTGATAAAAACTAAAGTGAAAACGAAATATTTTTTAAAAATATTAACATTAATAAATTAGATGTGGGTATTATTCAGAGCATAATGAGCATAAATACTGCCAAAGTTGCTTGTGTCTAAGTGAATTAGTAAGTAGAATTGTTTAATTATATTAGTAGTATCTATGTAGATATTATGGGTTTGATATGTTAAAAATAAAAAAAAAAAAAAACGAAAATTAAATGTAGATTATAAATAAAGGTTGTGTCACAAATTTTATTAGATATATGACTTTTCTATGCACCATACCTAATGAAGGGATGGGGGGGAGATATTATTATTCTTAATGTATTATTGTTTCAATCAATCGTCATGAAATTTGGTATATACGTGATAAAGAAAGGTATAAGCTACTTTTTACCCTGGTCAATTCCAATCACACGGACGAAACTGTGGGTAAAAGCGAGTCCTATTAATATTATAAACGGGAAAGTTCGTAAGGATGGATGGATAGAGGATGGGTGGATGGACATTCAATAGTTTTTCATGCAAAAACTATTGAAAAGATTTGAATGGAATTTGGTATATGGGTAGGTTATTTCTTAATTTAGCATAGGATTACTCTATGCACTGACTTACGCGAGTAAAGCCTGCAAATAAATGAGACCCATATACCTGGCCACAGCTCCTGTAAAGCTTGCTCGAGGTTTGAATAAAGTGTACCAATTTTGAAAACTTCCTCTTGGGTTAGCCGGATCGCTAGTAGGATATTGTCAATTTGCTGTACAAAGTCTCCGGACAGATCTATGTCCCTTGGGCTAATTATTACTCCTGAAAGTTTGCGTTTCATTTTGTTAATCCCTATTAATATTATAAATGTTAAAGTAAATCCGTATGTTATCTTTTCACGCTTAAACCACTGAAATTTTTTTAATAAATTTTGGTGTCGAGATATATTGGATTTTAAAGAACGACTTCTTGTCTTGTCGTAAAAATAAAACTTGAAGGGAGCAAGAAAGTTAGTATGAGGAATTATTTTTTAAGTAAGGAATAACTTATCATAATTATACTTTAGGTAAGAAATAAAAAATATTTCTGGATTTTTGAAAAATTTACTACTCGTAGCACTAATTATAAAATGCAGTATAGCAGACAAAATTGCAGGCATCAGCTAGTTTCTAATATAAAAAAAATTATACAGTGGGGCAGAAAATATTTATATGTTCTTTATTAGACTGTATGCCACCTAAGGAAAAATGCGTATGCATGATTCAAATTACAAAAGATGTATGTTAGAATAAAGACTTTTGCTTAGGCTCTCTGACACCCTTGCGACAGTCTTGGCGTGAAGATATACATGACAATTTAATTATTTTTCTTGTCTGTAAGAAGATCTAAATATGCATTATTTATTTTTGCACCAAGCTCCTTGTGGGGTAGGCAGAAAGAATCCAGTGCCATAGACTTCTGTCCTTACATACATATCTTGCTTCTTCTACTTTCATAATTCGACTCATGTACGCACGACGGTTCTAGAGATACATAACTCTTTCTTCAGAAAGAATATGGTCTAGCAGGTCATAATAGGTTAGTCTAGGTCTGTCCTGGTACCTATATTCATCTACATACACATTGTATATCTATTTTGTCAGATTTTAATCAGGGCCTCTAGACAAGCGGCAAGCGAATTCGCCGATTCGCGATTCGACATTGCTAGCGAGTCCGTGAGTTGGAATGAGTCATCCGGCGTTGCTATCTCATTCTGTCTTACGGACTCACTAGCGATGTCGATTCCATCGACGGAATCGCTTGCCATTTGTCTAGAAGCCCTGGTATTCTTTCGACATGCTCAAACCCTATGTATCAGGGGGAAGGGATTAATAGTAATGGATTAGTACCTCCATTTCCAGCAATATACCCTGTCAGGTTGACCTCATCGTCTTTCCGGAAACCATCATGCTTAATTTCGAGTGAATTCATCACGATGGGCTTTTTTTTATGGATGAAAATGGAATGGTAACTCCGCCTGCGCTAATGGGATAGGCTGGCGGAGCACTAGTGAAGGTGATAGATGAGAATGAAAACAGGCCAGTTAGTCCATCATGATAAATTCATCAGGAATTAACCATGATAGTTTCCAGGGGGAACCGCGAAGTCGACCTGGTTGGCTATATTGCTAGCAATGGGATTCTCAGTCTCCATCACTAACAATCCTTTTCCCACCAATCACGATAGGCTAACCGACCTGCCTTCTTATCATCCCTCACTAAAGCTCCACCAGAATATACCAATAGTGCAGGCAGGGTTATCATTACATTATAGCTCAACAAAAGAAAAAACTTTACTAATTTACCTTTCTGTTTACTTCGACTAAAGTCTCTCTTATTATTGTTTTGTTGTCTTGGAGCCTCAGCAGCTTGCTGAGGACTGTAAGGTTGAACGGTGAGGAACGATCCATAAACGGCCACTTTATTTGAATCTAGCACTGCACTTTTTGCTTCTAGAGAATTCGAGAATGTTAGTGTTGCGAACTTTTGATTCATTTTATCCACTTTCGCATTACCGAAGTGCAAGAATGTACGAGTTAGGTCTTGTGGTTGTGTGTATTTAGGGTAACCTTCAACAAGAGACAAGTATTAGAGTAAATATTAGAATAATGATTGTTTTACATTAATGAATTATTAGTAATGTAAACTACTTATTAATTTCTGTATACACGTTACATATGTATATTCATTTCAAATGCAAGAATATGGCTAAAATAAGTGGGTAGAAGAAAATACTTCTGCCTTGGAAGTAAAGACATGAGAGCGTCACATCAGTCTACTCGTGATCACGGCCAGCGTAATCTGGTCGAAACGTCAGGATAATTTAGGTAATTATAGTATACCTAAATGATCGCGTTTATTCCCATGTCAAAATATACGCTTTTTTATGCAACTTGGAATGGCAAACAAGCTGACGGCCCACCTGATGGAAAGTGGTAACCGTCGCCTATAAATTATTTATTATTATCCTTTAGCTGTCCACTGCTATACATAGGCTTTTCTCATAGTTTTGCTAGTAGTTGCCACGCCTGGCAGGCGGGTTGGCAACTGCAGTTTGACTTTTGGTGACGTTTAATAGATTTTTTTCTTCTGGGCAGCTTTTTCAACTTTCCTTTTCATAAGAACCTTATGAAGAGGAAGGAATATAAAAAAAAGAGTTACATTTTAAAATGTACGAACTCACCAGATACATGGACCGTGCAAGATTTGTCCGATGCGCTCCGAGCGCATCCCTGAGAAGCTCGAGCGGCCTCCATCGTTCATGGATGTAATTGCTCACCTGAAACATAATTTAGATTTAAAATCACTCACTAATTCTTAAATAAAAGTGTCTTGTATTTTTCTCTAGCGTCTACCCTCCCAAAGAGGGTTGACGTCAGGCAGGCGGCCGGTCGTAAAACTTAAAACCAAATCTTTCTGTAATATGGATAAAATCATATTACGCCGACCCCAAATGATTGGGATAAGGGTAGGAAGATGATGATTAATGTCTCAAATTGAATTACTGACAAAATACTTATTAACTATAAGTATTTTACAGGTTTATTAAACAGGTTTGAAGGTTTTAGTTTTTTTTATAAATAAAGGGGGTATTAGGGATGGATTTATGATATCAAATACAGTTTAACAAGTATTTCGAAATATTAATATAAGATTTTTTTTTGTAAATTTAGTAAATTAAATAAATTTGTAAAATTAAAATAAAAAATAAAATAAATTTGGGAGAATTCATTTAAGTATATTAATGGAGTAGATCTTTTCATATCTATATTTAGATGAATGCAATATAATTTCAACACAAAAATTGTTAGTGACAATTTTTTGGGCCAAGCACAATCTATTTAATAATGTTAGTAATGGTAAAACTTCTGATTATAGTTGTTAAAGTGTATATACACATACATATACGCACACACGCATACACACGCACGCACGCAATATATTGTGATTAATATGCAACAAACTGCTAAAAGTAGTAATGAAGTATCGTTATTTCAACCTATATTTACAATTATATTTTTAAAATAATAACTCTAAATAAAAAACATATATTAGTTTTTATTTATTTCAAAATAATAATATTTTGTAATAAAATTTAATCAATTTAATTAGAATGTTAGAAATTATCATTCCTAACTTGGTATATGTTACCTATTTAATGAAGTTATTAGATTACAATATTAAATTTCGTCAGTAAACAAATTATTTGAAAAATAATGATTATTATCTCTTTACAGATTAGATACAATTTTTTTTTATTACAGTTTAATTATACTTAATATACTTCACAACAAAGGATTATATTATATTATTATTATTTTTTTACTCATTACATTTGAATAGGCAAAATATTATAAGCGGGAATTTCCCAAACTATCATTTGGTTGAATTCAGAGTAGTGAAGTAAACTCCTTTGTTTTTTCTTTGTATGATTCATTTGAACGTCACATCCATCCTCAATAATACCCGCCAGCGTAAGACGAAGGCACAGACGGTATTATCATTCAATTTTCATTACAAATATATTAGCCTAATGATTGAGCTCCGTGGAAGGGGGATTGTTAGTAATGGAGACTAACCCTTTAGAACCCTTTTGCTAGCAATATCCCAATCAGGTCGACCTTCACGTGGTCCCTCCTGGAAACCATCGAGCTGAACTTACGATGGGCTAACTAACCTGTCTTTTCATCTTCACCTATTTATCTCTCACTGGTGCACTGCCAGTGTATACCGATAGCGCAGGCGGGGTAACCATTCCATTATCATCCATTAAAAAAAAGATTGGATTCATGTAATTTTTTTTTTAATAAGTTTGTTGTTTATTTTAATTAACTTTTTCTATATTTTGTAATATAGAATATGCACAAAATATACTTAAAGGTGGGTGAAGACAAATTGTAAGTTCTAATTGTAGGCTCTTGCAGCCGCATCGCTAACAATAAATATACCCTTTTAAATAAACCTCCAATTGGTTCCCTCTAAAAAACGTGATTGATTCCTGAACTCGTCACGATAGGCTAACTCGCTTTCATCGCCACATACACAAAGCCCTTCGACACTAATGTGTGTAATAAGTTTTCAACACTTACCGAATATATCCACATATATCAGACCATAAAGACTATCAACAATATAACGATTATAAATTGGTAAGAAAATATATACATTATTTGATAAACACAACGAACTGTACAATCTATGAAAGACAATTGCAAATAGCAACTCACGATAAACTATCTATATATTATTTGCTATCTATATAGCATAGATAAAATATGACTAATATAGTTATCCGCACACATTATATTGGAGCACGATTCGTTTGTTTTTGTCCTGTCATATTAATATTACTAAACGGCTAGTGTGGGAGTAGAATTCGAGCAGAATAAACTGAGGGTTTCGTAGAATTTAGTATATTATTATTTATTGTATTAGAAATACAGTAACGTAGAAATAATGTGAACAAAGGTGAACTTATCTATAAAAGAGATCTCGTCCAGGCAACCAACACAGTGGGATTGGAAGTCTTGAGTGGACACGAACAGTGCAAGAGAGTATTTCAAACATATTTAAATGCTACTATATATACAAAATATATCCCAAAGAGGGTTAACGTCAAGCATGCAGCCGGTCGTAAAACTAAAAGCCAAATCTTTTTGTAATATGGATAAAAACATATTACGCTGACCCCAAATAATAATTGGGATAAGAATAGGAAGATGATATATATACAAAATATAAATATACATACTAAAAATAAATCCATCATTAAAATGTTTGGATTAACTTTAAATAATAATAAATGAGTAATTAAACCTAAAAACAATACATGCATAAATATTAAATGCATAAAAGTTCAATGTACGTGAAGACAATGATAAGACTTACTCGTGCTATACAGTAGAGATATAAAATTATTTTAAGCTTTTTTAAAAAATAGATTTTATTTTTTATTTTTCTAATATTTTAGGATTGTCCTTATTCCTTGTTGTAATAATATAATATAACATATATAGATAATCTCCTTTTTTTCTTTTGTAGTATTATTTTACTGTTACACATTGAGCATAAGTAACTTTAATTATTTCTCTCCACTCTAAGGTTGACTGGAAGAGATCGCTATTTAGCGACAACGCAGTTCATTGCTGCCTCTTTACCTTGCTTTTTGTAATTAACATTTTTTGTGTACATATTGTTAACTTAAATTATCTGTATTGTTATTTGAAGGGAATAATAGAGTTTTTTATTTATTGAAACATATACTTTGTAATGAAACCGTTAACAAAATTTTAATTAAACAGCATAGGACGTCAAAATTTATATATGTTGTTTATTTGTTGCCTCTTGTCAACTCAATGATGATTAGCATTATGAAATACGCAGTATGGAGAAAAAAATATACTATTTTGATCTTGATTATGCGGACTAAGTTGATGTAATGACATAGTTATAAATAAAAACGCGAAATTCCTAATTACTAGAGTTACTCAATTAAGATACCAGAATGCAAAAAAATATTCACCTTCATATGGCTTTGAAAGTAACAAGTGAATGATTTTGAGCGTAGCATAGTACCGTTTTCTTCGGCCAACAATAAATAATTTATCTGTCACAGGCATTAAGTTTCTAAACAAAAATAAATATTGATAATATAAGTATTAACTACGTAACTCGAAATTGATACTATACGTAATAATGACGTATTTCGTCACATTAAGGTCAGTGGTCATTGAAAAGAATGCAGTGAAAAATGGAGAATAATTTAATTAAATAATTTTGTTAAAGTATGTGTGTATTATTAAATCTATATATGCATAAATTTATTTTCATTGCATAACCTTTAGTACAAATTATAAAATCGAAACAATTTAATCGCGCTTTGTGACGAACGTTACATGTGTACGCTCACCTTTACATGTTTTCTGGGAATACCCGACTCAATTACTTTTGCTGTAGTTTTAAATTTGCAATAGTGTTGTAGACTTTAAAAAAATATCAATTAAATTCATACGAACAATTATTATATACTTTTTATACTACTGGTAGATATTAAAGCAAATGGCTGGAAGTTGATTCCAAAGAATGGTTGTGCGTGGAAGAAAGTGCATGATTACAAGATTAAAATCGCAGTAATAACAAACACTCCCCATGATAGCGAGACGCATATCTCTGCGATGATACTTGACTATCGATAATTCGACTTAATGCGATCTTAGCACTACCTTTTATCGTATTTAGTTATTTAAAAATATAATGCACAAATTAATAATATATAGTACTAGTATATTGCCCGCAATTTTATGAAATTTATCTAGAATATTTCTATTTCTAGATGGCGTATTAAGATAAAACATGCATCAGATTTTAAATTAGACCTCCAGGAACACAATTGTAAAAACCGCTTTCAATTTGGTGCAGTAGTGTTTGCGTGAGGCCAGTTCAAACATACAGACGTATACAGAGGAGGCAAAGGATTGTTAGTAATAGGCATCTAATAGCTTCATTGTTATTTCTATTTCTAGATGGCAATATACCACAATTGTAAAAACCGCTATCAGTAGTGTTTGCGTGAGCGACCAGAGGAGGCAAAGGATTGTTAGTAATAGGCATCTAATAGCTTCATTGTTAGCAATATACCCTATCAGGGCGACCTCCACGCGGTTACTCCTGGAAACCATTCTTGTGGAATTTGTCACAATGGGATAACTGACCTACTTTCATCCTCACCTATTATCATTCCCTGGTGCTCCGCTAACGTACATATACCGATATATGTTATGAAAAATTAAAGGCGTTTATAGTAAATTTTATTAAATAATCTATAAATTTCTGCACATAGCTGTAGAACGTAGTGTATATATATGGTTTAAAATAACTCCTATATATGTTTATTTGAATAATGATTATTTATATTTTATTAATAAAATTGCAAATAATACTTAATCACTTAGACATGTTTATGTAGGAAAAATATTCAATTTCAGTAGCAAAGCACTCTCCTAAAAGGATAATAACGATTTCAATTTCAGCGTGTAAATTGATCAAGTCGATATAATCTATTTACTATTATTAAATATATAATGGTAATGCTTTGTATGTAAGTAGGTATGGGTATTACTGGTACCACTCGAATATCTATATATTGGGTTCCTCAGAACATTGATGGTGAAAAATAGATCATCAGCCATTTAAATATAGCCAATAACAGTTGCAGAACTATGTTTACTTTGATTAGTTTCTTTATTTGATATTATAAATTGGATAACTAATAATTATTTCTCAAACATGCTTGGAAATGTGAGCATTATTGTGACAATGTTCTTAGAGATAAATCAAAATTGCCGTACTGGCCAGATACATGCAGGCAGCGGCCGGCAAAAATTGTATGAAAATCCATATCTGTCGTGTTTTGCGGCCAGATAAATAACTATGTAAACTCATATCTGTTCTGTAATTTAAAAATGGAATGACCTTTTACTTCGAAATATGCCTAACAAGGAGGTAACTAATAAAAGGTTTTATTTAAATTTAGAATAGGAATATTGTAAATAGAAAGCTGTTTATTGAAAAGAAAACAAAGGAACATTATGGCGTGTAAAAAATTATTATTGTTCGTTATTCGTCATTGAACTTAAAAAGTAAAATTGTGTTTTTGATTTCCGCGCATTGTTTGAGAAAAGTACTATACAAGCCTTGGCCCCAACTAGACATTGATGGACTCACGTATGTATGCCTCGGCTTACATTTGCACGTTCCTCCATCAATGCCTCAGTTGCTGGCCGCTGCAGTAATGTACTATATATGGTTTATTGGGCCTATATATAGATATTATAACTACAGTATTTAGTTATTGCTATATATTACCCATATGTACTTGCTAATGCCATGCTATTCACCAGTGCTATGCTACTCACCAGTAAGAACGTCGACCACCTTGGAGAAATATTTTGATAAAAGATATCCTTCCTTATTGCCTCTAGTCAAAATAACGCCATTATCTGATTCATAATATTTTATACCATCATCCAAAGCTTTCTTCAAATCAATATATATGTATATTTGTACGTCTTTACGTAAGCTACTGATTACTGTTGAATCTCCAAGTGTTCCTTTAGCAAAGTGAATATGCTGTCTTTTCATACGATTAAGCCCATGACACTTTATCTGTGGCCAACATTTGTAGTATGTACCATGAACTACTGTGCTGTATTTCGACTGTAAAAAGAAATATAAATACATAGTAAAGCTATTTTAAAATGTCATAGTATATAATTCACTTTTAATGGAAAAAATTTGAAAAACGTAATGTCATTATGAACACTCTTCATATTATGCTTTTAGCAGTGTCTTTTAAATGCTATATGTTTGTATAAATGTTCAAAACTGTTTTACTAATTTTTTGTTCATTCTTCTCAGCTGAAATTGTATTCCAAACTGGGCAATAGATTCTAATTTATTGTGTGATTAATTATTGAAAATATATATTTATCAAAATAAATAAGTAGTCTATAGTAATCTTTTTAACAGTGAAAGATTTCAAAATCAGATCAGAGTAGTACCTGAGATTACCCGACCATCGAAACTTACAAACTTTACCTCTTTATAATATTACTTTAGGTTATTATTAATTAGTCATACCTTAGTAATTTAAAGTAAATTTAAAATTATTTTGGCATTTATTACTTATTTTGTAATCATATACTTAATGAAATAATAATAAAATATCATGTATGATATTTTATTATTATTTCATTAAGTATATGACAGATATGTATATCTGTCACACCTGTCTCTCATTAGGGTAGACAGAAACAATGGAACCCCAAATGCTTCCATTCAAACAAACTCTTTCACATCTTCCACATTTATTAATTTTTTCATACACACTCGTGGGTTATGGGTATTTTTAATTTGGTTCTTCTTCAGCATATCATCTATTTGGTCGACATATGTTCAACTAGGGTGGCCTCTAATGACATCTCCATTCAATCTTGCTTGATAAACCTTTTTCGTAATTCTTCTTTCATCCATCTTCTCCAAATGCCCAAACCAATGCAACATTCCCTTTTCAATTTTTGTCACTTCTTTCAGTCTATCTAATCTCATTGTTCAATAAAATAATAACAATGAAATTGTAAACCTTCTTCACGGGTTCTCATCACTTGGGGGCTCAATGTTCTGAGAAATACTAAATAACATATAAAATATATAATACATATACATATAAAAATATATAATACATATACCTATAAAAATATATATTATCCCTACCTCTAATAATGGGGTCAATGCTGCATCAGTGACTTCTGATACAGAGTGTCCCTGATTTGCTCTGATCTCTAGTATATTAGTATGTGGATTCAATCTTAAATTAAACCTCTTCTTATCATTACAGTTTACTACTCTCTCAATATCTGTTTTGTTGTACTTTCCTTTAAAGTTTTTATGTAGTAATAGTTGATTAACATCTATATATCCATCTGGTCTGTAATATAAATGTCGGCTTATAATATTATTTTGAATAACAGGTGCAAAAGAAAGGTGCTGTAAGTTTCAAAACATTGTGTTTGTGTATCTATAGCATTTATAGCTTTAAAATGAATAAACTAATTTTAATTTTTTTCATTTTATTTGTTGGTTGGGATCATCTTTTGAGTGAAAATTTTATCAATTGTAATTTAATCTTTCTGATAGATATTACACAACAATTTTTTTAACATAAATATGAATGAAAATGAAAAAATGCAGAATAGGTATTAACTGTTTTTCAGTATAAAGATGTTGTAAGAGGAGACTAAGACTAACAATGTAAAATATACAAATGTAAGAGTGCCAAAAAAACTCAATGGACAAAACAAATAATCAAGTTGACATAGCAATAGTGAGTGAATTTACTGTGGCAGGAAGGTGAACCAACCGTCATTTCTCTGACTAGTTTAAGTATATTAATGATGGTTTCCATTACTAAAAAGTTTTTTTTTTATTATAAGATGAAAAAAGAATAGTAACTCAGCCTGTGGTGTGTATGTGCTGGCAGGTTAGTAATAAATGCATTTCAATTTGGTGGTAAAATCATAAAAATAACAAATCACAAATTCAAGTTTACTTGAATAAAAGATATTTTTATTATTAATGATAAAATGATAAAGATAGGTAATTAGGCTCACCAGGAATTAACCATAGTAGTTTCCAGGGGGAAATAATGTGGAGGTCATTCTGAAGAAGCATTTTCCTAGCAATGGAACCAATAATCTCTATTTCTAAATATCTACTCCATTACTGGAAAGTTATAACTTTAGACTGAAGAATTTTAGTGCCTACCAGATTCAAACTTACTCACACAGAAACAAACTTTTGAGGTTTACAAGGTAGGGTCCTATATCACTATCAAGTAGTTACCTATATATACTAATAACATTGTTGTCATAACAGTTTTAATACCGCAACTCAAATATTAATATTTTTTATATACTCTTAGACTAATATCTAATATAATGTAGAATATATATAGATTTTGTTATGATGTAATTATGTAATTTTTTGTCCAAGTTAGATATAATACCATTGTATTGTGGGAAACATTCATAAGTAAGGTGACCAACTATTTTCTGTTCAATAAGTACACTTTGCAAGTATTTCATAGGTGAAAAAAAAAGAAGAAAAAATGATAAAAACTTTGCTTTCTTTTAAAAACATATTTTTCTTTGGAGTGGATTTTTTTTTTGCCAAATGAGGATGTTCATCTAATAATGTAGCCACATACAAACAACTTTCATTTTGCATATTAAATTTGGCTGTTAAGACGGCAGATAATGTTTTTACAGAAATTGCGACTTCTCACTGCTCCAATAATCATTCCCTAGTGAAAATACCATTTCAACAGCAGTATCAGTGCCTGGACAACATAAGAAAATTTTTATTAAAACTTAAATTTTCATGTGGGATATGTTCTATTCTAAAATGCCGAAAGATTTCCATCTTTTGTTGAGTTCTATTTTCTCATTGTTCTGTTTCTTCAATTTTTCTTCCTTTAAATATAAATTTACTCTTCTAATTTCTTCAAAGAGAAAATTGACAGTAAATATTTAATTAATAAAATTTAAATAAAATAATACAAAAAAATGTTTTAGAAATATAAAGTATAAAATTATACAAATGAGTACTTTTAGAGTACAGGATTTGAAAAAAGTACGGTTTAAGATAAAAGACTACAAAACTTAGTAAATGAGTATAGTTGGTCATCTTATCATAAGTAGATATGAATGTGCGAAGAGGAATAAAACGACTTGCGACGCTTGATTTGACAGGTGTCAACTCAAAACAAGATATTTACCTAATGTAAAAAAATATAAGAAAAAGCTCCTAATTGAACAATGATAAAAAGAATGCAAACTATCTAGTAACTTGTAAATAATTGTTACTCTCAAACTATATTGCTAGCACAGTAATAAATTGGTCTGAAAACCAAGGTTAACTGATGTATAATAAATATGGATACTAGTGATCAATGGTAAACCGACAAATCATACTTACTTCAGTGTTAAACCTTCATTAGTAGCTCCGTGTCGTAAAAGCCACGATAAAGTTTTGCTTAATTGGATATCTTTATGATTCCTGAAAACATAATTTACTTAAATAAACATATGTTGTTATATATAAACGTAGTTTAGCAAAATAGTTTACAATAACAATGAATAACCTACATCTGATGATTATACGTAAATTAACCAAAAGAAGTTAACGTTGTTGATAAACAAACAAATGGAGAATACCTAATACAAGCTTTCGCAACAACCGTTAGAAAATAATAATAATGATATAGATAGGTCTACAACAGAGACAAATTTTGCTTTCCTAAAAAGAAATTAAAATACCAAAATAGACAGAGACATCTAATCATCAGTCAGTGTCAGTCCAAACCAGTTACATACCTACATAGTTACTTATTTAATTCTTAGTTCCAAAAATTCTTCAGTTTAGTAGTAGTTAAAGGCAAATACATACTTAATTGTAGGGAATAATTCTGAGGCACCATTCTCTAAAATGAATACTTTAATTGATATTTAATAGTTTTGTAAAAGTACTATTTTATGGATTATTTTAAAATTCGACTAATATAATTGATTGTACGGGGAAAAATAGTGTAAAAAATTAAACCTTTATAAATATTTAAACGCGAAATCCGTTAAGAATTTATTGTAAAACATTTTTAATAGAATAGTACAAGTATTTACCTAACGATAACCACAAATTAAACAGCGATAGATACTACATTCACAAGTTGATTGCGTACTAAATCAGCAAAATAACTACTTATCAATATCACTTAACGACAATTTGAAAACGTACTGTAAATTTAATCATTGCTCTATACCCTATTACATGCCTCAAGTCGATAATTTATGAACTTGAATCATGTAATCGAGTTTAGTAAAAATCAATGAATGTAGTACCATAAACAAAGAAGCATAGAGTTAGGTCAGCTGACATAATTTTTATCATTGGTCTTGTGATAGTTGTTACTCCGCCATTCTCGGTTCGCCTATTCTATCTTTCCCGTCTCGTGAGTTGAATTTTATTACAACAAATATTTTTTTTATTGTTATATGCTTATGTTCTACCTGTGGTCGTGATTATTGCTTTGGATATATATTTTATGCTTCTAAATTACGGTAAGATTGTTCATAATATGCCATTGACAAAATTATCTTTACATTCACATAACTTTGTATAATTTCGCATATTCCTTGGTTTAGTGTGAAATTTTCGTAGTACTCAATAAGTTTTTTAATTAATTAGGCTATTAGGCATCCTATAAATCGTTTATTTGCATGGCCTGCTCAGTCTTTTCCTTTAAATATCCTTTTTTCCACATATCATGTGACTGGTCATCCTAATCAAATCTGGGCTTCTCATTTCTCTATCAATTCGCTTTTAATTTTCATCTATAATTTATTTATTTATAAAGCTGATTTTCTGATTCATGTTCAGTTTTGTAACAAAATCAATAAAGAAAAATTAACGTTTTGCCATATTGATTTTAATGTAAGATATTAACATCTTATTAGAACTTGAACTAAGAATACATTTAATATATAAAATACTACTTACAAACTAAATATTTAAACTTTAGTAAAAAATTATGACATTTCAATATGCCAATTATTTATAATTCAAACTACTTATAAGTCAAACTGCTCTATTTGGCAACTTGATTTTGAAAATTTATGTCAAATAGTTATTAGATGTTTTAACTTGAAAATAGTTATTAGATGGTTTAGATTGACTCCTTATTTGAACAAAAATGAAATTTTGACTGACTGAAAATTTTATATTTATAAGCACTAAATATGTTATTTATGTTTATAGAGGTATGTCTAAAGTAATTCAATAAAATAATTGTAGAAGACATATCTTAACCTTATTTCTTAATACGCAATCATTAATTTTATATATAAAAAATATCCTTTCATAGATAATATTGTACTCTTATTTTAATAGAAAAAATATATTTTAGATTTGACATTGATTATGTAGTTGTATCTTGATAATGGTCAGCTGATCAGTCACAATTTTACCATCAGTAACAACTAAAGTGTATTGAAGAAAGGTACTTTATTTAACATTATTTTTTAATTCATGTGTGACTATTAATATAAATATGTTTTGATTTAAATAATTACTTTAAAATATTAAAATGCATTTGTTATATAAGGTAAAAATTTGTTCAATCCTGACTGGTGAGGCTCTGGGCTCGACAAGTCCTGAGTAATTTTAATAAATAATATATTTAAGTTCTAAATGTATCTATAATAATGACTGGTGTATGCTTGTAAAAATTTTACATTGCTATGATGTTCTTGTATTGTGTTTTAATGTACTTCACTACACACAATTATTAGCTATTAAACATAATTTGTCATCATCATTATAAAATTTTATTGACCTTTTCATATTCACAGCCATATTGTTATAATGCTGGCTATGTTGATGTATATAAGATTTTTTGAAATTTCTTTCTCATGCACTGTTTTATTTTTTATTTACCCAGCAGTAGGAACATTGGCATATTTAAGATTATTTTCTAGAGGAGGCCTAGCTCCTTAAAAAGCATTATATATTCTCTATATTCTGGGCTGGGCATGGCCTATTCAGCCCCCCTCTTTTAAGTCTATGGTTAGTGGTATCACTGTTTTTTTTTTCAATTTCATAAGAGAGATGCTGCTGTATTTCAGTTGTGCAGTCTCTATTTGACTAAAGCATAACATTTTTTAGACCTCTGAATTTATTAAGAATGGCTATATTTGGGTTACACTAAAGGTATTAATCCAACAAAAATGGTTTAAAATTGCTTTATTTATTTTTGTATGGGTAAACAGCTTCATGAGGTGTTTTATATTGATAAATTGTTATTATTTATTATATAATTTATATTACAGGTTGAAGATTAATTAGAACAAAATGGCGACCAAAGGCGGTTTGAAGACAATCGCCAATGAAGAGAATGAGGAGAAATTCGGCTATGTATTTGCCGTTTCCGGTCCTGGTAAGTGAATATCACTTATAAATAAATTATATTACTACTCCAGAAAAAAAAGCAATGTCTTCAATAAGTACAAAATTCTTTAGGGACATTTAACATGGGAATAAATTTCTATGGTTTAATTAATTTAAAAAATAATCATCAAATTTGGTGTACAAAAAATAGTATCAAATTGAAAAGTTTCTTTGTACTATAATTACTATATAATTGAAAAGATTAGTCTTTCAATCAGAAACATTGATTTTGCTATATCCTATCATCATTTCAGTCATTGATGGTCCTTTGCTGAACATAAGCCTTTCCTATAAGGGGAGCTTTGCCAGTAGATGCCACGCTTGACAGGCGAGTTAGCAATGGCAGTTAGGCTTTTAAAGATCTTATAAGAGGGAAGCTGCTGCCTATCCTTCAACCTTCAAAGTTTCTTTAGCTGACTCTTAGGACACCCATGGGAAAGGAAAGGGTGGCCTATTCTATGCCGAGGCCACACAGCCTCTATTACTAAATATTCTTATAGGTGTATCTATTTAATGATAACTTAGACTAAGTTTGAATAAAATATAAAGTGATGGAAACAATATTGAAATATAAACTTCAAACCAGATAGAAATTAAGAAATTACGCGATTTTTCAAAAGGATCTTTTATTGCATCCTTTTGGAGTGATGATCGTATCTGTGATTTAAAAACATCTTGTTACAGTCGTTACAGCGGAGAAGATGTCCGGATCGGCTATGTACGAGCTGGTGCGAGTCGGTTACAATGAGCTCGTAGGAGAAATCATCCGTCTTGAGGGTGACCTTGCCACTATTCAGGTAAATTATGTCAAATATTTAGCAGTTTTTTTTTAGTGGCTGAAAATGGAATAGTAACTCTGCCCGCACTATCGACATACACTGACGAGGCACTAGTGGAAGATGATAGGTGAGATTGAATGCAGGTCAGTTGGCCCACCATGACAAATTTGACAAGAATTAACCATGATGGTTTTCAGGGGAAACCGCGTGGAGGCCGTTCGACCTGAGAGGGTATATTGCTAGCAATGCGGCTATTAGATTTCATTACTAACAATCCCTTTCCCCCCAATATTTTGCAGTTAAACCACATCGGGACATGTAGTATAACTAGAGATGGGCAATCCACCTGGGTGGGTTTAAAGTCTGGTGGGTAAAAACCGGGTGTTTTGGGTTTATTGGGTTTAAACCCCATAAACACCCAAATTTTTGGGTGTTTATGATTTTGTACTTCATCATCGTCATCTCAGCCGCAAGACGTCCACTATACTGGACATAGACAATATTATTATGCAGCCTACAGAATAAAAAACTTTTAATTTGATTTTGAGTTTATTAAGAAAGAGATGAAAGTAAAATGTAAAACTACAGTCAATCACTGTCAGATTCAGAGTTATTACAAGCGATGAATTGTATAGGTTCGATAGGCTCTATTTCGTCTAAACTGTTATGTTCATTTACTTGCTCAATGAAAGCTTCTAAGGTATTTTCTTCATTAAACTGAATGTCCTCGCATTCAGCTTTATGTTTAAGATTCCAGTTATAACAAATGAATGAAATTTTTTCAGTTCTTTCAGTTGTAAGTCGATTTCTTTTGTTATTATGTATGTAGCCTTGGATACTAAAGGAACGCTCAGTGGCTGCCGAAGTACAGGGAGCTGATAGAATACGAATCGCTACTTTGCTTAACTCAGTGGAACCACAAATACCTTTCCACCATATTAGGGGCTCAATGCTATCTAATGAGCTCCATACAAATCCTCTGGCCCAAAAGTTTTCTTTAGCTTTATAACACGCCAAATCTGCCATTACATTTGACAAACTTAAGTGTTGGCTTAAATTGTAGATAAACTCCATACCCTTAAGTTCTTCCTCTTGAGTAAGTTCGACTCCTAGAGTCCTGGGGTCTAGAATATATGCTGCAAAATGTATTGGCCTCATTGCCATATTGCATCTTGAAGATACTGATGTTAGAATCTGCTGTTTGCTTTCTTCGCTCAATGTCGAAATCTCATTTAATGCAAAACGTATCTTAGCTTGTACATCTCTAAATGTAATGTATGTGCGATGCAAACGATTCTGGTCGCTCTCTAAGTAAAATATGCTTTCAGTGACTGGTTCCAAAATACTTATACATTCCCCTGTCTTCGTCCAGAAATCATCACTTAGAATTAAATCTTTAATATCTCTTGAAATTACCACATCTTCTCTAACTGTTAATATTTGCAAAGCTATCTTATTTGCTTTCAAACTTTTTAACGAAGTAACATGACTTCCCCATCTTGTAGCACAAGGCAATTTTAGTGTTTGTGTAGAATCTTCACCCTGCCTTGATTTTATCAACAAGGAACTTAATCGTTGACTCCTTTTAACAGTTTTTATTATATTTATGGCTTGCATAATAAACACAGTTACTTCTTGTATCTTTACAATATCTTGGCACAACAAGTTAAGGATATGTGCACAGCAACCGAGAGGAACAACATGTGGATATTTGAGTTTTGTTAATTCGAATGCCTTTTGTATATTTCTAGCGTTATCGCCAATAAGTACAAGAAACTTATTTGCTCCATACACTTTCATTACTTTTTCAACTTCTTGGCTAAGGTATTCACTAGTGTGAGGATTACTTTCTGTATTCAAACTTTTAACGTATGCAGGTTGAGGTTTTGATATAAGAAAGTTTATTATTCCTTCATTTCTTAAATTAGACCAGCCATCGCACTGAAGGTGTAAGTAACTACAAGCATTTAGTTCCTCATTTAACTCAAAACGCATTTCTCTATATATTTTATCTAAGTATTTTGTCGCTAAAGCTTTACGTGAAGGTATTTTAAATTTTGGTTGCAATTTTTCGAAAAATTGTATCCATAAAGGATGTTGCACCATCGATAATGGCGTCCCTGTTACAAATATAGCTCTCGCTAATTCTGTTTTTATATGATCATCGGTGTCTTGAAACTCAGCATTTATTGTAGTGTTAGCAGACGACGAGGGGCTTATAAAAGAATCATTTGTCTCTATCTCTGACAGTCCAGACATTTTGGTTTTGGACGAGCTATCTTTTATAAGTTTCATAGAGTCTTTTAATGTTTCTGGAGATTTTGGACAAGTGATAAGATGTTGAAGCATTTTGGCAGCATTACTGAATTTGTAGACCTTATTACAAAGCTTGCAAGAAACAGACTTGTTTGGTAAAGTACGGTAGTGCTCCCATATGCGTAAATCTTTAGGTCTCCCCATTGAACCTAAAAAAATGAACGATGATTAGTTGGTCTGACGAAAATTCAACAATAGAGTGCCTATTTTTTTACAATGATTATTTCTTGTTATTTACAATAAATTTATTAAAAAAATAATAAAATAAATACAAAAAACCTTTGTAAAATTACATCTCCTCGGAGGATTAAACGCAGACGCTAGTTTATTATCGTATTGTTCTGTATTTTTCTCAGCAACTTCTTTAATTCGATTAGGTACTTACGCATATTATGTTAAAAATAAATATCTAGTACACATCTTAGGCTATCCACCATTATTATCCAATGACGACTCTCAGCTAACTATGCACTATCATCCAAAATAAACGTGTATGGAAAATTTTATCCCAGTCGGTTGAGGATTGAGGATAATTGCATCAACATACGAACATATCTACATACTTTTATTTACATAACGCAAGCTAAATAAAAGCTTGTAATAATACATCTAATTTTAAGTTAAAATTGTTAAGTGATCATGATATAATTGTATCATTCAAAAATCCACTTACCTTTAATTATTTCTTGTTAAGTATAAATATTATTTCAAATCTGCTCCCTTAATATGCACTTTTTTACTGCTTTTCCTACCTAACACGTTACCAGGAAGTCACGTTACCAGAGTCAGAGTAATAGTGAACACGTTTGACAGTGATTGTCGTCGCCTCATATTCAGCGTCGACGAAAAGGGGAATCCCCAGTCATAATGTATTGCATGCGTGGCGGTCTTACTTCAAATCCATAAACAAAGAGATAATTACAGAACTCGATACTAGATGGCGCTGTTTTTGTTTGAAGAAAGTTTGCGGGCTAAAATACATAGAATTTCATCAATGACTTCCACAAAGAACAACATTTCTGTTTTTTCTAAGTCCGTATCTCTTCCGTATATTTCATAAGATATAAGCTTGGGCTACATTGTTATGCAACGTGATTTTGTCGCTGTCTTGCTAGCAGGGTTGACAGATATACGATTTAAATCGTACTCATACTATTATTTGTCTATTTTTTAATGTACGATCGTAAAGATTATGATCGTAATTCGCACAAAAACATACGACTTTTTGGTTACCTGGCAACATTTTTATTATGAAACGAACATGCTCACATCATCAGTCACATGCAACAATTTATTGGGGATTTCCCCTTCACATCTGGCAGTCCTGCTTGCTAGAATATAGGTAAGTCAGCCACAGTTACTGACGATCGATATTTAAAGGGTATTGTTTTTGTGCTGAATATTTCATAAAAACGTTATTTAATACTTTGTGGATTATTAATTTAGTTGATAATCACTGGAAGTAAAATGGATGCTAATTTGAGAGATCAAGATCTTCGTATAAAACAGTTAATAAAAGAAAATCTACGTAAGTACTCTTTTTATACCTAGGTAGGTAAGGTATAATAAACACAAAAGGTACTTAGATCGCGTGTGTTCGAAGCATTTATTCTAATAAATTTAATTTAAAATTGTAGAAAGAAAAAAATGTCTGCCAAGCCGTAGCCGAAGCCGATCTCCAAATATATTTGGCGATAGTGAGACCCAGTGTCCAGATGATTTACCCAGCGTCGTCGCAACAAAGAAAAAAACGAGGATAAAGTAAAAGAAAATTTACTGAAAGAAGAAACAAACTGTTCTAAATGCTTAATTTATGGAGAAGAGGATAAAAGAAATGAGTATTTCGGACTGTTAGTGGCTCAAGAATTTAAATATATACGGCCATGTGTGCGAACGAGGTGTTATGAAGAAATTTTAAAGTATCTACGGGAAGCAAAAGGCCAACATGTTGATCAACTGCAACATGAAAACACTGAAAATTAATTACTTTCATTTTATTATATATAGATTTTTAAAATTTCCTGAAATATTATTAGTTAACGTTTTATTTAATATTGTAGAATTGATCAATACAATTTATAAAAATAATTTGTTGGTATTACTTACATATTTTCAAAAAAATACGTAAAAACCTATTTTTTTGGGTGATTATGGGAGTTTATGGGTGTTTATTGGGTTTTTACCAAAGCACCGGGTTTAAACCCGGTGCTTTGCCCATCTGTAAGTATAACGGTGTATTTCATAGTATTTATACATGTATCTGTGTGTGTTACATCTGAGTACAGTGCAATCCTGTTCTGAACGTTTATATTTTTTTTAATCACATTTAAAATAGAGAGGAGTATGAGGTCAACCTGGGAGATAGGTAGGGATTTATTCTAATAGTACTATGTGTAGTGAAGTAATTGTCTAGGTAACAATTAGGGCACTACACTACACTTGATGCTCAGTATGTTCGCCAATGAATGTTGCATAACAGCGTACGACGTGGCCAGATAACGCGTAACATGATGCGTCTGTGGTTATAAACCGAAAAAGATTCGCGTCGTCATCCATCATCATACAAATAACACCTTCGAAGATATGTACTATGAATATTACTAACACATTTTTATCGTTTCGCACTTGTTGCTTAGTAGTGCCTTTAGATGAAATTGTACTTTTTCTAATAGGCAGTTCTTTATGATGGATCTTTTGTACATGTCAATAAATTAAAAATTATATTTGCTTATAACACTGTTGTTTATGTCTATAGGCGATGATTACCTTTTCTCGACAGGAGGGATGCCACCTCATGTTTCCCGGTAGCTAGTTTAAAAGAAAATAAATTTTAAGGGAAAGTATACGAAAAAGGTTTTAGGTTAGATAGGTAGTAAATGGAGTTATTTTAGTTAGTCTATAGATAATTGATGCATGGAAAAATATCTTGAATTTGTTTACTTTCTTGGTTTATACAATTATTACTCAGCTATTTTGTACACGGATTTCGAAACTATGATAATGAAAGAACGAGGTTATTTATAGGTAACATGGAAAGTATGTTTCATAAATTGGTAATATTCTTAAACGATAGTTTTTTGTCTTTATACATTACATTACATTCATCAAATGTTTGAAACAAATATAATATATAATATAATATGAGAGTGAAAGAGTCAATAAATGCCAAAAATTTTTAGATTCAAAATTGAAATATCTTCATGAAATTATAATTACTGATTATATAATGTTACTCGGAGACTCGCTGGGTCCACGATATTGTTGCGAGTTCGATTTCTAAGACTCAGCTGGTTAAAAAAAATTGTTCCTTTGTAATTTTTAATTTACTCGTAATATAAAGTTTTAAAGGAAATGGCAAGTTATTAACTGAGAACTCATTATTAAATAGGTATACGAAGAAACATCTGGCGTGACCGTGGGTGACCCTGTACTTCGTACCGGCAAACCTCTGTCCGTCGAGTTGGGCCCTGGTATCCTGGGTTCCATTTTTGACGGTATCCAGCGTCCTCTGAAGGACATCAACGAGTTGACACAGTCTATCTACATTCCCAAGGGAGTGAATGTACCATGCTTGGCTAGAGAAACTGACTGGGAATTCAACCCATTAAACATTAAGGTCAGTATGTCATATATATAGTTGTTTTTTTTTTTAATTTATAATAATGAAATGATAACCCCGCTAGCGCTATTAGTATATACTGGTGAGACACTAGTGAGGGATGGTAGTAGGACAGTTGACCTGACCTATAATGACAATTTATAAGATAAAAATTTAACCAAAATTGTTTCCAGGAAGGTTTCCTGATTATTTTATGAGGTTGACCTGATGTGTTATTCCTAGCAGTGGGACTGCTCGTCTTTGCTACTAACAATCCCTTCTATTCTGTGTTTTATATTTAAGTAAATACTGACTTGACTCAAAGTGTCATATTTTTTTTATGAATGATAATGGAATGGTAATCCCCGCCTGTGCTATAGTTATACACTGGCAGGGCACCAGTGAAAGATGACAGGTGTGGATGAAAGCAGGTCATTTAGCTCATCATGATGAATACATTTCGAATTGAGCACTATGGTTTCCAGGGGAACCTCATGGAGGTCGACCTGATAGGGTATATTACTAGTAATGGGGTTATTTGACTCCATTACTAACAATCCCTTTCCCCCCACAGTATCATATTAGTACATAGTTATTAATCCCCTAGGTTGGCTCCCACATAACCGGTGGTGACCTGTATGGTATTGTGCACGAGAACACTCTGGTTAAACACAAAATGCTGATGCCGCCCAAGGCCAAGGGTACAGTCACCTATATTGCGCCAGCTGGCAACTACAAAGTCACTGTGAGTATGGGTTTATTTATTTATTTTGTACCAATGTAGATGGATGTATAAGATGGACTAAATTCTATAAAAGCTTCTCTGGGAATTGATTGTTATGAATATAAACTATAATTGTGATACATTAAGTATTCATAGATTCTGTTTTAATATAACATAATAAAAATATTTGACTAGATCATATAACAGTAAGTTGTATATATAATCCAATAGATGTACAAAAGAATCAATTAATTGAATAAAAATTTCGATTTGTAATAATCTTTAATTACATTTAGGTTGTCTAGAAGAGATTGCTTAGTGATAAGGCCGTCTTTTGTATAATTTTTCATAAAAAATAACTGTATTTTCTATTTTATAAATGGTGGAATAAAGTGTAAAATAAATAATAATAATACATTAGAGGAGTTTGCTGTGATAATGTAAACAATATTTGCCTTTTGAAATTATTCGAACAGACTACACATTATTCATAAATTCAAGATATGTCTGCAAGATAACAATTCTTTATTTGCATTGTACACCACTGTTTAATTAAAAGAAGATATCTGAAATGTTATTTTGGCGTTTTCCATTTGAACAATTTGTTATATAAAATTATTAATTTACAACTATGCCAATGTTAATTTTGTATCCAATTTTTGTTGTTTCATTGTCTTAATAAATAGGACTTTTTTTTTACAGTATTTAGAAAAAAAAACCACGGTATTTGTTTAATGATGGACCCTCATCTAGTACACAATTAAAATTATTTAATGCTAATGAATTTGACTCTGTATTTATAATAACTTTTAGATTTGAATATGTATAATTGTTTGTTTGGATAGGATGTGGTGCTAGAGACAGAGTTCGACGGTGAGAAGGCGCAATACACTATGTTGCAAGTATGGCCGGTGCGTCAGCCGCGACCTGTCACCGAGAAGTTGCCTGCTAACCATCCACTACTCACCGGACAGCGTGTGCTTGATTCGCTCTTCCCGTATGTATATTTATTTTTTATTCTAATATCGCATAACTCAGACATGGTCATGTAATTTTAATTTTTTATAAATTAGTTTCTAGGTTTGAGCAAATTTAAAGAATAGATTTCTAACTTTTATGTTCGGCCGAGCGCGCTTAATATTCTTGGTGTTGCAAGCGTACATAAGCAGTGGTAACTCTGTTTATCATCAGATGGGCCGTATGCTGGCCAGCACTGCCTGTGAATAGGAAATAAGCTTACATTGTACTTGATGGTGACTGATAACCTACAATCATAGCCTGTAGATATGACAACGACGAATATCGCGCATATCCTGCAGTTCTTTTTTTTTATACAACTTGGTTCATGGAATCGTAATAATACAGACACTATACGAGGTTTGTCCGGAAAGTACGTATAAAAGTTTTTTAAAAATTTTATTTTACAATTATTCAGGTAAATCAATTTTATCCCCTTCAAAGTACTCCCCCTGTGACATAATGCACTTGTGCCAACGCCGTTTCCACTGTGAGAAGGCTCCTTGAAAGTCCTCTGGTTGTAGGTTTCTCAGCTGCCCCGTCGTAGCTTTTTTTATCTCATTTATGTCCCCCAAATGCCGCCCCCGAAGTACCAATTTGGTTTTTGGGAACAAGAAGAAGTCACACGGGGCCAAATCCGGCGAATAGGGGGGGTGTTCGGTCACCGTAATGGAATTTTTACTCAAAAACTCACGGACAACAAGAGAGGTGTGGGCAGGGGCATTGTCGTGGTGAAGAATCCAACGCCCCTCTCGCGCCAATTCTGGACGAACTCGTGCCACACGAGCTTTGAGGCGTCTGAGCACATCGACGTAGAATTTTCCATCAACTGTCTGGCCTGGAGGGACGAATTCTTGATGGACAATCCCCCGAACATCGAAAAAAACAATCAACATTGTCTTGACATTTGAGCGGGATTTTCTTGATTTTTTTGTTCGTGGTTCCCCGGATGTCTTCCACTCTTTGCTTTCACGGCCATTCTTGCCGAGTTTCGAGAGAAACTTGATTACGACGCGCTGCTCTTCAACGGAAGCGGGCTCCATGCCGACGGGGTTTCGTTAAGAGGTAACTTCACAGATGGCGTGACAAGCCAGTTCGCACCGCACGGCGGTCAGACCAGAACTGAAGCATTGTTAGGGACATAAGGAAGGGGTCCTGCGCTTACCTGGCCTCCCCACTCCTCTTTCTCGCATTCCAGAACACTTTTATACGAACTTTCCGGACAGACCTCGTATATATAGTTTCTATCTAAATTTATGATTTCTGAATAAGTAATATTGAGTTAAAATAATTTTTATAATTAAATCACAAATTTAAAAAAAAAATATGTAAATATAAAAAAATAAACGAAATAAAGCATTTAATATATTAAATATTGGTTAACTAATTTTTATCAAGGACTTCGTTTGACGCTTACTGCAAAAGAAGCCATAACATTCGGGCTCATTTGTCATATGTACTTGTGGACGGGTGATGCTTGCGGGGACTGGTCTGCTCGTGTTTATTTGTTTTTTTTTTTTTATACAACTTAGAATGGCAAACAAGCTGACGGTCCACCTGATGGAAAGTGGTAACCGTCGCCTATAGACATGAGCTTGCTTGCTTTTTTATGCTTGTATAAACAGAATGGCTATTAATAGTCATAGTTACCAGATAAATGTAAAATTATCTAGTACATAAATAACTTGAAAACTAACTGCTGAGTTTCTTGTAGATTCTTCTCAACAGATAACAACATTTCGAATCCTTCAATAGATTTAGAAAAAAAAAAAATGACAAAATAAAACACCTTATATTTTATATTTGAATATATATTGTTCTATTCTATTCTAAATGGTGCAGTTGAGTAATTGCAAATGTTTGCTGTAGGTGCGTACAGGGTGGTACCACAGCCATTCCCGGAGCCTTCGGTTGCGGCAAGACTGTGATCTCGCAGGCGCTCTCCAAGTATTCCAACTCCGATGTCATCATCTACGTCGGATGCGGAGAGCGAGGTATGTTCGTTATTTTGTTTATACTAGTGACAGAAGGGAAAAACTTACTGTACTTTTAGCTGAAATAATACTACTACTTAAATAACATACTTAAATAACTACTTATATAACATACTTAAATAACTACTTATATAACAGTATATAGACATCGTAATATATGCTATTTGGAATTAATTTTTCAAAATATATTTTCATTTTTAAATATATTTATGAGTATATAATATCACTATTTGTGAATGTACCATATTCATCAGATGTGTAATCTTAATCTTCTCGGCAGGTAACGAAATGTCTGAAGTACTTCGAGACTTCCCCGAGTTGACGTGCGAGGTTGATGGTATTACTGAATCAATCATGAAGCGTACAGCCCTGGTGGCCAACACCTCAAACATGCCTGTCGCTGCCCGTGAAGCCTCCATCTATACTGGTGAGTTCACTGTTGAACCTGATTGATGTTATGTGAGCTCTTTTACACACGAAAACCTACTGAACGAATTTGAATGAAATTTGGTACATGGGTAGGTTGTATACTATTGTTATATTTATTGATTCACGCTGGAGAAGCCATGGAATAAAGCTAGTATTCTATAAAAAATATAATGATATAAATTTTCAAATGCGTTAGAAAGTGAATCTGTTATACAGCAAATGGCGCAAATAATTTTTGCGCATCATAACAGTATTTTGACAATTTTATGAATATATCAATAATTTTGAGCAAATAAATTATTTCATATTCTGTATATTTATTGGCAAATAAAATATGCTTTTGGTTGTACTCTTAAAAATACTATAAATAAAATATCACATGTAAATATGATGAATATCAACTTGCAGGTATCACTTTGTCTGAATATTTCCGTGACATGGGTTACAACGTCTCCATGATGGCTGACTCGACATCACGTTGGGCCGAGGCTCTTCGTGAAATTTCCGGTCGTCTTGCTGAAATGCCTGCCGACTCTGGCTACCCAGCCTACCTGGGTGCGCGTCTCGCCTCCTTCTACGAGCGTGCCGGCCGTGTCAAGTGTATGGGCAACCCTGACAGGGAAGGTGGGTTAATTTTCATTCTTCTCTTATCCTTGAAATATAGGTATTTTTTGTAATTGGTAAGAGAACATTTTTCATTTGATTTTATATGAAATTATTTGGTTATTAGCCATTTTAATTAATATTTAAAGATGTAGTAATAAGAGTACATATTGAGTGTAGTACAATTTATGTAGTATAATTAGACTATATATAATTCTTATCCATATTACGAAAAAAAGATTTGGCTTATAGTTTTACGACGGGCCGCCTGCCTGACGTCAACCCTCCTTGGGAAAGCTTTTGTTAGTGGTTTCCGCCACCTACGCGGCTCGGGAGGCCGGGGTCGCATACCCGTATGCCCTTATTTTAGAATCGGACAGATTTCTAGAAGAGGACACCCTTGACACAAAGAATGGAAGAGGAAAACATATTACGCCGTCCCCAAATGATAGTTGGGATAAGGGTAGGAAGATGAAGATGATGAATTAGACTATATATAATTACTAAGAGAATTTAATCAAAATTGTAGTTCTTATTTTAATTTAAAATTCTATATTTAAATTTAGCTTTTTATATTTCAAAGTCAGTGATAAGTGTATACATCTCTATATATATTACATTATTAAACAAAAGAATTACGAAACTAGATTTTTATGTGTTAGTATTTAAAGTACAAAGTCAGTCGTATGCTCAGTTGTACATCATTGACACTCTTTGTTTATGATTAAGAATTGTTTATGGTATGTCAATGTAAGTATTTAACAGACCAATGCTGGGCATAGGTAGATAACTGTGCTCAAAGGTATAACATACTATATTATGCTGGTCTGGCTTAGCCTAAGATGTTTGTGGTTTTATTTTGACATTTTTGTACAAATGGCGAGTTTAATGCCATTTTCTATTATATTTTGTTTTCACGAATTTGTGAGATTCTAAATATGAGAATGAATGATGGTAACACGAATTAATGTAATTACTTAATTATAATTTGAACATGATTTTATTTTTGATCAGGATCTGTATCCATCGTGGGTGCCGTGTCACCGCCCGGTGGTGACTTCTCCGACCCTGTCACATCGGCCACACTCGGTATCGTCCAAGTGTTTTGGGGTCTTGACAAGAAACTTGCCCAGCGAAAGCATTTCCCTTCCATCAACTGGCTTATCTCTTACAGGTAATTTAATAATTAAGATTTATAATAAAAGTAACCAATTTTTTTTTGCCTACTTTTGCTTTACTAGTCAATTATGGTTAATGCATAGATAATTTATTTAGGTGTTTTTTTCCACCATGCGTGTATTTTTACACCTATAAGTTAAATAAAACATTTTGGGATATTAAATATATTTAATTTAATAAATAAATTGTTTCTGTATTTGCCGTGTTTTGTTGAACTTTAATTGAAAAAAAAAAAGTAATTTACATTTAGATATGTTTGTTTTGCATTAGTTGGTTTATTACTGGTCTATATATTATATAGTTAGCTTATGGTGGAGTGTTGTATATAATTAATAGTTATTTATAATTTATTTGCCCTTAATGGTATTCCGATTTTCGTATATATTTTATATCATAAACTTTTGTTTATACAGCAAGTACATGCGCGCGCTGGATGACTTCTATGAGAAGAACTACAGCGACTTTGTACCACTTAGGACCAAGGTATGTCTAGTTATATATTTGCAAGCAAATATATATAATATTAAACAAATTATTTTGTTACTTATACATATTTAATGTTTTATAAATTATATAAATTTATTTAATTTTCGTATTTTAATGTTCGTTTTAAATAGTTGAACTAAACTTGATTATGTTAGGTACTTTGCAGTTTGTATCAATGTTGAAAAAATATTAATATATTGGACCTGTCACTCCTATTTGTTAAATTATATAAATTTAATTTAAAAAGCAATACATTTCAGCCTATGTTTTTCACTAATAATAAAGATTACTATCGGTGATTTTTTTTAAATCAGTTAAATATTTATTTATTTTATCCATCGTAAAAAAAGAATTAAATTTTAAACTTCATTAATACATGTCCATTTGATTGTCTAGGTTAAGGAAATCCTTCAAGAGGAGGAGGATCTATCCGAAATCGTACAACTGGTCGGCAAGGCTTCGCTCGCCGAGACTGACAAGATCACCCTCGAGGTTGCCAAGCTTCTTAAAGACGACTTCCTCCAGCAAAACAGGTAAGGAGTTTCTGCAATATTTTTTTTTATATATTTTAATTTAATTATATCTAAGGTTTATTAACATAATTATGTTATATTAACATTCAAATAGTGATGATGGATAATATTAAAATTTCAATACCATATCATTTATTGAACACCAGGATTGAAATTGGCGTGACTTGATGTTGTAGTTAATAGTAATAAAGTGGTACATTTTCCACCACAGATAACACTTACAAAAAGCATAATTTTTTCTGACTTGTTATCAGAAGTTACGATATCATATCAACATAATATGCCTTTATACTTTACTAGAACCCCGCCAGTGTAATAGCGCAAATAAAGGTTACCACTTTATTTGCGTTTTTTTTTTTAAATTTTATCCTAAATATTTTATCTCATTGCTCTAATTACTACACCTCATTGGAATCTCATTATATTAATATATAAAAATCCTAATGTCACGATGTTCGTGTTCGTTCACGCTAATTTTCGAAACTGCTCAACCAATTTTATTTAAATTTAATACATGTTTATTGTTTTAATTAGAGAGATAAAATAGTTTTTATCCCGATGAGTGGGCCCTATAGGATGAAACGTTTGTTGGGTCAGTTAATTGTAATATAAATAAATATCCACCAGCTACTCGGCGTACGACCGCTTCTGTCCGTTCTACAAGACGGTGGGCATGCTCAAGAACATGATTGCTTTCTACGACATGTCGCGGCATGCCGTTGAGTCCACCGCGCAGTCGGATAACAAGGTTACATGGAACGTTATCCGTGACGCCATGGGCAATATCCTGTACCAGCTTTCATCCATGAAGTTCAAGGTATTTACAAACTTATTTTACTTGTCAAGATTAAATGTTGCAAGCTAAATAAAATCAGTTCCTCCTAACAGATTTTGCTGAATTTTATATACACCTTTATTTTAGCAGTACTCAAAATGGCCGCTGTCACAATATAGCGGATGGTGTATATTTTGTAAACTTTGTTAATATGGGTATTAAATGAAAGAGCTGGCATTTATGCCGTGTAGGTGCATCCGTGTGTTTATTTTAGTCTATACTCTACAGCCAGTAAAAGAGCCATAACTTGTGATATTTAGTGATATAGAATTATGATATATTATTAATGAATCTTCTTTTTTATATTAGTTTTGTCGGAAAATACAATCTTATCATTTATTACAGGACCCGGTAAAAGACGGCGAGGCTAAGATCAAGGCAGACTTTGACCAGCTCCTCGAAGATATGTCGGCGGCCTTCCGCAACCTTGAGGACTAAGCGACACCATCTAGTAGCGTGTCGAACGAGCGGCGTACAAACGGGACTGTAACCAATAACTATCCCGCTGTCTTCAAATATTTTTATTTTATAATAATATTGTAATAGACGATATGATAATTTATTGGATTCACCCAAAGCCTAATTAAAAATAGGGTGAATGGCTCGCTCGTGTTGACACAGTTTTGTTAATACTTAGCCGTAATTCGTGTTACGCAGTCTATGTAGAGTGCATAGGTTATATTACTCGTTTCAAATCAAATATTCACGATTCTATTGTTGATAAATTGAGTCTTAGATTCTCGGTAGGCTCGCGCGCCCGAATTTTATGACCTTGTATATACATTACCCACAGTCTGCAACGCGTCGGTTGGTCTTGTTCGGTCGCGCGACTCCACATGCCGTTAGTTGTTATTTATATTATTATTATTAAATAAATATACTATTTATATACACTAACAATCAATTATTTGGCCCATTGATATTCTATTGATAATATCGAGTACCCTCTTGCATTCCACGTTATATTAGTTGTATGGAAAACATCGGCTTTAACGCTTCATTGCAATAACTTGTTTCAGTTTACTATTTTTTTTTTATTAAAACGATTATTTATATACAGTATTATATAACTCTGGACAAGTGAGTGCACATTCTACGTACGGCGTAGTTGTTTGGTTTCAATGTGTACAAATATATCTGCGCAATAAATATACTTGCTGTTTGAATTTCTGTGACGTTAAGTGTTGAGAGGTGAAGAAAGTTATAAATAATAAAAAATGTAAAGTGTACAAGGTTGTTTTATTTATGTATATAAAGCCCAATAGAGTTATATTCCCTTACTTTTTTGATTTAGGAGATAGTAGTAATTAATGTTTGTAGTGCGCTGAAGCCATTTTAAAATTTGAAGCAGTTTATAAAGAAATCTTTATCATTTCACCAAACACAACTGTTTCTAGGCTTTTTTATACAACTTAGAATGAAAAACAAGCTGACGGCCCACCTAATGGAAAGTGGTAACCGTTATCTATAGAGATGAGTAGAAACATGGACATAACAGAGTATATTGTTTCGTCCATTATACCCCCCATGCGTTGCCATTCCTTAGGACTCGGGTGTTATTCCTCTGTACCCTGTAAATTCACGTCATATCCCACCCTTCAAACCGAAGCACAACCATGCAAACACGACTACTTTACGGTTGAAACACGAATGGGTCAGAGGTACCCAAGCAAATGACTTTTGTACAGTCTCCCTCTGGTTTTAAAGTGAAGTACTATTTTATCGAATTTGTCCAGTAGAATACACGTAGATTCAAATATATAAATACTTATGCGACTTTTTTTTATACAACTTAGAAGAAACAAGCTGACGGCCTACCTGATGGAAAGTGTTAACCGGCGCCTATAGACATGAGCAGTACCATGGACATAATAGAGTATACTGTTTCACCCATGATACCCCCCATGTGTTGCCATTCCTGAGGACTTGACAGGAAAGGTGACTATAAGTATATGGGCGATAATCGCATAAAGGGACAAAACCCTATCTATTCTTTATCTTAATAAGTTTTGTACAAAATCAGAGCTCGTTATAATTACCTTGTGGATTGAAGCAATAAATAACTCGATTTATGAGGGAATCCTAGGGAATCCTTTTTTTATGTGACTTCAGTAGAATTAACCTCATATAGCTTTGTTTTCATCATCAGCTATTAACTGTCCATTGCTGAACATAGGTCTCCTCCATAAAAGGGGGAGGGAGGGTTACTAGTAGTTGCCAGGCTTGGCAAGTGATAACCGCAGTTAGGTTTTGGTGATGTTTTAAGAGGGACTGCTGCGCATTCATCGACCATTACGTTCTCGTAGTCGCTTCTTACGACACCTACAGGAAAGGAAGAGGTGGCCTATTCTATGCTGGTACCACACGGTTATTCAGCTTCATTATACAAGTGGCAAACGAATCCGCCATTATGAACATTCATAAATTTAGCTTGACGAAGTTCGTAGACACAGCACTTTTTAAATAATCGAAACATTGAAAATTCTTCAATTGTTTTTGAAAATTGTGATATTGCCATATTTAATTATTTATTTAGGATTACTAACATAAGTTACAGCGAAACATTTCAATACACACTAGTGGATTATGGCTTCAATTCAAATTACTCAAATTAAATTACAAATAAAATATTTTTATATAAATATTTCGTTATGATCCCTAGTGAGTCCGTGAGATAGAATGAGATGGCGATGTCCAGTGTCTTGTTCTTTCATTGCTATTAGTCTGATGAGCAGGAGTTACATGTGAATAAAAAATACTGGCTGGATGCATTATAGATTTTTCTTTATATTCTGACATAACAGAATGCAAAAAGTGGCAAAAGGAATAGACATCAAATTCTTATTTTCTGAAAGAATTTAAGAGATTTTTGAAATTGTTTACAATGTCCAAGATGAGGTATAAAGATGAGCCGAATATGAGTGATACTACCATTTTAATGAGCGTGGAAGATCTGATAAATATAGCTATGGGTCCACAACATGTAAATATATCCTATTTATACTACAAACGCGAAAGTTTGTAAGGATGAATGACACAATTTGAATGAAATTTGGTGCATGGGTAGGGTATATTCTAATTTAGCATATACCATACCTTATCAGCCATTAATTGTCCACTGCTGAACATAGACCTCTCCATAATTAAGAGAGTTTTGCTGGTAGTTACTATGTTTGACAACCGGGTTGGCAATCACAGTTAAGCTTTTGGTAATGTTTTAAGAGGAACGCAGCTACCTTACCTATTCCTCGACCATAAGTTTCTTAATTGCCTCTTACGACATCCACAGTCGGTATTAAAATAAGTACTTGTGTCAACGTTTTGTTTTCAGAAAAATGTAATAAATTATAAACTAATACAGACAGTTCTTCATATTCTTGCTCGACAAATGCGAATGCTCGAGCAACGTGTGGAAATTAGAATTACGGAGCAACTATCACCACTTGACGAGATAAAAGGGAGGACAAGAAAAGTAGAAGCGTCTATTGATAGCTCATCTAGAAAGAGTCCGCGATCGGTTATTTCTAAAGACCATATAGAAAACTTTACAGAGGTGTCTAAACAAAGTAAAGATAAAGAAAAAGCGGAACATGCTGTCCAAAAAGAAGAAAAATATGTTAAAGAAAAGGGTAAAGCAGACAGAACCACACAGAGGCAAGTAAATAAAGGCGAAAAGGCAAGATTAAAAGAAGGAGATAAGATTATAAAAGAAAAAGAGGAAAAAGATAGAGCAACTTCTAAGGAAAGGGAAAAAGCAGAGATAAATGAAAAGGAGAAAGAAGAACGGACAATTTCTAAGGAAAGAGAAAAGTCTCAAAAAGCAACAGCTAGGGAAAAAGAGAAAGGAGAACGAACAACTTCTAAGGAAAGGGGAAAAGTTGAAGAAAGAGAGACAGAAGAAAAGGAAACAGAAAAATTGGACAAAGTAACGGCTAAAGAAAGAGAAAAAGGTGTTATGAAAACAAGGGACAAAGATGAAAAGGCGACGCAGATAGAAAAAGAACAAGCAGAGATGGAAGCTAAATTGAAATTAAAATCTTATAAGGTATGAGTATTTTTTTTAAATATATCTATAACTTTTTTTCATTGTATCAGATACGATAATTTCATAATTCTTATATTTTTATTTAATATTTTATAAGATTAAAAAATATATATATTACAGGAAATATTAGTAAAATATCTCGACCGGATCAGTTTTTTTTTAAATACAGTAAAATATTAGAATATTATTTCATTCTGTGTCTGATGATAATCAAAGAAATGGAAGAATTATCTCATTAGCATCATTTCAGAATCTATTGTCCAATGAACTCCATTAAGTAGATTTTTTTGTTTAACACATTAAGGGTTATATATTTGATTGTAACGAATTGTAAAGCTAATAATTTATTATGGTTGGTAGAAATTTTAAATCATTCACACCAACGTTTGAATCATCTAAATATGAACTAGACAGTGATTGAATATTAACATGCATTGTTTTATTTAGAAAGGTAAAATTCGAGCTGGATCTGGAACGAGTATTGCTATATCAGGTTGTATATTTTTTATTCATAGATATATTTGTAATACTTTTTTCAATTTTGTTAGCCAGGCAAGTAGAATATATTAGATTTTTTCTCCTTCATTATCATTATTATAGTATCCGTCATATGTCCACTGCTGAACATGTGCTTTCCCTATATACTCGTACTGTCATAAGAAAGCAATTTACTATTGATAGGATTTTTGCCAGTATTTGCCACACTTGGCAGGCGGCAACTGCAGTTTGGCTTTGGTGATGTATTAAGAGTGACGCTGCTGCCAATCCCTAGACCATTAAGTTCCTTTAGTCGCCTCCTACGCCAGCCACGGGAAAGGAAGGGGTGGCCAGGACCACACATTTTTTTTCCTTACAAAACATTAATAATGGTAATCAAATACACAGTTCGCTTATTGGTCATAAGATTGTAATCTCTCACAGATCTAGATAAGAAAAAGTTTTTAAAATGTTTACTTATTGATTTGTTTATTTCTTCAGAGGTGGAGCGCCAAAAAGAGAAGGTGTTAGTAGGTAAATATTATAGGTAGGTATATACGCATAAAATTCAATATTTGCTAAGTGCAAACGCTAACATGTTTATGTGACTTTCAGTTGAGAAAGGGCCAACGACACATTTGGGTATGTTGGTTTATTTATTTATTTCGTTAGAGAAACAATTTCTTAGAAATAAACAGATATATATTCATCTAAGATTAGTACGGAGATTATAAAATTTTATGTAAAATATTTAGCATTTTGATCATAAGTTTGTATCGTGTTGGGGTATATAGGAAATTTTTAAATAGATATTATGTAGATGGTAATGATGGTAATGTCAATGACACACACGAATGAATTTTGAGTATATTGTAACACGATAATAAGTGTCACACAATCACACTACTTCCTCCACAATCTAGGACATCCTGTATTAAGGGGAACTAGTAATGTATATCTGAAGGCACAATCCAGAAAAGTTCATTTTTTGAATTGGCTGGAAATTGAACCCAAGATCTTGATATGCAAAACAATGTGTTTACTGTGGCCCCACGGAGATCGTCATACATGTAATAGAATCTAATAATTATTTTTGTTTAACACATTAACTGGATACTTACCTACTTTATGTATTATGATGTTTTATTATACATATTTTACGTGATGTTAGATTCGCGTGGTCGTGAGAGTATAGAAGTCGTAACACGATCGCAATTTAAAATCCTTGAAGCTATGGTTAATGATCTTGAAGCTATGGTTAAGGAGATTGCTGGACCTTTGCCTACACCAGCATTGCCGGAAAATAAAAAGTTGAGATCCGAACTGGCTAGAGGCAGTGCCTCTCTTACAGATATAATGAATGCCATGCAGGTGATGATTTTGAACTATTGTAGCTAATATTACAATAATTTACATTGAAGTCATGATAAGCATTTTAATTTGTCTAGGTTTCAATGCCTAGTTTAGAAGCTTATAAAAACTTTCTATTTATTAAAGTGCTTAAAATTTATAAGTTGAAAAAATAATAGAGACATAGGGATATAGGCACTATGGTATTAGAGACGTAGGGATAATGGAATTATAAGTCGAAGCAGCGTATGAAAAAGGTAAGCTGATGGAGCTAGTTATATCTCTGATGGGATATCTATCTAATCAACCAATTCCAAATAGTTTCAATAATCTAAATCAAGGCAAACTAAGTAAACGTAAGGATATCGGTATTAGTTTTGTTAATCTCATACCTTGCAATGTTATGAAAGTTTAAATGTACAGAGATAGCGATATATTTTCAGGTGAGCGCTCGTGTCAAAGCAGCTGAACAAGCTATTGGTCGAATGGGCGATTTGCTCACGGAACTGGCAGCAGCTGGTGCTTTACCGGATGATTTTGCAGAGCGAATTGTAGAGGTTCAGTTTGAGCCACACGAACAGCTGGACACATTGGCTGTAAGTTTTGGACATAAAACGTCTTTTTATTTTGAAATATAAGTAATTTTAATACAGCAATATTTAATTCAGCAAACGGAACATTAAAGAAGTGGTTGTAAACATATACACAAAAAAAGATTGTCCTTTTTTCTTTAGCAGTAGAGTAAATATGAAAGACGTGTGTATGATGAAGATTTTTGGTATATTATAATAAATTTGCATATCACGTAAGTTTTGTTTTTTTTTGTTACACGATAGTATCGTATTGGTGTATTAAACAAATTAGTATCATGATGATACTAATTCGTTTGATACGCCACTTTCGAATCAATATTGACAATTTGTTTGTTACATATTAATTTTGTAATGTTTGAAGCTATTATTTATTAGCGGATCAAATTGTATTCGTTCTCTTGAGATAATGTGTTAAGATATTATTGTAATTACGTATTCGTTTCAGGCGAAATCTCGCGTACCAGCTGGTAAATCTGTTGTCATTGATTCATCTTCAATAAAGTCGTTTGCTGCGCGGTCTGTGGCGTCGGACGTCTCACCGTCTAAAATGTCAGTTGGAAGATCATCCGTAGCTTCACATCTGTCTACCGCTTCCGCGTTATCAACTCTGCCAAAAGTTACTCGACTAGACATGGAGTTAGTATTTACTTGTACCTTAGTTTGTTCTTTAGTTATTAAAAGAAGAAACCGAGGAGAAACTAATGTCTTTTTTTACCTGGCTCAGAGTAATTTCAATTTCTGAACTCACCTTGAGTCTGTTATAGATAGCAGAATTAATTAAATTGACTTTCTTCTTGGATACCGAGATGGAAAGTTCGTTCGTTCTGTTTTCTGTTTAAGTTAGTTACGTTTTCTTGATATTTTAAAAGTAGAAATCCTTAAAATTATTTATGAATTGTTTTTCTTTTCTTCTTAAACTTCAAATTCGTTGATGATTCGGAAAATGTTTATTTTCTAGCGACGCTCTCCGTTCTCTTAAAGAGGATTTATTAAAGAATATGCATTCAATGACAACAAAAGCTGCTGCTGCCGCTGAAACGGCAGTATCTGTAGCAAAATCTGTTGGTTAGTGACATATACTCGTATTAACAAATAAGTCACAATACCTGCTTGTAAAATTTAGAAAATTGAACAAATTTACTGATAATGAATAAAAATATTTTATTTTGGGAGAACATTAGTACCCCAGGATATCTTAAGAGATGAATAAGGGAAAACATATTTCTTCACTAAAAAGGCTCAAGTTAAAACTTTACAGTAAGTCACCTGGTTGGCATGATAAAAGTGAAGTAAAAAAACCCATTGTGGGAAGAAAATTTTACCTATCTAGTAGTGGAACGTTAATGGATTACTATGATGACGACATAGAATATTAGAATGCACTTAGATAGATACGGGTAGCTTAATTCGTTCTGTGTTATAATTTGCTTATTTACATATGTTCACAGCTGCAAAACTTGATGTGGCAATACAGTTAAATGATCGTATATCGACATTGCATTCTCTTGTGTCTGATTATGCAGAACAATTGAGTGGTTTCGATGCTGGAATTTCTACTCAGGTAATTAGATTTGATATAATAATACAGATTCATGATGGTCATTCAGTGAAATTTTATTAGTACGACACAAGTAACTTCTCATTTATCTGTATCAAAGTATTTTACTCTTCACATGTCAAAGATAGATATAGAAAACGTAAAAAAAAAAAAACTAAAATATGTCTACATTAAAAATAAGCATGTCGTAAGCATTAATGAATCAAAAACCCGCTTCTATATCGAACCATTAAAAATTTAAATGCAAATTCTTCAATTCAAAGATTTTTGATCCAATTATTAGATACAGAGGCATAACAATAACACCTTGAGTACGTAAATGTATCGTTATATTAATTATTAACATTTCTACTCTTTACTTTTATTATAGATGCAGGGATTCCAAGAGCAGATGATGCAACTGCGCTCAGATTTAAGGGGTGGTTTGACGCAGTTTGAGCAAGTTAACAATAATGCTGAGACTGCTGGTTAATAATAGTGTTTTTTTTTAAAGTGACAAACTTGTTGGGTAGGGTCACGAACTTTTATAATAGTTCGACACATTTATATACAGTTTATAGTTTAATTTTTTTCTAACTTTTATGTTAGTGCTTATGTAGTTTTCTATAGGTGAAAGAATTTTTAAAATTGATTAAGTACTTTTTGAATTTATCCATTAGGTACAAAGAAACAAATAAATAAATCTTTCCTCTTTAAGTAACAGTATAGATGTAGATACATGGGTCGATTTTTATATGCAATATCTTCATATTTCATTTATTATTGACATATTTGTTTTGTTTTACATATGCAGCTGTTCTTGAACTTACGGAACATTACGAGGGTTTAGTCTCCGAACTGGATCACACTCTTCACCTGCATAAATCGCTTACTACCTTCCAGAATCAACTTGGCGATGAGTTACATGTACCTATTTATATGAAAATATATATTCTATTATTTTTTATCAGCGATTTCGTCCGCGTGACCGGGATAAAAAGTAGCCTATGTCCTTCTCCGTACTATAGAGTACCAGAGTTCATAGTTATTAATGATAAACTCACTCTCACATTTATAATATTAGTAAGGATTGAAACATTCTGTATACCGTCATTTATTATAAAATATTTCTGATAAATTTTAGAGATTTAGATAATCAAAGATATTTTTCTCGTTGAATATAAATTGTAAAAAAAATTGAAATTGTACTTTATGCAACTGTATCTTACTTGAATAAAAATATTATATTATTATTATTATAATTTTAGAATCTTGTGGAATGCGTGGAGATGCTTAGAGAACAGAAAGCTGATCGAGACGAAGTTTTAGATGGACTTAGAGATAAGGTAACGTATTATCATGTGGTACAGTATATGATACGAGTACTTCGCTCGAAATTTGATCGGCTTCATCAGATTCATAGCTCGCTTTTTATCCAGCTGCAAAATATTACAGTAGCGTGCCCCTTAAAATGTCATCAAACCTAACTGTGATTGCCAACCCGTCTGCTGAGCGTAGTAACTACTACCGTCATCCACTGCTGAACATAGGCCTCCCCCTATTGGAGGGTTTAGCCAATAATTATATATATTTTAAATCAACTAGGTCTATTAATCTATTTTGTAATCAACTTTGAATGAATGTATTTAGTTTTCAAAATGTTGGTGATATATAAAATAGAGTGAAAACTTGGATTAGTCGTCGATAGGTTCTTATTATCAAACTGTTACTATATGGATTGTGTATTGTTATTTGTCACTTTATTAATATTTAAAGGATTGTATAAAGGTAATAGTGACTTGATATCGTAGGCAGATAATTCCCGACTGGCTGGTTTGTTAAGCGAAATAGAGTTCACTGCCGCCCGCGCCGAGCTGGAACGGCGGCTTGAAGTTTGCTACGACAAGTTCTATAAACAGGACAATGTTTGGATGGTAAGTTAGTATTTTTGTTATTTTTGATTTATGAAAGGAAGAAATTATAAATATGTATGAATATATTTTGGGAAAAAACTAGAGTCGTGTTGTATCAAGAGAGATTCACTGAAAATCGCAGTGAGTATCAAGAACTACACCGACGAGAGGAATAAATCCTAAAAGTGACTGAAACGATTGTTATCACTTACCATCAAGTGGGCCGCCAGCGTGTTTTGATTTAATTCTATTAATATTATAAATCAATGTTTGGATGTTTGCTATTCAATAATTCTTAAACAGCTGAACCGATTTTATTGAGATTTAAAAAAGATACATACATACATACATATCTGTCACGCCTGTCTCCCATTAGGGTAGGCAGAAACAATGGAACGCCAAAAAGATAGATATCTTAGATTAAAAAAAAACTGTTGTTTGCAATTCTAGACTAGAATTTAATAGTTGAGTAGATACATAAGTTAGCAAATAATGAAAAATGTTAGAAAGAAATTTCATATGTCAACTCTTTACTTATTTTAATGTTGCAACAGGGTGCTATAAAGGAGTTGTCTCACATAGCTGGCACCAAAGCGGAGCTGATGCAGTTACTGGCAATGAAAGACGAGACGCAACAGCAACTTCGCGAACTGCATGAGAAGTTGCAAATGCTCGAGTTAGCGCTTGGCGAGCCGAAGGTCAGGCCAATTGAAATCACGTAGAATTTATAGTCATTTATGAAATTGGTCCAAAAAGATTTTCTTTGCTATTTTGAAGAAATTCTGCAAGCCGAATGCAAGGGAATGTGCATGATGCCCACGGTGAGCGGGAATTTATTGAGTCACCATCGGCCTGGGAACTTTTCTTATGAACAGAGAGTTTACCCTCACATGCTAGAACCTAAATTTTAGACATGTTTCCTCTCACGAACGTTCAGACTGTGGAATGAGTGCAGCCAAATTTTAGTGTGAGGTTCTTTCAAAAAGATGTATTAAGGTTTCTTCAGGGCCACCAACGCATATATGACGTCTTTAATTTTGCAGGCGTCCATAGGATGCAATGACTGTTTACCACAGATGGGCTGTACGCTTGTTTGCCTTTTTTGTGGTATAAAAAAGTCACATTATCTGTTTGTAGAATTAATAGTTACCTATGGAAGTAATCTAAAAAAGACGCGCTATTTGATTTTGAGGGAATTCTGCTTATATATATCCTCTTATATCTTGCTCTATTTTATCCTGCTATAAGCAACTTGGCCAATGTTGCTTATAGCAGGTTAAAAGAGAGTATCTTAAGTAGTAATAATAGGATGAATTCTTTGAATAAATGTTTTATATATGTTTAGTTTTTTTGTCAGGCTGATGTTAGATTTGAGATTGCTTGATAAGATTGGGTAAACGAAACAAATGTGAAAAACTAGGCAGGCAACCATAGTTTAAAAAAGCATTTAATTCATTAGTTCATTCATTCGTGATTAAAAAATTCAGAAACGATAAAAAAATATCGAGCCTCTATAATACTAACTCATTAGTTAAACGCGTCGTGTTAAAATGGGAGTCTCAGGTTTTTGTCATTTTGGACCCATTTTTTATTAGGTAAAATATTCAGTTTAATTGTTAGGCCATTTCCTTAAATGAATTTATAGTTTCGATTTCATCCTGTATAAATAAAAATATATATATATATATATATATATATATATATATATATATATATATATATAACAGGCTGCCATGCTTACACGCAAGTTATCCCGAGATGCTACATGTGGTGCGTGCATGGTGCCGGCGTTGATGGAGCCCGTAGATGCAAGCCACGGAGCCCCGCCGCCGCTACCCGCTCTAAGACCGCGGCCTACTGGAGCTCCCGCCGAAGAAACGGAGGAACCCTGTCTCAAAGACTGGAAGTTACCTGAATTTCCAAACAACAGGTGATAATAGATTGCAGAATACTAAAAAAATAAGTGATTGATAATCTTTAGTTAATTTTATTTTTAAGTTTTTTTATGGACAGAATAGTATAAATATACACATTCAAAGGAAGTTAACCAGATGGAGGTAAAATTATAAGTAAATTATTATATAGGTGTATAAGAATTTAGATTTTATAACTGATTCTGTTCCAGTTAATATGCTTAAAGCTAGTTTTATTTTCTTGATTGTCGAAAGTTTAATGAATTTGTAGAACTTATTCACAAAAATATCTGCAGAATTACTATTACAATACCTTATATATATTTGCTTTTTTTTTGTTGAAATATATAAATAGGGATCACATATGCCATCGTTGGTGTGGAGGATCTCATACACTAGTTTCGGATGCGATCGCGCATAAGCAAGCTGTTCCAATAGAATTACAGTCTGCTCCCACTAAGCGATTCACTGGATATGGCTCAGATGGAAGGGTACATATTATATATTTTTTTATATATGTATATATATTGTTTCTGTAGAGTGTACTGTTTAAAAATAATTTTAGGAGCTTCATAAATCATTCAGATTTAATTATCCATTTCTACATTCCTTCTGCTTCTTTGCTCTATCATTATCCACGATTTTAATATAAGCATTGAACCAAGAGATGTCTGTGGTTTCTCCATATGATATGATATGATCACTTTATCTTTTTTCATATGCAATTGTTTGCATGGTGCATTAGTTTTTGATATCTAGTAATGACTTTGAGACGCTGTTGATATTTATACTGTTGTCTCAATGCTTCCTCCTCATTGTTACATAAAGTTGGAAAACAATTGGTTCTAGTTTATAAAGATATTAGTAAAAAGTGTTAAGTCTACCAAATGCACATATAATCACTGTGCATTATAATTAAAATAATTAAATAAAAGCTATATGCCGTCAGTGCATGTGCTTCTTATGTGTGATGAGGTTTAATACAATGTGCAATCACTCCTTTTCATTCCCAGGATATCATAATATGATGTCGTTAAAGAAACAATGTAAGTTTATACAAAAGAAAACTAGAAATAAAATTTTATAGATACTATGTTGGGATCCTTTTCCTATAGGGTGAAAATCGCATCCAATGTTGAGGTTTTTTTATACCACTGAGGTGGCAAACAAGCATACGGCTCACTTGATGGTAAGTGGTTACCGTAGCCTATGAACACCTGCAACACTAGAGGTATTTCGCGCGCGTTGCCGATCCTGAAGAAACCTCTTTACCCCCCTTTTGAAGAACCCCATGCTGTAGTTTCTAATGAGATGCTAATGAGTTGTCATGGTATATGAATTTTACGATCACCATATTGAAATTTTGGTAATTTTGTTGTCTGTATTTATAATATAAGATCTGTACACTAAACTTGGCTAGATGTACATGATGGAGGAAGAGCTCCAACCGTGCTTGGAGTGCAACGTAGTTCTGGATCAAACTACTAAAGAAGCTCCACCGCCATCCGAAGACGGTGCCGGTGACCATGGTAAGTATTTTATTGTATTAGCTATGTTAGTGTAGAAAAAAAAAATAGTTATTTGACATTTTTAGGCTGAAATCGAAATCGTGAGCGGATATAAAATTAAGAATTAACACGTATTTATTGAGGACAGAAATTTTGTAAATGAAATATTAAAAGACAATAAAAAAAGTTGAATACTAAATCAATAGTTAAACGCGCAGTTTTATTATTATTATATCCGTTGTTAACTGTTGAATATAGGTCTTTCCCATACCATAAGGGAGGTGTTGCCAATAGTTGCTACGCTTGGCAGGCGGGTTGGCAACCGCAGCTAGGTTTTGGTGATGATTTAAAAATGTCGCTGCTGCACATTCCTTTATTAAGTTCCCTTAGTAGCCTCTTACGACACTCACGGGGCAGAATGGGTATTCTATGCCGGGATGACAAGGCAACGCATAGTATTTAGCTAAAAATTTTTTGTCCTTCATCCCATGCGTCTTTGGTGAAAATGTTTAGTTTCAATCTCCGAACACTGTCTTCGGAGGATACTGAATATTTTGATTTAATGCGTGTTCGATCTCGACACAGTATATCATTGCCTATTTTGTATTAATCTGGGTATTTGCTATAGCTGCTTATTTTTGCATATATTATATGTTCTCCATTTATCAGTCGTCTACTATAAATATATTATTAACAAGTTGCTCTACTGTGTTCTGCTTGGTAGTATTCATCACATGTATATTACGTGTGGTAAAAAGGTAGAAAAATTATATCATGAGGTGCGATTAAGGAAATCCTCCTCCTCCAGTGGGGATAGATCTGTGTTCAGGATATTATGGAAAAGTAATCAGAATTTTTATTGCAGTATCGTAAAATATCTTGTAGGCATAAAAAGTTTATGGAGTTATTTTCGAATCCCGTAGGGAATACAAAAGACCTCATCGCACAGTATGCTTTATGAAGTCAATGGTATTGTTATTTTCCAGCCAGGTCAGTCATTGGCCTCGAGAGGAAAACTCTTATAGAAGAATAATGTTTTTTTGTTTACAATGTTGTAATAAATATAAAAAAATTCTTAACTGATTTAATTTTTTCCCTGTAGTAAGTTACCAGAGTTTAGTTAGTTTACCAGAGGGAGGCTTTGTACAAAAGTCGTTTGCTTGGGTCTGTCCCATTCGTGTTTCAATCGTGATCCAGTTGTTTTTTGCATGGCTATGTTTCGGTTTAAAGGGTAGGACATGGCAGTGAATTGACAGGGTACAGAAGAATAACACCTGAGTCTTTAGGAATGGCAACCCATGAAGGGTATCATGGGTGAAACAGTATACTCTGTTATGTCTATGGTACTGCTCATGTCTATAGCTTGTTTGCCATTCTAAGTAATATAAAAAAAAAAGTCGGGGCGAGTTGTTAGTCGATGACTTAAGAGGTGTCATCAATAACCTGCTTTACCTTAGGATTGTCTAGACCACGGCCTCGACGTGACTAGACTCAAAATCTATTATTAATTATGATTAGCAAAATATTATATTTTTTGCATTGCCATGATCGACTGGACTAATAATCGACCTAAGAATCGACCGGTCGATCGCGACCTACTGGTTGGCCACCCCTTGTCTAGACTATAAGTTATGCTTGTCGTTATCTTTAATCATAATATTATCTACTTGTTGCAGGTAATTTAAAACATTCGGTGATAGGTGACCATGGGCGGCGGTAGTCACTTACCATCAGGTGAGCCGCAAGCTCGTTTGCCCCCTGTGTTGTAAAAAAAAAAGAAGGTTAAAGAAGCTTTGCATTAAATAAAAAAGTTTTATAATGTTTCTATAGTTTTAAATTAATTTATATATTTGTTTTTTTTTTAAATGATCATAACTAAAATATGAAAACAATATGAAAACATATTGTTTTCATATTATAGTTATGATTAATTATGAGTACTACACATTATCTTATCGATTGTTCCTACTGTCTAATTTATCTGTACTTACATGAATGTACTGATAATTTTAGTACCACTTGTGGTAATGTAATTTAGAGGCGACGTTGCATACTTGCATCTGATAAATTAGAAAATATAACGTCGATTCCAGGTTTTTACAATTAACTTTGAAAAAAGGACGTTCTCAATTCGGTTGTATTTTTTATGTTTGTTACCTCATAACTCCTTCAGTTGTACATCGATTGGGAAAAATATTTGTTTGTCTGAAAGGATATACTTACAGATTGGTTCTATAGAAATTTTATCAAAACAGATTCAATAGTATCAATTAAAAAAATTAGTTTTGTCACAATTGAAGTCGGTTTTTTTATAGGACACAATGTTTAATTATTAAAGAACATACGTTCGATTAAAGATAATAAACAAGATTTGGCCTTGTATTTATTATTTACTCGAAAGTGTGCGCAAATGTTATAATAGAGCTAATTGTTATTATACTTAGATTTAATTTTTGACTCACTTGTAAAGTATCTTTTATTATAATAATTGGTAAAAATATGAACATTTACATGTGTAAACAAGTTATGATACTCTTTATTGATTCTTGTCCTTTATTGACTCTACTAAACAGTTCTAACCACCTTTCTCAGAATTACCTATCGTCCGCATAACGCGTCTGTATAACGATATTGTAAAAACCAAGCCTGAACTTGATATTCACAACGATAGTCACTCTGTATTCATGACTAAATTAAAATGTTGATATACCTCCCTATTACATTATATTTATTTATAATTTATAATAATTTGAATACAATTTCCATTATTTATATTATATTATTATTCATATTGTTAATATCTTTAGAAATTTTATAATTTAATTATATTTTAATGTTTATCAAACACAAGGCATGCTGTGGTTGCCTATAAATATAAGAACAGTAAGCTCTAATCTACCAGTGTATTGTATTAAAATGTTTAGCTGTATCTTATGTCGGTAATCCTATAAATAAATAAATAAATAACAATTTCTTTCAATAGAACTTTATGAAAATATAAATAAATAATTCACTCGGCCATAAGACTGTTAATATCCTATAGTATAAATATAAAACCAATTAATTGATTGAATGTTTTGACTTGTTAATTTTATTTAGAAAATGCTTGGTTACCGTTTTATTAAGTTAAAACTGTCTATAAATTAATCAATTCAGTGTCTACTAATAAATATAAGGTATAGAAGGTAGTGATGTACCGAGTGACCTTTTGTGGTAGGTATTCGAATGTTTTGGTATACATTAAAAAAAGTTTGACTCGAGTTTTAGGACTTGGACTGGTGCTTGATTACTTGTATGAGTATTTGAGTACTTTATCAGACTCGAATATATTTTCGATTAATTTAATTTAATAAACAATGAAATAAAAACATAAAAACTTACGATAAATACGTGATTAGTATTCGAGTACTTACCGTAAGTATTTGAAACCTGTATTTGAATATCGTGTCCGAATTTTGTATATTGGACCTGGACACCTATTAGGTATTAAAGTAAGAGTCAGCTTGACTCAGCCTTTCATTGGGTGTAGGTACTTGTCAGCTTATTTAAGACGCTTATAGATAAATAGTCATATTTATCTGTAATTGTTTTTCATCTAAAGTCCTGTAAATAAATTCAAATATTGTTTTAACTTTAATAGGAGGAGGCAGATGTACCTACATATACAATAATGTGAATATAAATAATGAGACAGTTTCACTTTAATTTTTATTTGTAATAATAAATAAATAATTTACATTTTCATTGAAGCGTATTTACAACTTAACTAAGCGATAATTTAAATAAATAATTATTACAATGATTTAAAAGAATAATAATATAGAAAAAAACTTATTTCAAGTTTTATCTAAACAATTCGAAGAAGTGATAATGAGAATTACGTAGTTAAAATGGTTTATATTTTAACTATGATGAATATTTGGTAACAATACATAGAAATTTTTTTAATACACGGATATGTTTGAATCATGATTTGCGGATATTTTAATAAATTAGTACCAATATGGCGGACAACAGCGGCAATATAGATTTTAGACTTGTGTCATTCATTGTGACTTTAAGATTAAAAGATAAAATTTTGCCGAGATAAGACACTTAATGGTACATAATAACATGTATTATATAATAATTGGAGTTCAACTTAAGTTAACCTATATAGATACATAATTTATTAGTAGCCATATTAATGATACATTCAGATGCTGAATACAATTCTATATCATATATTTATTTGTATATCTAGATAGAGTTTTGCAATATTTCTACACAGTTCAACAGTTCCTTTGTATAATTATAAAATTCAATTATACACGGAAATATTCAAACCAAGGAGTATGAAAGCAAATATGTGCCTAAGTACAAGTATATATATCCTATCAATAAATATTTCTAACGAAATCACTTACATTTCACCAGGAAATGTGATATAACCAAAAATATGTAATATGAATTTTATTTTACTTTATTATGTATAATGGAAGATATTTGTCAATGAACTTAAATCATCATTTAATTTAATGATTAACATTTATCATCAAAGCAAATATTGGCGTCATTGGTATTTACATTTACAACAAAATATGTGTGATACAAGAATCAACAATTATTAATATTGATTGGTATAGTTGCCAGGAAACAAATATTTTATGTTAATGGCACCTTACCAAACGTTTCATTAAAATTATACAAAAAATGAACTTTTTATTGAAGTCACTGTTATGCATGATTTATATCAAACGGAACGAGTTAGCGCGCGTAGCAGCGGTTTTTACAGTGCGGTGAATAAAAGTCGGTTACGAATACGAGCACATTCTGTGAAAAATTGCAGGTCGGTTGTTGCCGATGCGCTTGTATGCTTCGTATCCGATGTATTTAGTTTTGAATGGTTGCGATTGGCTCTCGATGTATCTGCGCGTATTAGTTTCGGTGCACTTTGACCCGCGTTGTTTGTCATAAATTACTTATATATTCACAACATTTCAACAATTTATGATGGTTTAAAAAATGTGTATGTGACATAACAAAAAATATTAATAATCGTAAACAAACACCATGTAATTGTTTGTCATGCTTACATTTCATTCAGTGTTGTAAGCTACACTAATTGATTTTTATAATCTTGTACACGATGTGGTGGAAATCGAATTGACCAGTTTTATTTCTTCGTCCATTTTCTTAAATGTTGCTGGTGGCACCTTCTGTAATGAAATTGTAATTGTAATTGTAAAATCTTTAATGTACATAACTCAAATTAAACACTGGTAAATGATTTAATATACAATGGCGGACTTATGGCGAAATTATTCGTCACAATCAAATTTAAAACAAAAAAACATCTAATTCAGATAGGATTGGAAATGGATTATGTATTTAATTAAAAATTTGACTTAATATAGCCTAATTGATTCGGGTTCATTACGACAAAGATTTTTCATTAACTTTTTTTTAATGTTAGGGAAGCAAATGAGTAGATGGTCCAAGTGATGAAAAGCAGCTACCGTTGCCCATGAACACCTGCACTATGAGAGGAGTTGCTTGTGCGTTACCGGTCTTTGACTATTACGTATGGTATTTTAAACGAGTAAACTGATTTAAATAAGACTATGATTATAACTATCATGTATTATTGTATAAGTTACTTTTTATCCTAATTCAAGTAACAAAACTGTAGGATATCACTAGTTTATTACATTTGCAAGTAGTATGAATCTTCCCATGATATAAAAGCGTCAAGACACTTGTTTCCTATGTACGAGGTACAAACGAAACTCGGTCTACCTATATATTTTTAGAGGTATAATGGCATATGTATGTATATGAACTACGTTTTTTTTTAAAAAACATTTAAGACGTCTTTTCACCTAGAAACACAATGGGATTAATAAGAAAAAATGAAATTTTTAAATATTCTTTTTGTATTTTATTTAAATTTTGCGTAGTGTCTCAATAACTGCATAACTATATACCTACCTTAATAGTAATTTTATTATGACTATTGTTTGATTATGTCAGTAATAAAATATTTTATGATCCGGTTCATACAATCATGAATGGATAATCCGTTTTTATGAATGAAACTAATTACAAACAAGACTACTCGTGTTATCTTGATTGTTAATTTATCTACACAAATAACTTTATGGGTGCAGTTACACTCTATGGGTAATTTCGTCAATCGGTCCAATCTTACGATTAGATATCTTCATACGTAAGCAATATCTGTACACAAAATTTTTGATAACTGTTAGAAACTAATGTAAAAGTGTAATATTAATTTGAATTGTATCTTAAAAAAGTTTTGACTTAAACACTGCATATTTATTAGAGAGACAAAACTAGACCGAAAAATAAACGTAGTTTGACTGAATAAAAAATGATGTGCATAAAAAAGTACTAAGACTAGGTATGACAGAGTTTTGTAGAAGAGAAAGACATACTGTGCCAACTCCAAATAGACTTTTGGATGCATAAAAATCATTTGTTCGAGTATCGTTGCCCCGTTTGCCGCAAATCAGCTGTACTTACATGGTTATTTGGTTTAAAGAAATATGGATATGGCAGCGAAATTAAAGGGTACGGAGTGATAAAGTCCCATTCTAAGAAATGACACAGTACTATGTGATAACCATGGTGCTGTGAATGTGTACAGCCGACTATTACCTATTACATTCTATCGTGTATATATATATATGCACAGAAGTCAGCTCTTTTATGAGTCAAAATAAAATCCTCATCATTATTTCGTTCTCAAAATCGAGAGCTAAAGACCACATTTGCTTTTGTTTAATATTTTTCAATAAAATTTCATTTTGAGCTTTCTGTTTACCTTTTTAGTTGCATAGTATCACCTGGATATTTGATTTGGCACTATGTCGTTAACAGTCGGAATTCACAAATTTGCAGAGCTAAATACAATATTTTAAAAACGGGAAGCTAAGCTATAGGATACTAAGCTAAATGCGGGATTTTTATATCATTGCACATGCCGTGAAAAAGTGTTTCTACCAGCAAATAACTGAAAGTAGCTTGTTTTATTTATTTGAAAGTAGTTTGTTTTATTTATTAAATCACTGTGATATTGCATACTACACTTTTTTTTTAAATTTTTTTTTGTTATATTATTGTCTTTTCTCATTTTAAAGAAGTTTGTGATTTTTAGGTATCTTGATTTATTATTATTTTTTAAATTTTTTGAAAATTCACATCTCTCTTAAGGAGAGGAGATGGCAAACTAACGCCAGCAGACTAACGCAGAAGCACAGTCGGCCGGGGTTCAGAGCTCAGGGAGAGAAACTGGCGTACATTGCGGGCAGAATCTAAGAGCACCGCTTTCTGCATCTTTCTCGGGAGTGAGCCGCCTCGGAATCCCAACCGTCTTAGATGTTGTTCCAGACTGGTTGGGATAAGATCGTTCACTGACAAAACGATTGGAATTATTTCGGTGGAGGTCACCCGCGACGACATTTCGGTCACCTCTTGAGCCAGGTCGAGATATTTTCTCTTTTTCTTGGTTTCGGCTTTCACGAGGTTCTCTTCTTCCTATTATTATTATTATATTAGCCATTAACTGCCTACTGCTGAACATAGGCCTCTACCATAAGGGAGTTTTACTATTAGCGGTTTTCTACCGCAGTTAAGCTTTGAAGATGTTTTAGGAGGGACGTTGCTGCCCGTTCCTCGACTATTAAGTTCCTTTAGTCACCTCTTACGACATTCACGGGAAAGAAAGGGCTCATTCTATGTCGAAGTCACACAGCATTGTCTTGATGCAATAGATTATTTATATGACATAATACGAAGGCATATTTCTTTATCGACATAAATAATAAATAATATTTAATACTAAAATATCACTAACGGTGTGCGTGAAATGCTAGCTAATATTTACCTATCTTGTATTACGTTAATCCACATAAGAAATATAAAAAATCTATGTGGGTTAAATATCATGTACAGAGTGCATGATATAGTAGAGTTTGAAAATATGTTTTTTATTTTTGTTTTGTCTGACTGTTTATTTTTTTTTTTTAGTACAAATAGGTCCACGGATAATAAATTTATTTTATTTACGTATATATTGTAGACACCAGTGAGCTGTATAGTAAATTTATGGGATCTATAAAAGTAGATATAATTATTAAATACTTTGGAGCAATTTTTAATTAACTTCCAAAAGGTTCTCAATTAGTTTGAATTTTTTATGATTATGTCACGCATTTATGTGTAAAATTTTATATTGATTTTGAATTTTTAAATGTGAAGGTTTCCTTCCATATGAATTTTGTAAAGACTAAGCGAATATACCTTATACATTAAAATTTGATCAGGTAATTTATAAATTATGGTGGAGTAAAGAAACTCACATATATACATGAACCCTGAAAATGATTTTTTTTTCCAGCAATCGTTAAATAAATAATAAATAAGAAAAATGAAGTTGCTTGTAGTAATAATTAAATGAGCAAAATGTAATTGCTTGCCTGCAATTATATTGATGCGGTCAGTGCGCATCGCATCGGAACCGACTGCAGTCGTGGTCTCGACTTGCCGCCATCACGTCCCCGAGCTGTTGGGCCACCGTCGCTGCACTTGCGCTGCCGCCGCGCGAGATCCTGGAATTGTCGAATGGAATCAATAAGCACCATCTTCATTTTATGCAAAAATTATATAATATATGTATAGCACGTGTTTACAGGTGTGGTTTGGTAAACGAAACACAGCGGTTTAAAAGGTGGGATATGGAAGTGAAATTACAGGGTACAGAGACATAATACCATAGTCCTTAGGAATGGCAACACAAGAGAGACAGCATGGGCATCACAGTGTATTTCTATGATGTCAGTGACGCTATTAATGTCTATAAGCAACGATTAAGGTTGAAATCGTTATGATTTAAAAAAAAGATAGGTAAAAAAAGAATAAATATGATTGAATTTTTCATATAAATTTGACAGTTGAAAGCACTGTGTTAATGTGTTCAAATTTCTTTGGGGTCGTTGTGGTTTCTATGTGCAAAATATTTAGTTTTACTGCTAAAATACTCCCCTAAAAGGATGTTAATTTTTTTTTATGGAAATTGGAACGGTAAACAAGCTGACAATTCTGACGCATAAGGCGTTCATTCCTGAAGACTGTTAAATTAAGGCCAAATATTTGAATCACTACAAAATATCTCAGCGTCAAGTATTTGAAATTAGAATTACTAATTGCATTTTTAGGAAGAAATACAAACACTAAATATGTATTTGTGTTTCAATTATGTATTTTAATTGCAATTAATTCAAATATTGGCAGTATGTTGAGGACCATAATAAAGTAATACAACCTACGGAAGAGTATAAAATCTATCAATCGTGCAATATCCGGCGTTTATATGTTTATAAAATTGAGATGTTCCTAATTAAGAAAGGATTACGAAAATTCTTACTGCAATAAAGAGTTTCGTGTGAGTAAAGTCATGGAATTTATTTCTAGCCTATTTTGATATACAATAAAATTTGTATTAAACTAAGTACAATAAAATAAATAATAATTGTGTAGGCATTATAAAACAAATATGTCTAGGTATCAACATAAAAATATTATCTGTATCATCATTTTAAATCGTGATCGATGGTACCAAATAAAAACAAATCCTAAGCAAAGTAAGTAGGTGCCTAGACAAACCTAGGATTTTCACTATTAAATAAAAACTGTTTTTCCTCATAGTATAATAAAGTATATATAATAAATATTTACAATTAACAGCTGAAATAACTGCGGTTGTCAATCCGGTTGCCAAGTGTGGCAAGTACTGGCAAAATTCTTCAAGGCTGAGGATTATCTTCAGTAGTGGACAGTTAAAGGCTGATATGATGATGAATATTATTATTTTTAACGGTTAACATATAGTTCTTTACACTGTGAAATATTTATATGTACTCGCAGATCTATAGTACAATGGCAGTCACGTTCGTTCTTGGTCCCTTCGTGGTTCGAGATTGATCGTGACTTGAACGAAACTGTACTATATAGATGTATGAATACACACATTGTTACTTATATAATAGCATTTTACCAGACCGTGACCAAACCGAGAACGACTGGCTCAATTGTGCGTATTTATCAGAGATAGTATGCAAGAATTGTAGAAAATACTTTATTTAATTAATAAATCAAAAATTTATATTGTGGTAATGCCCCGATCATATTAATAGTTGTTCTTTATATGTAATCAAAGTACTTACGTAAAAATAATATTTTTTTCCTGTTATTATCTGCAGGCAGTCCTAGAAAAATAAGCAGAACTTCTATGTGGATAGATATATTACGTATTCCATCTCAGGGCCTTGAACTTTAGAATGAGAATGAAAAATATTATAATATAAATAATGATTTATTAAAAAAAGATAGTATAGGTATCTATTATGTCGTCATACGTATTAAGGATGACTAGTTATTGTTCCCGGTTTCGTCTGATTCAGGATATTTTGATTGACTGTGATAAAAAGTTATATTGAATTGCTTGACAATTGGTTGAGCCGTTATTGGTAAAATATAAAAAAATATATCATAGTATTTTTTTGTGATCTGTGTATGTGTGTGTGTGTGTGTGTGTGTGTGTGTGTGAGTGAGTGAGTGGCATAGAGAAGAAAATAAACTATTTATAAAATTCTTTTAATCATAAGAAACATTATATGATTTTCATAAACGACATCAGACAGGAGATTCTTGACTAATGATTTTTTTGTATATATTATCCAATATCTTTTAAAGTTTTATTGATTTCCAGTTTTAGCCATTTTTAGATTTATATTACTATCAATAGTTTTGATGTTAACAATCCTAATTAAAGTAAAATATTTTTTGGGAATGAAATTTTAAACCATATGTTCCATCAACATTGCTTGTGAATTATAAATTGTCAGGTATAGATATAGTTATAAACCAAATTCATTTTTCTTTTTTAAATAACCCTACTGACTATTATAAAAATTAAAAAATACAAATGTTGAAGTACTTATGTTTACTAAGAGTATTTAATTTTTATTCGAATATCTATAGATGTAAATATAAATAAATAAAAGAATAGGTATTGAGATACTTCGAATGTGGAGGCAACTACCATGCCCTTTATGCATGATCGTAGTAGCAAAATGAATCACGGAGTATTGAGGACTCATGTAGCGATAATTTCGCAATTAAATCATTTATAAATTTAGACATAACGTAATGTTTTTATTAACTACCGAAACAGTTTTTGAAATATAGAAATCGATGAGTTTATCTCTAAACTCAAATCGCTGTCCGCATCTGTTTTTCCGTCAACTTCTTTTAAACTATCATACCTATCCAACCGATTTTAATAAAAGTTCCACTGTAATTAGTTTTTTTACGAAAAGTTTATGCAAACTTTATTTAAAAGGTATGCGTATACCTATAATACATTCTAATTTGCGCTCGTGTAAAATAGAAGTGGACTGCTAGTTGGACTTAAAAATATTCATAGTATACTAAAATTACGTTATGTTCATGTCACATTGGTTCTTTATATTCTTTAAAAGGGGGGTACCCCTTATAAAGAACCCCATGCTGTATGCTGTCTATATCGACGGTTTTCTTTCTTATGAAATCCACGAGTACGAAGTAGCGGGCAAAAAACTAGTATAGATATAAACAAACGTGCATCTCAGTAAGCGTGGTTCACGAGACTGAGGTAGGGTTGACACCATAGAAACTTACAAAAATAAATGAAATCAAATAAAATAATAAGACCAACACAAAATAAAAAAACGAACTTTTTTAGGAAGGAAGGAATATTTCTTCATTTTTAGTATAATTTATTTCCATTAATTTAGTGGTGTATTCTTGTCTTTTTTTTTATATAATACAGAGAGCAAATGAGCATGCGGGATGGTAAATGACTACCACTGTCACCCATTATCACCCGCAACACCAGAGACATTGCAGGTGTGCTGCCGGCCTAGATATTTATTACCTAATTTCTTATAACACAAGATATCTTAACTTGAGAAGCAGTCAATTTGTATAATTGCGTGGTACTTATTATTATACTATATTGCGAATTTATACTAGATGCTTTTCTTGTAATTTAGTAACATTATGACAGCTGTCTAAAGTTAAACACAATCGCAAGAAAAATTCGCAAATTCAAGTATGGTTATAAAATATGACAATTTGTAACTCTTACAATAAAATTACCATATCGCAGATAAACAATTTATTAATTTCAATTGAATTGCATATGTCGGCGTCGACGTCGGCTCGTAGACAGTTGTCATCAAAGTAAGCGCTTTTTAATATAAATTTTATATTTTTAGTTTTTATTTTTTGAGCGTTAACCCTAGTCAGACCAAAGAGTACCGCGGAATGCCGTTCGGACACTTTCACCGGCCGGCACGCTCCGAACACATTACGCAACCAGCGGGTTGCTGGCGGCACACAGTCTCTGTGGCAAAAAATTCCCTCACTTTTTTTAACTTTTTTTATTACGCATTTGAATTCGTAGTGATGTAACTATTATGTCGTATTACGTGCATTAAAGAGTCACGTTGAATTATTTATGTTTTAACCTAGTTATGAGATTTTAATTACAAATTATTATTATATTTTATAAGTAGCGGTTATTAATCTTTTTACTTTTCCTTTTCCTATAAACTATATTTCCTATTTCGAATGATAATTTAATTTATTAAGCTGAATTAACTCGATTTTTCTTTTATTAGATATGTTTATAGGCAATAAAAAGTTATTACTATTAGTGATGTAATGTAGTTCTGATATATCCGTTAAAACCGATTTAGAATAGTTTCACTATATGCAAATTAGGAAGTAATTGATAAAAAGGTACTTAAAATAGCTTCTAAAAATTAAAATTTTAAATTTAATCTTTCAAAAAATAATAAAGTCTTGAACATATTGTGCCATCTCAAGCTAAGAAAATATTGTCTAATAATTTAGTTTGATTAGTTATAGAATCCATTAAAATATTAGCAAAGCCTAACTGCGGTTATGCATGCTTGCCAAATATGTGGCAACTACTGGGAAAACCTCCCTTATGGGGGTGGCTTATGTTTAGCACTGGACAGTTAACAGATGATATGGTATAGTAATACAAAGAAAATGAAAAAATACAATTAGACATACATACTCATGAATATATATATATATATATATATATATATATATATATATATATATATAAATTATGCGGCGATCCAACTTACGACTATTATTATATTGGAGAAGGTGACGTTGTCATAAAAATTCACACAAATCCATTCGCTATTTAAATGTTATTGAGTAATAAATTTTCAAACATATAAATATCTTCACAAGCATTAACATTTAAATATAACTTTATTAATTGACTACTTATAATAGTCCTATTATGCAAAAGGTGACTAAATAAAATTCTCTCTCAGTTAATCTTAAGGAAAAAAATCATAAGACTAATTGTTATGTAATACAATATATATTACAGCAAAGGATGACACTATCAATTACTATGTATTAAATATAGATATACCAACCAAATACATGTAAACAATTATTATACCTACATTTTTATATAAAGAATTAAGAAGAATAATAGACTAAGAAATCACCATGCCCTTTCGGAGCCCAAAATGGGAATTTTTAGAGCGAGTTTCTTTTATAGATCAATTATAATATACAAAAATTCCTGATGTCATAAAAGAAAGAAGACAAATTTATCAAATTCAAAAAAGGCTAAAAGAATTGTTAATTAATAAAAGATATTACACTGTAAATATAGGCGTACAAATGGCGGACTTAACACCGGAAGGGAAGATTTAACGCGTTACTCAGTTACTGTGTACTTAGCAAATTTTCACCATTTATTTATCACACATGCGTTAAGACAAATAAATAAAATACGTTTGTGTTACATTTGAATCGTAGTGGATGTTTAGTTTGTCACTTTCTCTCGCTGTCCGTTTGTCCGTCACGTAACAGCTGATAAATCGTCTATTTGCATGACAAACATATACGTTTACAATGTGAATGTGTTGTGGGAAATGACGAAATATCTTTTAAACATTATGTTGACAGAATTACAATTGGTTACGCCCTGAAACTAAATTGTCACATAAAAATTCTTTTATGTGGCTTAATGTTATAATTTACAGTAGATTTTGTTGTATATAGAATGAATACGAAGTTGTTAGTGGTATCTACGTAATGTTAAAAATAGGTATAAACATGTTTCAGAAAATATTAGCACAGAAATTTTGACAATCAAAAATTCCAAAAACGATAAAATATATTTAGCGTCGCATACTAACTCATCAGTTGAGTGCGGATTATTAAGATTCGAAATTTTTTGTCCCTTTCGATTCATGTTTCGTTGGTAAAAATGTTCAGTATTTAGAATAGTTCTGTTCATCGGTAGAACACCTTTCAATTTACCTGTGTGTGAATGAAATGTGAAGGTGATGGAGTAAAAATACGCATATCACCACTACTTTTCATCCGCAGAATGTCCAGAATGTCGTAAAGAAACAAACCGTACCAAAATATAAAAAAAGAAATGTTCTGCCATATTTCCAGTGTGGTAATAGTTCTTTATTATAATAAATTTAAACTTATAAATGTGAAAGTGAATTTATTCATACTTATAGCACCTTAACGGCTCAATCAATTACTACTAAATTTAATATACATGTACTTGCTATAAATGATTGGGAAGAAAATAGGCTACTTTTTATCTTGGTTAGTGGAAGAGATAATATAAAAAAGTTACAATAAAGCCGACTGTAAAATTAGGTTTTACATATTTAACTAAATTCTTACTTATTCTTTTGTTTACTTTTTAGTTGTCTCATGGTGCGTTAACTGCTCAATCAATTGTCATAAAATTTGGTATGCAGATATTGTTTGGAATGGAGAAGAATCTATTTTCTATTTCGAGCTGTTAACATAATTACCACGGTCACGTAGACGAAGTCGCGAGTAAAAACTATTATTAAAAATAAAATGGCTAATTACTTGTAATTAATCTTCGATTTATTAGTGCAGGTACCATTTGTTGTAAGTCATACTCATAATAATCGTAGATTATCGTAATTGTAGGGAAAACGTGCACATAAAAGTTTAATCGAATAAATTATAGATACGTATGACTTAATTATTACTTAATTGGAAAAAAATATTATATCGTTTTATAGTCAAGTAAAAACTGTCGAAAAAATAAATCATTGCATTGCATAGAGTACAAATTGATCGTGACCGTTTACGGTTGGGCGACGACGCGAGACGGCGATATCATCGCGCTCTGTTTTTACGTTTCTGGTCAGGAAGGTGTCACGTGCGAAGGTTTTCGCGAGTGACAGTCGATTATGGAATATAAGGAAATATCTAATAGTCATAAAAAAGGATTGTCCAGGAAAAAATATGTATGTAATGAACATACTGGTAGCAATTGCCTGTTGAGGTCAAGGACATTTGAAAGGTTAGTTTAGCTCATAGGTTCATAGCAAAATTAATATAAAAATATTTCATTGCTCAGTAATCAATCCCCAAATCTTACATACACCATTTTTCATACAAAATTAAGATATTTTTGTATCTCAATTAATTACTACTATTACTTGTGAAAAACATGACTGTTATATTTGTTTGTACGTTATATAGATAGTATGTAGCACTCCTTTAATTAAAAAAAAATAACAATTTGGTAATGTAATAACTACCGGTTAAACTTACGTGTAATTAGAACGAGAGAGCTGTCTAGTTTCTGAATTAATTTGCGATTGTGTGTGTATGTTTATTTAACTTTTAACAATAATAATTAACAATCTTCTTTTGAAAATCCATTTAGTTAGGTTATTCGTGTGCCAATATCAATTACATTGGTTGAAATCTGTATACGAAGCTTTTTAATAGAAAAATAGGAGGAAATTATATCATGTAACTTTTCCAATTTTTGTAGTTGTTTGTTATATAATCATGAGAAAACGGTTAAATGGATCTAAGAAATTTTATAGCTGACTATATGTATATGTATTTACGGTCTAAATATTAAGTAATTATAACGTAGGCGTCGTTTTACTTTTGATTTTGGTTTAGATATTGTTGATAACTTTTTATTTTATTGTCATTTACCTTTCAGTGCATGAAGTAAATAGCATTCCTATGTTAATTAATTTTTTTAGATTATAATAAATATCTACTGTTCTAAAAATATAATCTGATAACTCTTAGTGAAAGCTGCATATGTACTTCTGCAGCATATCTTTGGTATGCTACTGCAAGTTAGAAATAATTTGTTTTACATTTATCACAGATCAAAGTAAGATAAGTCTAACATCTCAGTACCTTAAAATTAAGCAAATATTAAAAAAAGGTTATGTTCTATTTCATTGGCCAAAGTCATCAAATGGTTTTTTTAAGAAATACTATTATTAAAATACTAGCTGTATCCTGTAGCCATTGTTCGTATAAATTGTAATAAAAAAGTATCCTATATATTATATATATATATATATATATATATATATATATATATATATATATATATAAAATATCTGTACAAATTTTATTTTTATTCATTTAACCGTTCAACAAAAATTCAAACATCATTACAAACTTTAATTTTTATAAAAGCACATACCCTCTGGGTAAACTAATGCACATAAATCGATTTTACAAAAAAAAAATGAATTTGCTTTCGAATGAAAGTTCAAATATTTAATAAACATATAGTTTAATAATCAGTGATTATCACGATCAGGATCCGTGTATCAAATGACGAGAAGCATCAAAACAGCTTTCACCTTTATCTTTAGACAATTTCTAAAACTTAAATAACCATTCACTTTTACAGTTTTGTGGCTAGTTTATGCAATGCACAGACTAAAACACATGCGAGAAAAGTGCAACGCTATGTGTGATTATGTAATATTCGCATTACTCAAATTATGATATGCTGAATTGTTATTCTCCGTGGGATTTCAAAGCGTGTAATTTGATTAGGTACAGCATGAATAATATAAAAAAAAATGGATTGAAACCGTAGACGAAGAGAAAAGAAGATTAATGATGAACGGACACAAATATTGAATTGTGAAAGTAAGACGAAAGAAAATAGGTGAATTTGTTTTTATAAGTATTTAAATAGATTCCAGTCATAAGTCAATTAATATAATTATAGTCGTGGATTTAAATTTTGTAGATATGCTTCGAAACACAAGAATAATAAACTATAAACCTATACTGTACAACTATATTTACACATGCCGTTTATGATTTTGTTGACGATATTTATAAGATACGATAATGATATAGTATTCAGCAATCAGAAATAACTTTCTTTGACAAAAATATTACTAGTACAAGTATATAGTTGGAAAAATATGATCATATCTATTATACTTATTCAGTCATCGTTCTCATGATTTATTTGTATTATAAATTACACAGATATTACAACAAAATTGTAGGTATTTGTTTTGTACTTACATTTTTAATAATGCCTCCATCTTCTTTTCCATAGCGAAGATTGAATCAGATGGTTGCGACGTCAGCACTTTACAGAACGTGAACTTAGCGCATTGGGAATCTCTCCAGTCTGTTTGTTTCACTAAATCCATTGCCGCCGTATTCAAAGAAGACGAGGTTGGATTGCTGTCTAAATGCTGGAGGTCGTCGGACAAATCTTCCTGTAGTGCCCTTTTCACTAAATGTCTTCTTTTCACTCTTCTCATTATTGAATTTTGTGAACTGGGCTGTTGGAAGAAACTAATAATATCACGTTTAGCGCGAGAACTCTCATTTCCGTCTGGCGACATCACTACATACACATTTTCACTGGGCATTTTGTAGTTGTCGTCGTAAACCTTTTGTTTACTTATGATGTGTCTATCAATATCGTATGGCACTCCTCCGAATGATCTTTTGTGTTCCTTATCAATTTCATCCTCAATATCGTCTTCGCTTAAACCTGCGTTTCTCATTAAATTAACATCCAGAAGTCTCCCCATAGCCACTGCTCCAAGACCTAAAGCAGCACCTCCAGCCATAAGCCCTATGGCTGGCAGCATTGCCGGAGCTCCTGCGGTAGCTGCGGCTGCCACACCAATTTTGTCTTGAGCATATCTTTGAGACTGTATAGAGTTAGATGTATATAGTCCTAAATTATGTGAGATTTTATGCGTAGCTTCTACTAAAGGATCAAGCACAGGCTGTGTCACTTTAGCAATTGGATCTATTAAGGGTCTTGTTAGTTGATGTACTGTTTGGCTTGCGCTATTTATAGTATCCTTCATGGAGTTAGTGAGTCTTTGCCATAAAGATGGTTCTTGGACACGCTTTATGTTCACATAACCATAATTATAAGGATAACGAGGGTTAGGATTATGATCGTAGTAAGAAAATTTCTTGTGTTCATCCTCGTAATATCTGTTATGATTTTGAGAACGTTGTTGTCCAAATCCATTGATTGGTTCCATCGGGTACGGATGTGCGCTTTTAGGTACATTTGTAGTATAGTACTTTATTTTACGTTCTTTATTGTCGTAATTATCTACATTGGTGGCCTTTGCTGGCTGCACACCTAATTCTGGATGGGCATATTGTAAGACTGGATTACGAACACTTTCATCAAACTCCGGCTTGGCATTTTTTGGAGTGTACATCAGTGAATTGGGGAAATTATTTTCTCCAGGGTGTTGAAGCATGCGTCTTTGAATATGACTTTCGGAGTACTCAAGATCACCTGTATGAGCTCTCGAGCTACGACCACTGAAATAGTCTCGTTTAGATTCCTGTTCGTTTATTTGTTTGATATATTCGATAAGTTTTGAGTTTGCTACTTTTGAATTATCGGCCTTTGTGAAGGGACCGTAGTTAGATTTCAAATAGTAATTATCCTTCTTTTGCTTGTAGGCATACGTTGGGTTGTCACTTGTCATATATGGACCAATTGCATCGTCATAATCAAATTTAACGTTATCAAACTTAGTAAAAGGCCCATCATTATGTTCAAAATTATCTTCCTTGGTAAATGGGCCGAAACTCTGATGCGGTTCCGCGTCAGCAATATTAGGGTAAACATCTGCTTCTGGGATCGCTTTAGGTGGTTTGTAACCTTCTGGATATGGTAGTAGTTCTCCATTAACAACGCGAGCATTTCTCCAAGTTTTCTTATCAGATTCATCATCAGGCACTCTTACGCCATGGATTTCAGGTATACCGTCTTCACCGAGGGTCAAAATAGACCTTCCGCGCTTATTGTTGTATTTATCGATAGCTTTTTTGAGATACATTGGTTCTGAGCTGATTACTACCGGGTCAGGAACTTTGAAAGATTTTCCTTCACCATCAGCAACCTTTGTACTTACAACTTCAATATATACTGGATTCCTGTCATTCTTTATCACAGGATTATGCGGATCAAATCTGTAGTTTTTAATGGGATTACCGTAATCCAGAAAACTTGTTGACGTAATATAAACTTTCTTATCTTCTGTTACTTTTTCATTGTCATATGTAGGATAATAACTAGATGTTTCTGGATCTGTCTCAGGTTTTCCACCATCTTCTTGGATATGGGATTCAGGATATACTGATACAGGAGACCAGTTGCCGTATTCAGTTTTGATACCGCCAAATTCAAGTTCAGAATTTTTATTACGGTTTAAGTAATAATCATATCCAGCTAAGTCGCTGTTAAGTGTTCCAACAAAGTTAAGTTTCCTTTGATCTCTAATTTCAGTTTTGTTTTTGTTGTCGTCTACAGTAATATTCGGTTTAAGTGCTGCTACAGTAGTTTTAAGTGATACTGTAGTGGGAGCTGAAGTCGTACTCGCAAGAAGTGTTGTGCTTTTTGTATCCTTTTTCTTTACAATAAGTTGAGTCATATGACCTTGCCTTGTTTTCACGTTAAGAGTCTGAGTGTCATGTGGATTTAGGCTTCTTGAAACTTTAAGTTCTGTTCTTGTAGTTCGCGATGGTAGTATTGTAGTGCGTATAGCTTTAGTTGTGGTGATGTTTTGTTCGTTGAGTTCGGCAGCCGCACAGGCAACCGCTACGGTCAGCCATATTATGGCAGACGGCCGTATTGTGTTCACGGGAGTCATCTGAAACAACAAGGTTAAATATTATAATTGTCAATTTTACCATAGTATATCAAAAATAAAATTTTTACTATTGTCGTTGACTCAAGTTAAAGAATTCGTATTAAACTAAGTTTTTAATTAGGTGCGCTATGTTAAAATAATTTACTTTTAGGTTTAGTTTATTTTTGTTTGCTAAAAATATTCATTTTAATAATTATATACATTTATATTGGTTGGCCATAAAATGATTGTCGTTTATATTTTTCGACTAAATTAGACGGAACTAAAGTTAGTAAATAATCAAGTTAATAATTTTCAGATTTTATTAATCAATTAATGATATGACTATATAAATTATGATTATTTATATCGTCATATCAATATTAGTAGAGGACCATAAACTGACGCTTTCTATACAAAAATAATCAAAATCGGTTCGAAATTACCTAGGATATCCTGTATTTTTAACTAATATACAAATAAAAAACCTAAAGTTAAGACAAAACTCTTCTTTGTTGGAATCGGCTTAAGACTAAGAAAATACTTGAAAGCTTTAATGGTGCGGTGCGTTTAGCTCTCAGGAAATTGCACGACTGATTAAATATCTGTTAATGAATTAAATTACAACTTAATGACTGTCATAATGAGCAGCTGGTAGTTATGTATAATTGCAGGTTGTGTAGGCATTATACCAATTTTGTCTCGATCATTTGTATAGGTAGCCAATTATTGTGAAAACTTAATGAAATGGACTAATTGCGAAAGGATGTAACCTAATTCATACTGATTACAGTGAAGTGCTTTTCATGTTGTTTTAGACTTGTTACACTACTTTACTTATTTGACTAAACCTCCAAACTGATATTATAATGAGCAACGATTTGATTTTTGTTTGTAATGGATAAACTCAAAAAACACTTAGCGGATTTTAAAAATTCTTTCACTTAGAGAAAGATATTTTATCAGCGACTAATGTAGACTATATGGTATCATCAAAAAATAGCGCAAAGCCAAAGCTGATTGTCAGTATATATATATATGTTATATTTGATATATGTAAGTACTCGTTTTAACAAATTAGGCAGATGAGCAAATAATTATTCTACTCTGATTACGATAAGCAAAGAAGAAAAATGTGCTTATGTTTGGTGCAAACGTACTAAGAGCGTTTTTAATTCGAATGCCACGAATTGCCAGAACACTACAAAATAAGTGTACATATATTATGTGTCGATTTTATTGAAATAATGATTTATCGGCACATTAAAATAGTTATTATGGGAAAATGTCTGATGATAAATATCAAAGTTGAACGTCCAGTAGCTGATGATTTAAGTAAAGCATACATTTAGCAATACACCGATATAGATATACGAGGTAGAGGAAAAAACACAGGTAGATAATATAAATATGAAACCAATTTATTTATTAATATCATGTATTTTATATTACATATTGTATAAACATATTATGTCAATCCCAAATCATCGATACTGTTAATCGATCAATTCATCGATACTGAAAAAGATTTTCATATCTTATAAATAGGCATATACATAATTAATATAGTACAAATATAATGATACTACGCAATATAAAATGCATGATATCATCTTTCTACCTTTATCCCAATTATTATTTGGGATTAACATAATATGTTTGTACAATATGTAATATTGTATGTTTATGTAAATTTTGAATATATCCGCCTACCCCTATGGGCTTAAAAGTTATGTATATATGGTGTATACTCTAGTCTCTACTGTACTATTTACTGTGATGGTTATTGAATTTAGTTAAATATACAACTTGTTGTATATTAGATATCAGATTTTAAATTATTGTATTTCTCTAGAGTAAGAATATATTTTTGCTATTTAAGTAACAATTTTGGGCATAAATATGTTAATGGCCTGCGTGTAGATATAGAATATTATGTCTGCAGATTAAATTTCTCTTTTACTTTTTCCGCGTTACTCAGACTTATAGTACGATGAGAGACAATTCACCCAATCGATTCACTCTTATTACTAATTACTAATAAAAAATAATACAACATCCAGAGCTGTTGTATTGATTTTTTAAACTGAGACAGTACAACTTTTATTCAGAGGCTTTTTTGTAGTAAGCAGTATTTTAAACTATTAAAATACTATAGTTCATAGTCTGAATTTAGAGTACCCATCTGTTTCAACATAAATTCGATTTGGTTTCTCTTATTATAGTGAATGTTAATTAAAAGTTTTAGTAATTGTTATATAGTTGCATTTCGCTACAAAGTTTACTTTCGTGAAAATTGTTTAATGGCCCCATCTACTTCGTCACGGAACCGAGAGATACTAAGGCGGAGTTGCTAGATGCTATTTTTTATTTCAATCCAAACAGCAATAAAATTCATTCATTCATTCAACAAATATTTTTCTCCAAATTGATGTGTATTCATTAACTTTTAGTCTTAGATCCAATCATAAGCTTTTATTGTAACTACTTTTACCATGTAACTACTACGCAATCGGGTAGAAGAACTGCGTCCTCTACTTTCATTATTGTTATCATCTTCTATATATTTATATATAAAAATGTATAAATATCAAACGTGCTAAAAATATTCAAGTTTCTGCACATCTATTTAATTTTTTTTTCAATAATTTAATTTCACCAAAATTTCTCGATGATAAAAATTTTTACCTAAAATTTTGAAGAAATACTCGTAGTCAATCTGGCAACATTACGGCACGAATTGAATGGTGTTTACCATGCTATATCAATTAGTCGCTAAATGAGTTTGCACAGATGAGAGCGTAATTATTAGAGCACGGTTAATTGGTTGGATATGCGAATTAAGAAGCCAGGGTTGTCGCTACTTAAGATTTTATGTACATTTTGATTGGTACACTCAATGGACATGGACAAAATGCAATATGGTACATTTTATAACATAATAAATATTAATATTCTTAGATATAATCACATAACGTCATTTAGTTTCAAACTAAGCAGTACTAAATAATCAATTGACATATGTATATTTATAAATATAATTTATATGTATAATCTATATAAACATATATATTATGTAACTCATAAATACAAATATTTTATTGTACGGAGATTGAACACGTAAACCTCGGGAGGTGGGTTTTTTATATAGATGAAAATGGAATGGTAACCCCGCCTACGTTAACGGAATACGCTGGCGGAGCACCAGTGAAGGGTGATCGATGAGGATAAAAATAGGCCAGTTAGCCTATCATGATGAATTCATCTGGAATTAATCATGATAGTTTCCAGGGGGAACCGCGAGGAGGGCGACCTGGTTGGGTATATTGCTAGCAATGGAATTCTGTTTCCATTACTAACAATCCCATTCCCCCTTACTAATAAGGTTTGCTGTTTGCATTTGCTGTCTACAAGTAGGTAGGCGCAATATGAATCATCTCCTCGTAGGTATCATAGATATCTTATAATTTCTGTTTTTAATTCATATTTTAATCATTTTTTATTGCACCATTTTTAATATTACCGCCTAGTTTTAATCTAATCTTATACATTATAATTTTTTTTCAGTTGTTATTTTTATTTTATGCTTTTAATCCAATTTTTTTTATCGTATTTTCCTTTTGATTTTACCGTTCAATGTTAATCTAATCTTATATACGTGTACCCCGCCTGCGCTAACGATATACGCTGGCGGGGCACCAGTGAGGGGTGATAGGTGAATAATGAAAAAAAGCAGATCAGTCAGCCCATCGTGATGGATACACCTGGAACTCAGCACGATGGTTTCCAGGGGGAACCGCGTGGAGGTTGACCTGACAGGGTATATTGCTAGCAATAGGACTGGTAGCCCGCATTACTAACAGCACCTTCCTCCCAATATAAACGATTATGCTCATAAATAAAAACAAATATTTATATTGTGTGGTGATTGAATCTGCAACCTTCGGAAAGTAAGGCGGTGTGGCTAGACAAACAAGTTTTAAAATAAGGATAAACATGTGTTATTATATCTTAATGTAGGTATAATACGAACACGAAGGTTCTGTAAATTGTACGACAATAGGACACGTGTGCTTTTATTTGAGTACAGGTTGATACATTAATTATATAATTGGTATACTATAGTCTCATGGCCAATATATAAACAAAAGACATACATGGTCATTTATTTCATTTAAATTTTGTTTAAACAGTACGTGTGTTTGAACGAAAATTGTCTTTGTTTTTTTTTTTTTGAAAAGTAACTATTGTACTTGCCTGTTCTTAATCAATCGACTTCAAAAAGGAGGTTTTCAATTTTGTTAAATTTTTTTTCGTTTGATACCTCATAACCTCGTCAGTTCTACACCGATTTAGAAAACGTATGAGGGTGGGGAATTCATAGCGAAATAGTATATTCTGTTCTTATCTCTATTCTTCTTCTTCCAAGGAATATCAGATAGAATTGCCTTACTCAATATATATCTAACAGAATCTAAACAACATTGGTCGATTATTCAAGTACATGCACCAGGAGAGAAAGATACAAAAATTGCGAAGGATAAATTTTACAGGGATATGACTGACTTGATGCAAAACAAGAAAAAGAACATAATCATCATGGGAGATTTCAATGCTAAAGTTGGTAGCAAATCAAACAAAGATGAATTTGTTTTAGGAGATTACAGCAGTGGCGACAGAAACGATAATGGACAAAGACTCGTAGACTTTTCTTTTGCTCACAATCTTAAAATAATGAACAGTTTCTTCAAAAAACGTAAATCGAGAAAGTGGACATGGCTAGCACCAAACGGCAGAGATAAAAATTAAATTGACTTCATACTTACAAATGAAAAACATATATTTGAAAATATTGAAGTACTAAATAAACTAAATTTTAATACGGATCATAGAATGGTAAGAGGAGTTATAAAATGCATAAATAACAAATCAAGAAAATATATTATAAACTCAACCATGAATAAGACAAGAACATCGCCAATACCACCAAACGTTTTATTTGATTTACAGAATACATTAAA